TAGCCGACCCATTTGTGCTACAACTATACTACTAATATAGCTGCAGCATGGCTCTACCACGTTGCAAAAGATATAAAGAGCCAGTACAATTATATCCTGTGTCCATGGCCTACATTAGTCAATTACCATGTCTCATCAGGTGGACTCTTTCACTTCTCTGTCACATTAATTTCATTAAACATTATTCAACTTGAAATATTCGAAGTATTCTAGTAGGAGAACAGATTCAGTTTCGCATATGTTGAAATACGTCTGTTCTAAAATTGATAGTAATCTTTATTCTTGTAATATGATTGCTTCAAACTGACGTATGGATAACATAGAATTGGTTTTAGGTTACTTTTCGATAATTACGTACTTTTATTTTGTACGTGGTAGAGCCATGCTGCAGCTATATTAGTAATATAGTTGTAGCACGAATGGGTCGGCTCGACCGGGGAAGGACCACGCTCTCACAGAATACCAGCGTCAAATAGCAGCTTAACACTGCTGTGTTTCGTATGGTGAGTGTAGAGAAACGGAGACCCTTTTTACTGCAACAGAGGCATTCCATCTTAGTCCTCACGGGTGACAACGCATCTGCATTTTGATTCGCAAACGAGGATAGATGTAGATGTCTATGGGCCACAGCAACCACTTACCATCAGGTGGACTGTGTGCTCGTTTGTCACCCTATCCTATAAAAAAAATTAATACCGATACTTAAAATATCTCTTTTCTCGCTTATCAAGTTGATTCATTAGTACAATTCTATACTTACATTGTAGCATTTTCTTATTACAGATTTAATACAGTAAACACAACCTTCACGAAGTAATGAAGGTTGTCCTTTTGCTTTCAATTTACTTTCTTGCGTAATACTGTCTTCTTGAGAATCCTGTGTCTAAAATAATTAACCACAAAATAAAGAAATACCTTTATCTATACAATCTATACAAATAAATAAAATTGAAGTGTCTGTTTGTAATGTCAAAATTAAAGTTTTTTACTAAATGCATATGAAAGTAAATACGGTACTTATAACTAAAATACAATTTTTAAAATTTTTGTCTGTCTGTCTGTTTATTCCGGGTAATCCCCGAAACGGCTTAACCGATTTTGACGGGACTTTCACTGGCAGATAGCTAATTTCATAAAGAGTAACTTAGGCTACTTTTATTTTAGAAAAAGTATTAGGGTTCCGCGCAAAATAATTAAACCCAAATTACACGCGGGCGTAGAGGCGGGGTACATCTAGTATTTTATTAAAATTTGACTAATTAGATTAGTTAATATAATAATAATAATATCGTCCAAGCCAAAGTGTCAGTCACACTAGCCATCTGAGCCGGACAAGATAATAGTGCCCGAGTGTATGCACAGGTGCACTCTTTTCCCTCACTCTCGTAGTCTGATGGAACGGCAAACCAAACCGAAACCGGCACCGATATAAAATCAGTCGCAAAACCAATCGCTTTACGTGGTTGTCGAGGCATATGGTTGTAAACACCACCTAACTCATGACTCCGGGCTGCTACTGATTTTTTGGGAACAAAGTTCCTTATCGGACGGTTCGAGTTTGGCGGATGGGAGCTAGGCTACAAAAAGTGTAAGATTTTTTCGCCATTACCCCTTGTGTCATTGTGTAGACGACCTTGTCGGCGAAATAAGGAAGTGAGATGGAATAGTATCCATCTCCCTCGCACTTTTACTTATCTTGCCATGAAATAAATATTATTTTATTTCAAACTACCTGTCCCTCGCGACTTCGCCCGCGTAAAACGTAAAATTTACTACGACTTCATGGTTTTTAATTTTTTTTTTGCGGAACTCTAATTATTTTTCTAAAATAAAATTATTCTAAGTTACTCCTTATAACATCAGCTATCTGCCAGTGAAAGTCCCGTCAAAATTGGTCTAGCCGTTTCGGAGATTAGACGCAACAAACAGACAGACAGACAGATAGACAGACAGACAAACATTTTAAAATTTGTTTTTTTTTTTGTTATTATTACCGTATATACTATCATATGCATTTGGTAAAAATCTGTTATTTTAACATTACAAACAGACACTACAATTTTATTTATTTGTATAGATGACGCTTCATTTTAATAGACGCTAGTAATTCATTTATTTGTATTTGTTAATCAATAATATAGTACCTACGTTGATCAATAATAATATACTACGCAAGGAACTTCATTCTAACCGAGTGTTCCACGACACTCACGCATGTTTTTTTTTTGACTGGGTATTCGGACCCGGAACAATATATAGTCGCGTTTACGACCACTAGATGAACACGGCAATCGGTTTGTTAATATAGTATTATAGAAAAAATTATAAATATAGTAACAGTAATAGCCTATGTCTTACTGCTACAAGAAAGTTGGATGTGAATTTTGCCTTCGAAATATTTTAACCTCTCAGACATGCTGCAATTCCTCACGATATTTTCTTTCATTGCCGAGTACGAGTAAGTTAACTAAATGCGCGATTAACAAATTTAGTGGTGCTGGCGTTAATTAAGTCTGGTTGTTCTTGTGCTGTGTTAATGGCCAATACCTAGTCTCTGAGTTACCTTGTTTCAATCATGCGGTGAATGAGTTTTTAATTACAACCGCATACTCATATAACTAAATTACCTTTTTGATGTTCGTAAAAATTATTAGTACAACATTTCTAAAGTCTTGGAGACTATCAAGTGGTAAACTGTTTATTATTTTGTCCTTTTTATTAGAAGTCAATTTGAAATTAATGGATCTAATTTGCGGTGGGGACTTGAAGAGCGTGCTAGATAAATCTTTATCCAAAGTCCGTTGGTTCTTTAGAAATCGTTGAATTACATTTCTTTGTTTCATTAAACTAAATATATCCATATTTTGATATGCTATTTCACGTTTAGGTAATACATTTTTATGTATTCCAGAGTAATTGTCGTCACGTTTTATTTTGTCAACTTCGTTCAATCTTTTCCTTTTTCTTTTTTTCCTGCCCAAACTTTCCAAACGTCCGAAATAATTATCGCGATAAATATTGTTTTCATCATAACTTTTTTGTGTACTTTCTGAGTATATTTCTTTTAACTTTGAATCTGATTTTGCTAAACCGAATACACCATTGTTTATTTCAGTTATATTCTTAATCATTTCGGCTAAGTTCTTAACTAATTCATTATTATTTGTATTAACAACGTCTTTTGCCTGCAAATTAATGATTGAATGTATAAACATGAATGCTTAATCATCATAATAAAACATGTAAATTATAACCAAAAACTTAATTTTATATTAATTATAACCAGCAAATAATTATTTTAAACAACGAATAATTCTCCTGTATTGTTTTAATGCTTTATATGATCAATCCTTGTATTATGTGTTATATGTCGCTCTATTGCATCGCTCGCTGTCGCAAAGGCATAGACCATACATACTTATGAATATAGTGATGTGTGTGTGAATGAAAAATATTACTTTATTTAAAACGAAAACATAAATAAATTACCCAAACTCTGTAAACCACTAATAAACACATCTGAAATAAACCGTTGTCCAACCACATTTTGTTCCGTATTTTTATGGACTATTGAAATTTCATTGTTTACTATAAAACAATTTTATTTTAGAAATTTTATTATCGTAATGTTATTTCAAGTTGAAGCATCGATAAAAATGTGGATTCAATGTTTTTTTCCTATTTCACTAAACCTAACACGACTACGCTAGGAAAATCATACCTCAGTCGATAATACAATACGTGTTTCGCCTATAAACGTAGCATCATTAATCATTTACGTGGTAGGGCCATGCTGCAGCTATATTAGTAGTATAGTTGTAGCACGAATGAATCGGCTCGACCGGGGAAGGACCACGCTCTCACAGAATACCAGCGTAAAAAGGCAGCTTGACACTACTGTGTTTCGAGTGGTGAGTGTGGAGAACCGAAGACCCATTTTACTGGACAAGAAGCATTCCATCTTAGTCTTCATGAGTGACAACGCATCTGCATTTTGATTGTTTATTGAGGATAAATGTCTATGGATCACAGCAACCACTTACCATCAGGTGGACTGTGTGCTCGTTTGTCATCCTATCCTATAAAAGAAATCATCATAAGAAAACTGTAAACTATAGACCCTACGATGGCTAGCCGCTAAGTATTATTTTAATTAGATTTTATAATATATATAAAATAACAAAAATACAGACGTACAATCCAGTTTTGAACAGAAACAGAAACAGAAACAGAAACTTTTTTATTCAATATAGATTATAAATAATACTTATTGAAAGTCACTCTTTTGTTTGATTACCACTGGTTCGGAAAAAACCTCTGTCCTGGGAAGAACCAGCAAGAAACCCAGCGGGACTTTTTTTTAAATAACAGCTTACAATCATGATGTTACACAAATTAACAACACAACAAAGTAGAAATAGCTTGGTAGCGATCACCTCATTTCCAGGGGTTATTATCATCCATAAATTCAAAATTAAATAAAATTAACTTAAATACTGTACATTTTAAAAAGAATAAATCGGTAACTTAATTAAAAGTGTAACAAGAAAGTTTTCAAAGATATAAAATCTGTCTTGTCTACCTTATTATATGTTTATTACCAAAAACTAAGTAGAGTTCTCATTATATTTCATTATATTTACACTGCATCAAGCGGCAACGTTCTATTATCTTATAGTATTTATTCCTATATTCTACTCTTACCACGCTTCTGAAAAGACGAGAGGCACCTAATGGATTCTCGATAACTACTCGATATTTACTTCAAAGTTTAAAACTACTTCATGGTTTTTATTATCTATAGAGAATTTGGGAAATGTTTTAAATTATAAAACATGTTTATTTTATTGAAGAATAGCAGAGAAATGACTCCGTTTTAAGATTAAATCATAAAATAAAACACCATCCTGGTGAACAGCACCCGTGCAAAGCGGGGACGCATCATTAGTTTAATTACTACAAGAATTACAGATACATTTGTTAAATTTTCTCCTTTACAGTGGATGAAATTCAAGTCGCATCATACAAAATGCTCGGCTCGTTGTTCGTGCTTGGTACCGACTCTACTCTCACACACGACAGGAAATACCTCAAAACGGAGATAGATAGGAATAAACCAGCGCTGGTAAGTTGTCGAAAATATTCGCACCATATAAGATCCAAGACCGTAACAGTTCAGAGAACTATATATATGTTTTCAAGAGAGAAAAAAAGAAACAAAAGAAAAAGATAAACAATTCCAAATTTAAAAAAAAATAAATTAAATTCAATTTAAAAAAATTTATAAGAAAGTATTCTATATAATACATTAGGAAGACATTGCTGCCCATGTCTTGATTTGTTTACACCTTTTGCGGACATGTGAATAATCCGAAATTTGACAGAGTTGTTAAGAACGAATGATAATGTAACAATTTCATATTAATATGACATATTATTCTTACAAGAATTACAACACAACTCGTAATTTGTGCAATGTGTTGTTAAAAAGTACCTTATACTTTTTTAAACTTCAATATAATTGTATTTAAAACTTTCAGGGATCCTGCCTTGGCGCATTCAGCTCTACATTCCCAGTGGCGTTCCTAGAGCCACATTTAAACAAACATAACCAGTTCTCGTTGCTTAACCGTATTGCGGATCATTCATTGGAGGCACAAGGTTTGTTTACAATAAAATTACGAACAGTATCATCTATTATATAGTATTAGTTGCCCCCCGAGACTTCGCCCGCGTGTACCATAATTCTTTTTCTAAAATAAAAATAGCCAAAGTTACTCCTTATAACAACAGCTATCTGCCAGTGAAAGTCCCGTAAAAAAAGGGTCTAGCCGTTTCGGAGATTAGCAGGAACAAACAGACAGAGAGACAGACAAAATTTTTAAAATCTTTTTTTTGTTATTAGTATCGCATATACTTTTATATGTATTTATAAAAAAGCTGCTATCTTAACATTACAAACAGACACTTCAATTTTATTTATTTGTATAGTTAAAGCAAAGTCGCTTCCCGCCGTCTGTACGCTCAGATCTTTTAAACTACGCAACGGATTTTGATGTTGTTTTCATCAACAGACAGAATGACAAGAGGAAATTGTATAATATGTATAATACATTCTAAAGGACATTATGACGTCTGGTGTAAGGACTATTATGCTGCTATCTATCTGAAGCCATATGAACTTTCTGGTATTTCCCAAAGTCGCAGCTGACGACACCCCCGGAACAAGTTGGGAGTAATAAATAGATGAGAATAGAATAGAATAGAATATTTTTTATTCAATATTGATTACATGTAATTCTTATTGCAAGTCATTTTTTTACTTTAACACTGGTTCGGAAAAGAATCTCTGTCTTGGGAAGAACCAGCAAGAAATCCAGCGGGACTTTTATTAATTAAATTTTACAATTGCCTTTCTCTTAAACAGATGGCATCTTCTTTTTCCCCAGACCGTAAAGTCTCCTTCTACATATGGGCCTCTCCCGTTGCAGGATTAATCGCTACACTTGGCAGGCAAATTATTTTGGCGCCTGACAGATCCAGACGTTTTACACTTTTTACGCTGCTTCCCGTCGCCCGTTTGGGTATTTTTACTTTGTCGTACATAAGATCCTATGCTTGTTGGTCTAGTGGTTGTAGTAGTGCGACTGCTGATCACGAGATCCCGGGTTCGAATCCCGGGTCGGACCAAAAATCAGTTATTGAGTTTTTCCATCAAGAAATCCTCAGTAGCTGCCCGATGTCAGGAAGTTGGCGGTGTCTCACCCCCGTGCCTCGGAAAGCACATAACGCCGTCGGTCCTGCGCCTGAGCTCTCTCCGGTCGTGTCGGTTTACCGTCCCATCGGACTATAAGAGTGAGGGAATAGAAAGTGCATCTTTGTTCAGGCTGGCCACCGTGACAGAAATTCGGTCTGGAGGACATTATTATAAATCAAATCACCATCCAGTTTATATGTACATCTGTTCGGAGCAAGAAAGATCTTATTTTTCCCGCATATTCCATAGTCATATTTTATAACACCTAAGAAATAGGGCATTTTATTATCTTACTACCACATGACACAAATGAGGGCATCCACGAATTTTTCTGCTACCAGGGCGGCGCCACTTAAAAGTGAGGTATAATATTTGACAGATTTCAGCGGGAAAGTTAATTTGTTTGGGAAATGTAAAGGTTAATTTCTTTTTGCCCTGTTATATTTTATATTAATTAGATTAAAAATAAATACACCGAAAAACAGATATTCACAAAAGTTAAAAATGTGCAAAAAAATTAAAGAGCAAACCACTGACGCATTGTTTTGTGTATTAATATAATACTCTAGAAACTGACTTTTTTTATTAAAAACTAACTTCTCAATTAAATGACATTGCGTTTATCACGCAAAACTTTACCTCAGTGTCAGCTAGCGACATCTGGTGAGCAGAAAATTATTAGACTTCATTATTGACGAATACATTGTGCCAATACGTCCAATGATAGATTTTTGCACACGATTTTATTTCGCAGACATAATGGCTAAGATGGAACAATCAATGCCAACACTAGAGACGATACTGAATGAAGTGGATCAGTTCGTTGAGTCGGACAAGACTTACAACGAGGCACCTCACATCATTGACGTGGTGATGCCACTATTGTGCTCCTATTTACCTTTCTGGTGGGCGCAGGGCCCCGATAATGTGACTCCGACGGGAGGGTAAGTTAATGAACATATTTTATGTAAGATTTCACGTACATACTAAATATTTTATACGAAAAGTAAACATAATTTTTTTTCCCACGAGATATTATACCCCATAATCTATGTTAATATTAATGTATACGACGTTTTACAACTCAAACACACTTTAACAAAAACAAACACACACACACACACACACACACACACACACAAACTTTTAGAAGCACAAAAAATTTTGTCCAGAAACTCAATGAAATTGCGAAATTCTCTACAAGTTTTTAAACATCATGTTTTATCAAAGATTTTTAAAGTGGAATACAATCTGTAATTTCTAGATTAAAAATTAAAACCAATTATAGAACTAACAGAAAAATAAGAATAACAGAAAAGGAGACTTCTGTTGAAGACGGGCATATTTTCCAAGGCTTACCCCTAATACAACTCTAAACCATTTAACTGGACCACTGTATAGTGAGCGTATCGCTTAGTACAAAATATTACTAATAATTCAAAATTTTGTTAAACAATTCTAGGAATCACGTAACAATGGTAACAGCCGAGCACATGAACCAACTCCTTAAGAATGTATTGAAACTTATTAAGAAGAACATAGGCAACGAAAGCGCCCCTTGGATGACACGCATTGCAACCTACACACAACAGATAATCATAAACAGTTCCGAGGAGCTGTTGAGGGACTCGTTCCTCCCGCTAGCGGAGAGAGTCAGGAAGCGAACGGATACGATGTTCCATAAGGAGGAGAGTTTGAGAGGATTTATCAAGGTAATTATCTTATTAGATCTTAAATTCAGAGTGCTGAATTCACACTCTGGTCAAGTTTTTAGCATATGTGACAAGCCTTAAAACTAACTCTGTGAAAGGGTTTAATTTAACGCCAATTAAAATTGTACATTCCTAAGCCCGCAACCGTTTATATCACATTAATATTTGAACACAAATATATTTATAATGAATTTTAAGAATATTCTCCGTTTGAATTTATCATAATTATAAATAATAGACCAAAATTTTGCCACGGCGGCCAGTCTCAACGGAGGCTAGCCATCTGCACAGGACAGGATTATAGTGCACAAGTATGTGCGCGAGCACAGGCTTTTTTGCAAGCACTGGTGGACACACTTTATTCCCTCAATGTTATAGTCTGATGGGACGGGAATCCGATGCGACCGGAGAGAGTTCGAATCCCTCACGGAGGAAGTATTTGTATGGCCTACAAATAATTGTTCCAAATTTGGATGTTTGTCCTTATGCAAATTATGTTTGTAAACTGCCTCCACGATACAGAAGAAAATGCTAGTGTAGAGGTAAGGTATTTTTAAAGACAAATAATATAAACAAAGGCTCGTGAAAGTACACTACTAGACATGATCCACTCAGTCGTAACCGAGATGGTTATAATTGCAAATAACCCATGTCAAGAAAATAAAGTAAGTTGGTTTAACATAAATAATCTTTTCTTCTTTCTAGTCTTCTACTGATGATACGTCCCAAGTCGAGTCACAGATACAAGAAGACTGGCAGTTACTCGTCAGGGACATTTATTCCTTCTACCCTCTACTCATTAAATATGTTGACCTTCAGAGAAACCACTGGCTTAGAAACAATGTTCCAGGTAAATATTTCTACTTTTCTTTGTCGCCAGCCCGTAAAAGTCTACCATTGGACATTGGCCTTCTCCATAGAATGCCTCATAAGGGTAATATTTGCCATAGTTGCCACGCTTGGCGGGCGGGTTGAAAACCGCAGTTTTTTAGTCGTTATTAGGAAGACTGCGGCTCATCTCTTGATTCCCCCTGTCGTCTCTTACGACACCCACGGGATGATATGGGATTGTAGATATTCTTACACCGCCACTACACGGTAATAGAGATTTAGAGAGAGCCATTGTAATCTATCTCACTCTGTCTCTCTCTCTTTTTCTCTCTATCTCTACCTCGCTCTCCCTCTCTCTCCCTCTCTAGAGAGTTAGAAAGCCAGTATAATTACAGGCAACAGGCCGTCCATCTTAGTAGGCTTAAAGTTAATTGCATTTGTCTATGGGCTACCTTAGGCACTTACTATCAAGTGGACTGTAAATGCGTTTGTCACTTCGGTTTTATAAAACCTTTGATGCTCTTATCCGTCGCCAGTCTGCGTACTTAAGTCTGGTGTAAACGATATTATTATAGCGCCATCTTTCGGAAGCTATAAAACCTTTTGGCCGTTTCTATCTATAGTCACCTCTTACAACACCCACGCTACGCAAAGTCAGATTAAGCCATGTGTTAATCTTGTTTGTCATGGACAGATGGATTTTCTAACGCCGTCACTTGACTAAATGGTAAATTAAGGCTAGCAGGCAGAATATCTATATTCCGAATCCGTAAATGGAGTGATGACCTATTAAGAAATTCAGGAAGTTGATGAATGCAGGTGGCTCGGAATCGTTCTTTGTGACATTCCTTGGGGAAGGCTTCTATTCAGCAGTTTACTTGTGAAGGAGTTAAAGCTTTAACTCCCTCAGCAGTGTACTTGTGAAGGAGTTAAAGGTTTGCTTACATCGCTCTATTTTTATATTTGGATCAAGTAGTAAGTAATTACGGTTCCCTCCCTTGCATGAGATTCTATTGCAACATCCATACCTCAAGTATTGCATATTATAAGTTAAAACCTATATACATAATAACATTCGTATTCGCAGAGGCCGAAGAAATATACAACCATGTAGCAGAAATATTTAACATCTGGTCCAAGAGTCAGTATTTCTTAAAGGAGGAGCAGAACTTTATATCCGCGAACGAAATCGACAATATGGTAAGTTATTATGAAATCGATCTTATTCTCTTTATTGTTAGTAACTAAGTTGTACTTGTCATCTAGTTTTAAAATATTTACACTTACTCTGATGGCTGTACGTTTCTATGTCTCTTATTTTTCTGTGATTTTTATTGTACTTTTGTAGTATTATGCTAAATAATGTTAAAGTAGTTATTGATACAGTCTAAATCTAAAGCATACTTTGCTGTGAAAAAGTCATATCTAAAGTAGTATTCTAGTATGAATAAAAAGAAGTAGCTTGCTACTCTTTGGACTCTGCCTACCCTCACGGGGATTAAGGCGTGACGTTATATATTGCATTACTAAGTTCCGCTGGCGACTAAAACTGCTCCGGGCAAGTGGAGCAGTAAGACAAAGGTGACCACTACCACGCCATCTGTGCATTTCTGAACATCAGGGGACTTTATTTAAACCTAAACGCCATCCATCTGGAGACGGCGAAGCTGACCTTCCTCTTTCTAACCGATACATAGGCGTCCTATACGGTTGATACTTCGTATCTCTCCTACCAGGGGTACAAATTAGAACACTCCTTTTCCTTTGTGCCCCAGTTTAGAGTTTGTGTATACGTTAGAGAAGTCATCTGTTATTGAATCCTCGACAGTCTTGAAGGTGCGGACCTGTCCACCCTATGGCTGCGCGTCGACAGTGACGACCATCCCCGCGCCTAGGGGGCTTCTATAGGTCACATAGCGGTAATGCCGACACAGACTGACTCACTGACTACGTCCAAATGGATGTAGACTCCGTGCTACAACAAGTCCCATCCGTAGAGATCGTCATCCTCGGTGATTTTAACGCCCACCACGCTGAATGGCTTGGTTCCTATTTAATCAATCATGTGGGTAGATCTGTTTTTGACTTTGCCTTGGTATATGGTCTGACACAACTGGTTACTTCGCTTATGTGGATCCCAGATATGGAGGAGCATGTACCTTCCTTTCCTTGGAAGGAGAAGGAAGGAAGGATCCTTCGATCCACGATCTTAGTATCAATAAATATCTATTTAAATGCAAGAAATAAGAAAGCACTTACTAGAGACTTAGAGACTTCTTAAATCTCTCGTAATGTGTCTCGTGCTGATTTACGACGTACTCTGCAGTGAAGGAAAACATCGTGAGGAAACCTGCATGTCATGTAAATAAGGCAGAGTTAGTGAGAAACTAGTTCGACTTCTTTCGTGAACACGTGCATTATGGTCTCGTGCCAAGGCTGTCCAAGGTAATTTTCGTCAGCCATCTCTGTGATCTCTGCACAAGGAGGACGAATCACTGGCCCATGCGGCAAAGTAGAAAGCCGATCTGCTAGGCTCTATCTTTGCGTCCAACTCTACTTTTAATGACGGGAGGAACACACCGCCCGCGGTGTTAGTGCTCCATAGATGGATTTACTGTTTACACAGTGCTCGGTGTGCAGAGAAATCCTCTCGTTGAATATCAACAAGTCGAGCGGGCGTGATGGAGTCCCCCCTATTGTGCTGAAGATGTGTGCTCCGGAGTTGGCAAAGGTTTTGACGCGTCTTTTCCGGCACTCCTACTCCCTACGTGTAGTTCCATATTCATGGAAGACAGTTTTGGTTCGCCTGATACCTAAAAAAGGCGACCGCGCTGACCCGATTAACTACAGGCTTATCGCCATCACCTCCTTGTTCTCCAAAATAATGGAATCCATTATAAACTGCCTGCTCATGAAGTAACTTGAGGATTACTAGCTGATTAGTGACCGCCAATACGGTTTTTGTCGGGGTCGATCATCTGGTGATCTTCTGATCTAGCCGACTCATAGATGGGCGAAGGCAGTAGAGTCCAAGGGTGAGGTCTTGGCCGTTATTTTGGGCATAGCGAAGGTCATCGGGTTTGGCACCGAGCGCTTCTTTTGAAGCTTCCTTTTCCTCCCCCAGGGCCTCCCGAGAAATTGTGCAATTGGATCACCAGTTGTCTTACAGATTGGAGCATCAAAGTCATAGTAGACGGTGCATGCTCCAATTACAAGTCTATCACCAACTCTGTTTCTTCTGCAAATCAATGAATGGTATGTTACAAACGGGTAACATTCATTGCTATGCGAATGACGGCACTGATGATGCTTTATACACCGGCCGTGCATAATTCGCGAGAAAACGTCGCCGAGTATCGGAACAAACTTGTGTCTGAAGTTTTGAACAAAGTTTCGGATTGCGGGCGACTAAATCTAGTCCAGTTCAATCCCCATAACACACAAGTTTGCGCGTTTACCGCTAAAAAGAACACCTTTGTCGTATCTCCTCAGTTTCAGAACACTTCCCTTGTTGACTCAGCCAGTATCGAAATCCTCGGCGTCAACATATCGAATGACGTACAATTTCGTGGTCACTTGGAAGCAGGGACTTAAAACGTTATAAATAACAGAATGTACAACGTTATAATAACGTTATAATGGTATCGTTACCTCAGGAAGCATAGCGTTTTCAATATTTAGTATAACGTTTTAAGTGTAACAGAACAAAATTGTGACAGGCAAGTTAACGTTATAATAACGATAAAGACGCGACGTTGCCAAACCTATTCATTTTCAAAAGCGCGCGAATCCGCGCGACTCGCGAGGTGGGTGGGTCCTGGGATCCAATTGGTCTACTAAATAGCTTGGACGGACGAGGAATTCCCCGCACCGCACGCACTCCAGAAGCGAACTGGCAACGTTGTAAAGTGAATGAACATTTGATAATATCAAGTATCAACCGCTTGCGAGTTGCGATTTGCGACGTATTAATAATTATATATAATAAATATCATATTACTAATATTTATTTATTTGTTAAAGTTGATTCGAACTACACTTGTTTACAAATATTGGAAATGGTTCGTAAAAAATTAATAAATCTTATTGTTATTATAATCTTGATGAAAATAGTAAGACTTGAAAATGTTTAGTTGCTGGATGCGAAAAAGTTTTGAAGATAAGTTAAGCAAAAATCGTAGATAATGTGTAGAAGAATGCGCCTTTTCCAGTCAGTTTTTATTAAGCATTTTTTTTATAGGATAAGGGTGACAAACGAGCACACAGTCCACCTGATGGTAAGTGGTTGCTGTGGGCCATAGACATTTATCCTTGAATACGAATCAAAATGCAGATGCGTTGTCACCCGTGAGGACTAAGATGGAATGCCTCATTTCCAGTAAAAAGGGTCGGTCGAGCCGACGAATTAGTTGCAGCCTGTACCATAGATCTACCACATCATACCTTGTCATAGCTCTACCACATCATACTTTGTCATATTTATCTATTAGATAGGTACCTATTAATATCTTAATGCATTATACTTTTTTAGGTTTAAGCGAATATTTGACATTTTAAATAAAACTATCTTTCGGATTTTCTCGCAGATTTATTTTAATTGCAACTGTGTTATGTGCCTGCGCGCACACACACACACACACACACACACACACACACACACACACACACGCACGCATGCACTCTTACACTAGCACTATATACAAAAGAGGTACATTTTTCATATATTTTTTTTCTATTTCACTTTTTTTATATACCACATCTGTAATGTAAAGAACTAAGTTTTGTAAATTTTCTATAATTTAAATAATAAATATTCCTTTGTAGTTTATAAATAGACATATTACTTATATATATATATATATTAAGTTTTGTTTCCCGACGTTTCGAATGCTTTATACCAATCATGGTCAGAGGAGAGATTAAAGTCTTAGACGTCTCAAAGGCATTTATTATGTATAACTTAACTATAAAAAAAATTAAAATATTAATTATTTAACTAAGCAATATTATTTTAGTCAATATCATAAGCACTAGTGAACCGATTTTGATGAAATCGATATTATTCCCCTAAGTTGAAATAAATGCAAGCAAATAATCCCTAAGTTGAAATAAATGAAAAACGAATGATCACGATCGGACTAGTTTCGTAGAAATGCGTGTACAAGCATACATACATATATCATCATTCATCATTACAGCCCTTCACAAGTCCACTGCTGAACATAGGCCTCCCCCAAAAAATGCCACAAAGCACGGTCCTGAGCCACCTGCATCCATCGACTTCCTGCATGTCTTACCAGATCGTCACTCCATCTCGTGGGGGGACGCCCTACACTTCGCCTACCGGTACGAGGCTGCCACTCGAGAACCTTTCTTCCCCATCGGTTGTCGGTTCTTCGAGCTATATGGCCGGCCCACTGCCACTTCAGCTTACTAATCCGTTGGGCTATGTCGGTTATTCTGGTTCTACTGCGGATATCCTCATTCCTAAGTTTATCACGCAGAGAAACTCCGAGCATAGCCCTCTTCATAACTCGCTGAGCGACCTTGAGCTTCCTCATACGGCCAGCAGTGAAGGACCACGTCTCAGTTCCGTAAGTCATCACTGGCAACACGCACTGGTTGTACAATTTCGTTTTAAGGTTTTGAGGTATGTCTGACGAGAAGATGTGTCGTAGCTTCCCGAACGCTGCCCAGCCGAGTTGAATCCGTCGATTGAACTCTCGGTCGAAGTTGGACTTACCTAGTCGGACTATTTGTCCCAGGTAAACATACTCGTCAACAACTTCGAGCTTAGTGCTCCCAACAACTACCGGCATAGGTGTGACATGGACATTAAACATGATCTTTGTTTTGTCCATGTTCATCTTAAGACCTATCCTTTGGGAAACACTATTGAGGTCAATGAGCATAGTGCTTAGGCCCTCCAGCGATTCTGCCATAAGGACTATATCGTCGGCAAATCGAAGGTGAGTGATGTACTCGCCATTGATGTTGATACCGTATCCTTTCCAGTCCAGAAGCTTGAAAACGTCTTCCAATGCAGCGGTGAAGAGTTTCGGGGATATGACGTCACCCTGTCTTACACCTCTCTGCAATTGGATAGGTTTCGTACTCTGGTTCTGTACTCGGATAGCCATCGTAGCCCTACTGTACAAGCACTTCAACACTTCGATATACCGACAGTCAACTTGGCACCGCTGAAGGGACTGCAGCACCGCCCAAATTTCGACGGAATCAAAGGCTTTCTAATAGTCCACATACGCCAGACATAGTGGCAAATTGTACTCTTCGGACTTCTGTACAACTTGCCGAAGGGTCTGTATGTGTTCTATGGTGCTAAAGCCCTTTCGGAAACCGGCTTGTTCGGGAGGCTGGAAGTCGTCAAGTCTGCGCGCGAGACGATTCGTAATGACTCTCGAAAACAGCACGTAGACGCGGCTCAGAAGGGAAATCGGTCTATAGTTCTTCAAGAGAGCGTTGTCACCTTTCTTGAAGAACAAGACCACCGCACTTCTGCTCCACGCCTCTGGTGTAATGCCACCATGGAGGACGGAATTAAAGAGCTTCTGAAGGACTTCAAGTACCGGTCTTCCACCAGCTTTCAGAAGCTCCGCTGTAATTCCATCCTCGCCTGGGGCCTTACCCTTTTTAAGGTGCTGGAGAGCCATTCTAATCTCGCTCAGACTGACGTCCGGGATATCTTCGGAATAGTGTCGGATGAGACTCGCTCTTGGATCGTTACTCACACTTGCGTGTGGCTCCAACGATGACGTGTACAGCTGCCCATAGAACCGAGAGGTTGAGAAATCTCACTCAAAATCTCAGGTGTCCTGGAAACGATGCTGCCACATTCCGTCTTCAGCTTTGACAGTTGGCTCTTTCTGGCAGACAGATCTCTGGCAAAGACTTTGGAGCCTTGGTTCCGCTCGATCGCTTCTTCAATACGAGCTGTATTGAAGTCGCGTAAGTCCCGCCGCATGCATTTGGAGATCTGTCTGTTCAGATGCCTGTATGCTGTCAAGTCTGTTGAAGAATGTAGCTTCATCTCCCGTCTAACAGCCATGAGATTAAGAGTGTGATCGGAGAGTTTTTGTGTTCTTCTGCGGCGGGTCTTGCAGAACTTAGCTCCGACTGCATGGACAGTTTCCACGAGCTTGTCATTCATATCGTCCACTTCATTGCAGTCTTTGCAGATTTCGGGACTTTGGAACAGAGCACGAGCGGGACGGAGCGTTGACTTCATTAGACGAGACCTCTCTAACTTAACGTTTAGGTTCAGCGTGCCTCTAACCATTCGGTGATCGCTACCAGTTTTCACTCTCGCGATCACGGAGACATCACTGAACAGTTGTCGTCTGGTCGTCATAATGAAGTCAATCTCATTTTTTGTCGAACCGTCGGGGCTTGACCAGGTCCACTTCCTGTGGGGCCACTTCTGGAAGAAAGAGTTCATCATAAAGAGTCCCTCTTTCTCCATGAAGTCGGCCAGCTGCTGGCCCCTTGGGTTCCGTTGCCCTATTCCAAATTTCTCTACTTTCAGCTCACCGTTCTCTCTTGTGCCTAGTTTTGCATTGAAGTCTCCCATTAACACCGTATATTGGGTTTTGGAGGAATGCATACATACACGTCTAAAATTGTGTATATTTGCCTGGGAGCCCTAATAGATAATTATATGTGAATATTTTGTAGTTCCAATAATATTACATACTTACGTATCGTATTGATAACCTTTTTTGAAGTCGGTTATAAATTCAAACCGACTTTACGCTTAACAGAACATATCTTGAAAACTACTGAAGCGATTTTTATGAAAATTGCACTGTTCTTTAAGTTGTGAGATGCTTAATGTAATAAAAAAGTATGTGTGTACTTATATATGCACGTAGGAATTTACACCTTTTTAGCGTAACAAACCAAAAATAATTAAGAATTATACATGTGATCTATATTGAATAAAAAATTATTCTCTATTTTCTATGCTCTCTATTCTCTATCCTATACTTTCTTTAGAGCATTTTTTTAACATTCTTTCTTGGTGTCACTTCAATACTACTGATTGATGTAGTATAAGCAGATAAGCTAAGTAGATGTTCAACAATGTATTGATATGTGGATGATCTATGTGGAATATCAATCTGGAATTCAAACAAATTAAATAGACAAGGCAGACTTATTGGAACGAAGTTCCTTATCGGACGGTACGAATTTGGCGGATGGGGGCTAGGCGAGAAAAAAATGTAAGATTTTTCCGTCACGACCCCTTCTTTTCCCCTCCCACTTTTTCTTATCTTGCCATGAAAAAAATATTATTTTATTTAAATGACGCTTAATTTTAATAGACGCTAGTAATTCATTGTACTTGTTAATCAATAATATAATACGTTTATCAATAATAATAATAATAATATACTATGTAATGTATTTCGTTCCAACCGAGTGTTTCACGACACTCACGCATGTTTTTTTTTTCACATTACTTATGAAATTCAAGGGCAATCTAACATATAATCTAGTTTAACAATAAATATAGAAGAATATTTCAACTTCTATACAATTATAATGTCTACACAATCCTTAATGTATGCAGTAAGATATTAAGAACATCATTTTATTGTTATGAATGTAATACAAAGTTTATGAACTATTTATTTTGAAACACCCATATTCCGAGTTGTATGTACTACTATAGTTGATAATTCAATTGCTGCGCTGACGACCACAAAACGTATTTTAGCCTATAACTTTAGAGCACTGCGTTCGATAGATCATACGAGTAAAAGAGATGGCATAGAACAATAAATAATAACATTATGATTTTGTGATAACAATATTTTAGAAACGTTTATTTGACAAATTTATTGTAACGTAATTATAACGTTATATTCATGCAAAGCTTTGCATAATATCGTTTTGACATATCGTTTCTCTTAAACATAACGTTATCTCGCACTTGCGCAGATAACGTTACTGTATTTTAACGGTATTTAAGTCCCTGCTTGGAAGAGAAGGCCAAGTTGGCCTTTTAAAAGCTTGGCGTGCTCAGCAGAGCGGGCCAGTATTTCATGCCTGTAAATTTACAAAGTGTAGGCTCGGCCTCACATAGAATACTGTTCCAGTCTCTGGGCCGGAGCTCCCCAGTGCCAGCTCCTTCCATTTGATCGCATTCAGCGCAGTAGCGGTTCGAATCGTCGGCGACCGAGCTCTTTCTGTTTGGCTTGACTCACTGGCACTGCGATGAGATGTCGCATCTCTATTCGTATTTTATCGCATATGCCACGGGGAGTGCTCTGAGGAATTGTTAGGATTAATGCCAGTCGCTCAGTTTCAACATCGCACATAGTGACAGAACCCGCGATACTATCCATACCATCTGAATGATTTACGGTCCACCATTGTGTGATTTACAAGAAGTTTTGTTCCTCGCACAAATTCATGTGACTACCACCGGCGATTTTACCGGACCGATGCGACTTAGGTACCTTCAAGAAAAGAGCCTACTCTTTTTTAAAATACTGGCATCGCATCTGCGATTCTCCTGGTGCTGCAGTTGTTCATGGGCGACGGTCGACTTACCATCATTGAGCGCTTGCTCCTGTGGCCTTCTATTAAAAAACTACTACTTCTATTAAAAAAAACTAGACCTGGAACAATTGTTTGTATACAATACAAACGCTTCTGTTCACTAAGATAGTGTCGGTACACCCGTAGGCGCACTTATTATTTTGCTTTTATTTTATTATTTATTACTGTCGTTAAATAAATGTTTTTTTTTTATTCTAAGAATAAAATAGTATACTATTTTATTCTTATGGTTATTGCATTAAAATACGAATGTAAATAATAAAAACAAGTTAAGTAGTAAAGAACCTTCCACTACGGCGCTTCGTTTTAATATGCTAAATTTTCCTATGGGTGTCGATAATACTTTGATGTCGTGACGGCGCTTTTGACAAAATGCAGCACATACCACATACTAAGGCGCACACAAAGGCGGCCGTATCTAAGCGAACAGACTATAAGCGGATTAGTGATCGCAATACTAGACCCATCCTACGGGAAGCCATATGATCTTTCTGGAATTTTCTATCTTTTTCTTACGACATCCACAGGAAGAAATCGAGGAATAGCTTAATTTTAAACGATAAACCTTTAATAAATGTTATGACCGCTTCATTTAATTTAAATTTTCGGCCCAATCAGAAATTATGTGCTCACCTGTTTCTAAATTCGGTGTATTGTTTAGCACTAATTTACATATTATCTAAATAGTTATTGTATTTCCTCTTTTAATATGCCTTTATAATAAAAAAAAATACATAGTCGCTATGACCACATTAGAGAACCCTGAACTCAGATGTGCGTCGCAGTGAATTGTGGAAACATTTTCTAAGTAAATAAAAATATGCTTTAGATTCAGACATCATGATTAGCAGTATATATAAAGTTAAACATAATAAAATATATATCCATAACGCAAATCAAGTTAGTACAGTTATATGTATATCTTAATCAAATGTGGGCTTACAGCATGAATAAACAGACTCTCGACCCTCCGTTTCGAACACTAAAGACAGTATCTCAAAAGGAGCGGTCTTGTTTTTTCAACTTTATTATTTCATGTCTGAGTGTGCTTTTTTGTTTCTGGACTACAGGTGCTCATAATGCCTACAGCTACGAGGCGGGTGACTACCATAGTCGATGGAAACCCGCAGGGTGGAGGAAAGGTAAATTAATATGTTTATTTGCTTTTTAATGTGCTAATTTTTGCTTCGTGAACAGCAATACAGCTGATTTTTAATTGGTCACAGTTACATGAATTAAATGATATTAATTTGAACTCTACTATACTCACCTATGGACATTATTGATCTTGATAGTTATCAACAAACATGTAAATTTTAAAGCACTTAAGGAATGCCTTGAGACTTAGATTCTGTTGACGCGAAAACGCTACGATGTATATATACCTTTATATTAAAATGGTGCATATCTCCTTAATATCAGTATGCTAAACCAACGTATATGTATTTCTATATATCGTTATAGGATAACGATATATAGAAAATTTCCTTAATTCCTTAATTCATTTCACGAACACAATCGACGCCAGCGCCACGCAAGACATAACGTAAAGGACAATAAAACTTCCGCGACGCGTACGGCTTGCCGCTATCGTTAAATAAATAAATAATGAAAAATAATAATCTTGCTTTAAACCCAAAAACAATACGCTAACTCTTAGCACCCGCCTGCATAGATTTCGTTGTGGATGACGTTGTTCTTCCCTGTAAACGAGAAGCATCTTAATCCTAGTCCCGTATTTCCTACCCTAACGCAAATAAACGCACATGGTTCTTTTATACAATTTAATAATGGCAATTGTGGCCCGTCCGACAAGACAAAATGTAAACAGATAAATTAATGTAAAATATATTTCATTTATATTAATTCATACATGCAAGCCCAAAATTAAAATCATCACCATCATCATTACAGCCCTTCAAGTCCACTGCTGAACATAGGCCTCCCCCAAGGAATGCCACATAGCAAGGTCCTGAGCCACCTGCATCCATCGACTGCCTGCATGTCTTACCAGGTCGTCACTCCATCTAGTGGGGGGGGTCGCCCTACACTTCGCCTACCGGTACGATGCTGCCACTCGAGAATCTTTTTCCCCCATCGGTTGTCGGTTCTTCGACTTATATGGCCGGCCTATTGCCACTACAGCTTACTAGGCTATGTCGGACACTCTGGTTCTACAACGGATATCTTCATTTCTTACTTTTATCACGCAGAGAAACCCCGAGTATAGCCCTCTCCATAGGTCGGTGAGCGACCTTGAGCTTCCTCATACGGCCAGTAGTGAAGGACCACGTCTCAGTTCCATAAGTCATCACTAGCCACACGCACTGGTTGTAAAAATGTTGCTGTGTAAAATAAAATAAAAATGAAATTTACAGAAAAAGAAGAAGAACCGTGATAAGAAGCGAGACAAAGACAAGGAGGTGCAGGCGTCTCTCATGGTCGCTTGTCTGAAGAGATTGTTGCCTGTCGGACTCAACTTGTTCGCGGGAAGGGAACAAGAGTTGGTCCAGCATTGCAAAGACCGCTTTTTGAAGGTAAGGCGTAACTGTTATGCAAAAAAGTTATTCGAAACACAAATCAAAATAATAAAATATATTATTTCTTGGCGACATGCCATTTTATTATGCTTTTTTTTTATTTTGGCACTCCAAACAGAGACGTGATGATGATAAATCATTATTTATTTATTTACTTTTTAATTGCCTTTCCTTCCCACCGGGGAACTGGTGTCCAAGCTAGGAACAAACCTTTATTATGTACAGACCCCGCCCCACGGATAAATATAATCTTTATGTGGAAATACAGATAGAATGTCTGAAATTTTTTATGCACGTTTGTGTGTGAGTAAAATTATAACAGCCTCTCACAAATTTGCTGCAAAACATAGGCCCAGACAATTTAAGCGACAAAAAATCTCTCAATAAATCTATCTCTTCAAATGAAACTAGTTTTTATGGATTTTATCGCGTATATTAACTTATTTTATATTACCGACGTTTCGAGCACTTTACAGCACCGGTGGTCACGGGGCGAGTGAGGTGTTCGACGTCCGTCGTCGGGGCGAGTGATGTCATAACCACGGCACCTCCAGATAATAATTATTAATTTTTGTTCCGATCTACGCATTATGAACTTATAGTTTTTGTTTTGTTTTTTTTAAAAAACGTTACCCCCACACTAGGATTTTCTCCTGTGTCGTGGAGGCAGTTTACAAACATAAATTGCACAAGGACAAACATCCAGACCCGGAACAATTATTTGTAGGCCATACAAATACTTGTTCCGTGCGGGATTTGAACCCGCGGCCCCCAGCGCAACAACTGATTGCTAAGCCACTGCGCCACGGAGCCGTCAAAGTATCTTGAATTCTTGCTTAATTATAGGACCCCAAGCAGATGGTTCTAAATCTAAATCTTTATCAATGTGTAATCTTTCCCAAATTCTTCTTTCTTCTTTTGTGCTTTGTCGTGTGGTGGTGGTTTAAAATAATCTATCACGCCATTAATAGGGCATCCACGACTTTTTTTGCCACCAGGGCGGCGCCACTTAAAAGTGAGGTATAATATTTGACAGATTTTATAGCGGGGAAGTTAATTTGTTCAGAGATGGGCAGCAGCATCTTCCTGATAACAGCAAAAATTTGAATAAAAAAACTGCGGTTGCCAACCCGCTCGCCAAGCGTGGCAACTATGGCAATATACCCCCCATGAGCAATGACAATAATAAACGGCCCCCAGTCCCCGGCGGCCCCGCTATTCCTGGCTACGGTGGCGACCATGGTAACGGCGGGGCATGCGGTGCTAAGAATCTCCGGTGGAAGTTCGGTTACCACCTAAGACGACGACCTGGCAACATACAACGCACGCACCCTGAGGACTGACTAGAAGATCGTGGAGCTGGAAGAAGAGATAGATAAGTTACGCTGGCATATTATAGGATTATCCGAAGTTCGAAGAGAGGGGGAAGACACGGTAATCCTCGAAGCCGGCAACTTGCTCTATCACCGGGAGGGCGACCATCTGTCCCAAGGAAGTGTCGGATTTATCGTCCACAAGTCTCTCGTTTACAACGTTGTAAAGATCGGGAGTGTGTCGACGAGGGCTGCGTACCTTAACTCAGAATCACCAAACGGTATTCGCTGAAGGTCATACAGGTTTACGCACCAAACTCGGCACACCCCGATGAGGAGGTGGAGGAAATGTATGAGGATATCTCTAGAGCCATGCATTCCTCCAAAACCCAATATACGGTGTTAATGGGAGACTTCAATGCAAAACTAGGCACAAGAGAGAACGTTGAGCTGAAAGTAGGGAAATTTGGAATAGAGCAACGGAACCCAAGGGTCCAGCAGCTGGCCAACTTCATGGAGAAAGAGGGACTCTTTATGATGAACTCTTTCTTCCAGAAGCGGTCCCACAGGAAGTGGACCTGTGAGTAACGATCCAAGAGCGAGTCTTATCCGACACTATTCTGAAGACATCCCGGACGTCAGTCGCTGGCACAGTCACCGTCAGTGAATGGCTCTCCAGCATCTTAAAAACAACAAGGCCCCAGGCGAGGATGTAATTACAGCGGAGCTTCTGAAAGCGGGTGGAAAACCGGTACTGGAAGTCCTTCAGAGGCTCTTTAATTCCGTCCTCCGTGGTGGCATTACACCGGAGGCGTGGAGCAGAAGTGCGGTGGTCTTGTTCTTCAAGAAAGGTGACAATGCTCTCTTGAAGAGCTACAGACCGATTTCCCTTCTGCCCCGCGTCTACATGCTATTTTCGAGTGTCATTACGAATCGTCTCGCACGCAGACTTGACGACTTCCAGCCTCCCAAAGAAACCGGTTTCCGAAAGGGCTTTAGCATCATAGAACACATACATACCCTTCGGCAAGTTGTACAGAAGTCCGAGGAGTACAATTTGCCACTATGCCTGGCGTATGTGGACTATGAGAAAGCCTTTGGTTCCGTCGAAATTTGGGCGGTGCTGCAGTCCCTTCAGCGGTGCCAAGTTGACTGTCGGTATATCGAAGTGCTGAAGTGCTTGTACAGTAGAGCTACGATGGCTATCCGAGTACAGAACCAGAGTACAAAACCTATCCAATTGCAGAGAGGTATAAGACAGGGTGACGTTATATCCCCGAAACTCTTCACCGCTGCATTGGAAGATGTTTTCAAGCTTCTGGACTGGGATGGATGCGGTATTAACATCTATGGCGAGTACATCACTCACCTTCGATTTGCCTACGATATAGTCCTTATAGCGGAATCGCTGGAGGACCTAAGCACTATGCTCAATGACCTCAATAGTGTCTCCCAACGGATAGGTCTTAAGATGAACATGGACAAAACAAAGATTATGTTTAATGACCATGTCACACCTATGCCGGTAGTTGTTGGGAGCACTAAGCTCGAAGTTGTTGACGAGTATGTTTACCTGGGACAAATAGTCCGACTAGGTAAGTCCAACTTCGACCGAGAGGTCGATCGACGGATTCAACTCGGCTAGGCAGCGTTCGGGAAGCTACGACACATCTCGTCAGACATACCTCAAAACCTTAAAACGAAATTGTACAACCAGTGCGTGTTGTCAGTGATGACTTACGGAACTGAGACGTGGTCCTTCACTACTGGCCGTATGAGGAAGCTAAAGGTCGCTCAGCGAGCTATGGAGTGGGCTATGCTCGGAGTTTCTCTGCGTGATAAACTTAGGAATGAGGATATCCGCAGTAGAACCAGAGTAACCGACATAGCCCAACGGATTAGTAAGCTGAAGTGGCAGTGGGCCGGCCATATAGCTCGAAGAACCGATAACCGATGGGGAAGAAAGGTTCTTGAGTGGCAGCCTCGTACCGGTAGGCGAAGTGTAGGGCGACCCCCCACGAGAAAGAGTGACGACCTGGTAAGACATGCAGGAAGTCGATGGATGCAGGTGGCTCAGGACCGTGATTTGTAGCATTCCTTGGGGAAGAGCTATGTTCAGCAGTGGACTTATGAAAGGCTGTAAGGATGATGATGAACTTCACAATTAAATTACATTGTGTAACAAAAAAACTTTACCTCAGCGTCAACTAGCGACATCTAGCGAAAATTATTAGCCCCAATTAAATAACATTAAATTAGAAATGCTAAGAAAATATTGTACTTTACAGAAAATGTCAGAACAGGATGTTGCTGAATTCGCTAAGACGCAGCTCACGTTGCCCGACAAGATCGACCCCGCAGACGAGATGTCCTGGCAACACTATCTCTACAGCAAACTGGGTTCTAAGAGCAAGACCTCCATAACGGTGGAAACTGCAGAGAATAAGGCCAAGATCATTGATGACACCGTAGAGAGAATTGTTGCTATGAGTAAAGTGCTTTTTGGATTGCATATGGTAAGTACGGATTTAGTATGGAACAACTAGTTAAAAGTAAAACATTTTAACGATTAAATAAAAGTTGGATTTAATACCAATTAAACGCTAATAAATCAATGTATTAGTAGTCAGCCAGTTAGAAACTTTCTCAGGAATTCTTATTCCGGATGCCTGTGCCCGCATTTGGACATGTATGGCCGGTAATTTTAACTTCGACAGTCAATGTAAAAAGGTGCTTAGATACTTTTTTCTTAATTTATTTAATTTAACACATGCAAGATGTTAAAATGCAATCATGATAAAGTTACCTTTATTATTTTCCTTGTATTAATTACATTGTTTTAAATATTTTTAAACAATGTAATTAGCCGAATCTAGCCGTGGTAGCTCAGATGGTTAGCGCTCGCTGTAAGCTTCACAGTACTCGAGCAACCCGGGTTCGACCCCCGCCGGCACCAATGAAGTTGTTAATTGCAATTTTAAGTGCTGATTTACCACGTGCACGGCGGTGAAGGAAAACATCGTGAGGAAACCTGCATGTCTGACAAATAAGACAAAAATATGTTTCGAAGACATGTGAAGTTCGCCAACACGCATTGGGACAGCGCGGCGGACATTTCCTTGCCCTAAAACCCTCTAAGGAATGAGAGGAGGCCTGTGCCCAGCAGTGGGACGTAAATAGGCTGCAACTTTACTTTACTACTTTAAATATTTTTTTATTCGCATAATTTTCATTTCGATACTTTATCTTCTACCTTCTGCCTTTCTTTAATTAAATGAGTTATTTGAAAACATTTAACGAGCCTGACAGAGACTTTGTTATTGAGTGATTTAAATTCATTATTGTTATGTCGTTTTAATCTTAAAATTTTTCGAAGCTTATATTTCTTATTATTTAATTTACAAAAGAATTCTAAATTTATTTTTATTATCATGTATAATATTTTTTATTTGTATTATATCTTTTATTATATTAAGTGATAAGAGGGCTGGTGCTGGTTCTTATCTCGCTCAAAGGCTAAGTGTAGCCATTCAGCGGGGAAACGCAGCCAGCGTTCTTCGAACGATAACGCGGGGAGTAGGACTATATGATAATTAAGTTTCTAGTTTTAATTTTTTTTATTATTATAGTTTTTAATATTGTATATAAGAATTTTTTTATTATTCATATGTATGTATTTCATATATTTTACACTATTTTTTTATTTTTTTCCACCAGATTGACCATCCCCAGCAAATGAGTAAAAACGTGTACCGATCGGTAGTGTCTATTCAACGAAAACGTGCAGTTATCGCTTGCTTCAGGCAAACTTCTCTACACTCATTGCCAAGGTGCAAGCGAAATTATATCAAATTTCGTGTGAAATAAACTTGATAATCCCGGGATTTTGTTTTGTGTGTGAAATTTTATTATGCTGCTTTTTTATTACCACGTTTTCACTAACCCGCTTTCTTGTCTGTTCGGTATAAAGTTTGCAATTATTGATTTTTAACTAATTTCCCGATGAGATAAAGACTTAAAACTTTAATTATAACTCAGAACTGGATGATAATGCAGTATTAACTATGTTGCCTATTTGTTTGTTTCTTTTTCTGTTTAGAGCAAATTTAGCAATAGATTTTAAACTAACTTCCCGATGAGATAGAGATTTGAAACTTTGAATATAGAACAGGACTAGATACATAGTAAAAATGGTTGCCATCTTTTTTCTGTAAAATAATCTTAAATTATAATAATTTGTGTTTATAACAAGCCATACATCTTATATGGATATCGATGGCAATGCTAAAATAAATACCGATACATTTTTTTCAAATCGTTACCCCCACCAGGATTTCCTCCTGTATCGTGGAGGCAGTTTACGAACATAAATTACACAAGGGCAAAAGACCCGGAACAATTATTTGCAGACCATACAAATACTTGTTCCGTGCGGGATTCGAACCCGCGGCCCCCAGCGCAGCAACTCATTGCTAAGTCACTGCGCCACGTAGCCGTCAAATTATTTTAATATAGCGTTCTTTAACCGTAACTAAAAAGTTAAACGTATACTTTCAATAGTTTAGTCTCAGGGCTCGTTCCATTTCCATTTTATAATTTAAAAAAGAATCACTAGATAAACATCGAAAGGGTCAAATTACTGAAGGCGAAGGGACTAGTCAAGTTATTATGGTATAAAAAAGAGTTGCCGCGAAGTGATTAAGAACGATTCGCTTATATACCTAAAATTTTTACAACATTCTCAAACTATAACTGCTTAAAACCTTCTAACAATTCACCCAGTCCGCATTGTCGCCCAATAACACGCATGTGTTTCACGCTGCAATGGACTAACTAGGCCACTAAACCGAAGCAACGCTCTGACAATTGGAAGAGAGTTCTCTGCGCTGCAAGAAAGCGGGCGGCCATTGCTTGCCTGCGATCCACACACCTTTACAAAATCAGTCGGTGTGTATGAATGTTTTCAGATTAAAAACCTAAACATGTTTTTATGAAACTTATACATGAAGAAGAATCAGTGTAGAGGCTCTGAGGCAACCCATTCCAGTCCTAAGCGGCAACGATGTATCTGAGGCTTTTCATCAGGTTGACTACTATTTGTTTTTTTTTTATAGAATAAGGTTGACAAACGAGCACACTGTCCACCTGATGGTAAGTGGATGCTGTGACCCATAGACATCTACATTTACCGTCGATAAAGAATCAAGATGTGAGTAATGGAATAACTCGTTTCCAGTAAAAAGTATCTCCGGTTCTCTACACTCGCCATACGGAACACAGCAGCAAATTTGTTTGATTATTAATCACTAAAAAAATCGGTATCCCCGTCCAACACTTCGCATCCCGGGTCGGACCAAAATCAGTTATTGAGATTTTCTGTTAAGAAATTCTCAGTAGCACCCCGCAGTCAGAAAGTTGAAGTAAGATTTCACTTCCGTTCTTCACAAAACACGTAAACTCGTTCGTCCTGCGCCTGATCACTGTACGGCGTGTCTGATTGCCGTCACTTCGGAATATAAGATTGAGGGGATAGTGAGCGAATTTGCACACACGCTCGTACACTGTAATCCTGTGCTGCGCAGCTGGAGAACTTTAGTCCGGAGAACATTATTATTTATTTTAATTTATAATAATATATTATAATTATTTAAAAAAAAAGGAATAGAGTCGCATCTAATGATAGTGTTCTATAATTAAATTGTACAACAAATATCATACAAAATTAAATCTAATAAATGTATATTACATGTAAAATAAGTGAATGTAAATTTAATGTAATTACATGTAGAATAAAAATGTGCATACATATCATGTATCAGAAACTAAATATTACAAATAGTATTTAGATGTTGTAGACGTCTATGGGCTACAGCATCTACTTAACATCAGTTGGACTGTGTGCTCATTTGCAATCCATATTCTATAAAATGAAACCTGCAAGGACGTTTTCAGGCTGTAACTTTTATTTAATACAAAAAATGTACATACGTTTTATACTTTTCTACGTTTTGTAAAGCATACATTAAAATATGAATTGCCGGCAATTTTAAGTGCTGATTTACCACGTGCTCGACGGTGAAGGAAAACATCGTGAGGAAACCTGCATGTCAGAGAAATAAGAAAGAAAATATTTCGAAGATATGCGAAGTTCGCCAACACGCATTGGGGCAGCGCGGCGGACATTTCCTTGCCCCAAAACCCTCTCAGAAATGAGAGGAGGCCTGTGCCCAGCAGTGGGACGTATTTAGGCTGTAACTTTAACTTTTTAACTTTATGAATTGCAAAATGGGTGGTTGAATAGCGTTACTCTTTATTTAAAATAGGCATCGAGCCTGCAACATATTCGCACGATCATATTACGAGCTATGGCTGCAAGAGGAGAACTTCGGTCAAGAGGTCATGATAGAAGATTTAACCGTGAGTATCGCATCATGTGTTGCATTATATATGAGTAATTGTATTATTCTTGGCCATATAAACTCATTACTAGGCTAAGAAATCCATACCGATGTATTATTGGAAAACCCGTTTAAGCAGTGAACTTAAAATGCTAATAACAATTTTTACAACAACTTATTAAGGCGACACCGCGAAAAAATCCACCTCCTTTCATGAAATAGTATAGGAGTATGACGTGACTAACGAAACTGGAATTTTGATATAGGTGAATTCATGTCTTTATCTTGAATTTGCTTGTTCAAAAACACGATTGTAAAATTTTGACTTGTTCATAATTAAACTATTGTAAATAAAAAATCACTATAGTTGAAATTACAACGAAATTACTTAATCTATATGCTTGGGAACCACTCAAATACATTCATAACATCAATATTCGTAATTTACTTGCTCATTATTTTGATTACTAAAATCAATAATTTTTTTTAAATATTTTAAGTATCTAAGTGATTTTTAATCGTCGCGGGCGCTACGCAATTTTAGACCTTATGACAGCGTTTTTGAAGTTTTTATACAAATTATGTTTCACACGGGTCAGTCCGGCGATAGACGCTTCAACGGTTTTCGATGTGTCGCCTTAATAAATTACAAACAGCAAAAAAGGGATGCTAGAAAGGGACATTATTAGACCGCTAGTTAATACTTTTAATAATTTACTATTTGAATTTGTCAATTTAATAAGCAAAGAATTTCTTGATAAGCAGATATTCTTAATAAATTTCGATAACTTATTTTCAGTCGATATTCTATTGTACATTTAATATAAATTTACATTTTTTATTAACAGCAATCGTTTGAAGACGCCGAGTTGAAAAAGAGCGACGTAGTTGAAGAGGAAGGCAAGCCCGATCCTCTCAATCAGCTCGTTACCACCTTCTGTCGAGGCGCCATGACTGAACGATCGGGGGCTTTACAAGTATTGTATAAACTTCTTCTTTAATTAAATCTACATATAAGACATAGAGCATAAAAATAAACATAGTATGAAATGTTTTCAATTACTTATAGATATACAATATGAAACAAAAACTCTGTGGTTCCCGTCATCTTTAGAATCATTATTAGACGTATAGAAATAACTTTTTTTTTAAACTCGAACAATAGTTTTTTTTATTAAAAAAATAATTGTATGCAAATTGCATGTGGTTTTATTACCTCTGCATTGTCTGGGGAGTAAGAGGATTGTCAAAGACCCCGCTTTACTTAGCTTTAGCATCGGATAATGTCAGTAACAGGTAATAAAAGTACATAAAATTAAAAAAATAATAATAAAATTAAAAAAATATGGTCGAGTTTTTAAAAAAAAGTTATTTCTATAGGTTTGAATACTGCTCCTGATATCGTACTTAACGGTAACCACAGGGTTTTTGTTACATGTTGTATAACAACATATAAATCTCTATTACAACAAAATAGTCTGCCATTTGCCATTTTTTGTCATTGAGCTACTTACGAGCCGAAAGATCAGATGATCGACTTAGTACAGACCTTACAAATACGTTCATAACTGCCCTATTATAGGTTTACATTTTATCTAAGTCTTGCATTATTAAATTAACCTTTTCCATATAATACACTCATATAATAAAAAAACTCAGACCAATAAAAAAGTCAAGACAGAACATTTAGCTTTTAGGAGTGGGGCACGCAATACAGAAACGATTCGGCAATATGAACGTAAGCTCGATAGTCTGCCGCAAGTGAGTGGGAGTATGGGCAAGTGAAAAAATATATCGATATGTATCGTATCCATATTTTTAATAATTATCGATATATATCGCGTGATAAATATCGATATATCGTCATGTTTTGCTTGATTTACTAGGCTAATGCCCAAAATTTTATTACTGACGTTAGGACGACAAAAAAGCACATGAATGCTTTTGTAGCTGCTTTTATTGCTTAATGTTTTGTCGAATATAAATTGGAGACTCTAAAATAAATATCGCCATTAAAAATATCGACGATATCGATATATCGATTTTTTTACCCAAGCCTAAGAGGGAGTGTGTGATATGGTTGCTGTGTAAATTGCGAAATTATGCCGTTCTGTGCTACAAACATCTGCAAAAATTATTGCTGGTTAACAAATAGTTTAGAAGTAAACCAATTCTCTGAATAATTTAAACAAAGTTGCAAAATTTCTTAGAACACGAAATTACTAGGCACTATTGTCAGTGTCGCAAGTTTAGAACATTTTTATTTTCCTGAAAGTAAAGTAATTTTTAAACAGCATGATTTTGATATTGTTATTGCTTATTTAGAGATTACGGTATTATAGGTTATTATGTTAGCATGTATACCCTTTTTACTACTTTTTAAACACATTGAGTTATATGTCCTAAGTACTAGAGCAGCCTTTCTAAACAAAAAACTACTCTGTCTTCGCGCATGCGCGGGAGATAGTATTTAAGCGCGTTGCGCCTGCGCGGTCAGTTTATATAAACAAATATAATATTTTTTCATTATTTTTTCTTTTGTAATATTACGATATTATTACCAATTTGTTCACTTGAACAACAAATAATTTTACTTACTTGACTACTGAATTGTTATTTACGTCCAGGTTTAACTTTAATTTGAAATCTTGTATTATTAGCGCCGCTTCACACTGAATGTATATTGAAACCACAGACTAACTAGTAGATTGAAACCACACTAAGTGACACACTGTACGGATTGCAGTACAGTTCAATTGAACATAGTGTAGGTTACGAATGCGCAATCTAGTACGTAGTACATATATATCGATCTATAAACATGAAATATATTATATTAATGTTATATACGTATATAAATCTATTATTATTTATTCTTTTAATATAATGTTTAGTATGTTATACTGAATTGGTGTTTTCCTGACTTACCATCATGTTAATTTTTTTATTTTTGACACCTATCACATTATTTCCACATGTCCCGGGTTAACTGGGAGAGAATGCTAAAAGGCATTTACTCCGCTCTTATTCCTTCATTTTTATTAAGCTGTTTTACACAATAAAGTAAGTAATAATAATAGTTAATTTGATAATAATAATTAACGTTTGTTAAACTAAACTATCTTTCATTTCATACAACCAAGATATAAATAAAACGCTATTCTACCTAATAATAGAACTATTCACCTAATTATATTACTCTCAATGGAGACTCGTAGCGCAACATTTACTAGCTTGCAACATTTTTCTCTTACACACATGCGCAAATATGACAGTGTCTTATACAAAGTTACGCACACAAAGCCGACACTAGTCTTCACTTATCACGTCGCTATTATTTATTGCTACTCTACCTTGACTTTTTTATTGGTTTAAGTGCCTAAATAAACCTGACTATTATTTTAATTAAGCTGTACCTATTATTGTGGCTTAAAACAATAAATTGAATTAAATTTAATGGCAAAAAAATTTTTTTTTTAAATGAATGCTTTTACAGGAGGATCCACTATACATGTCATATGCGCACATTATAGCAAAGTCTTGTGGAGAAGAAGAGGAAGAAGGAGGTGGCGATGAAGAAGAGGGTGGAGAAGCTGAAGGAGAGGAAGAAGGGCGTGCTGGTATACATGTTAGTAGAAAAATTGAACATAAAATCAAACAGTTTTGTATAGTTTTCCAAACAAACACTGAATGAATTTAAAAGTAAAGTAAAAGTGGTTCTAATGTATTTGAGTTTAATAAATAATAATTAATTTAAAAATTAAAAGAATAATTCCATTTGATGCACTGATTGTGGAGAACTTAAAGATAAAAAGGGCTTAAAAAGAATCCAAAATTATGTAATTAACGCTACAATCCGACAAATTTGACATAATTTTGAATTATATAGTAAATTGTTTAATAAAACTACAAAATTGTAAAAGTTTAAAGTAAAGTAAAGTTACAGACTATTATACGTCCCACTGCTGAGCACAGGCTTTCTCTCACTTCTGAGTAAATTTTAGGGCAAGGAAATGTTCGCCGCGGCCTCCCCAATGCGTGTTGACGAACTTCACGTGTCTTTGAAATATTTTTTGTTTGTTCTTATATCTCAGATATGCAGGTTTCCTCACGATGTTTTCTTTCACCGCCGAGCACGGGGTAAATCAGCACTTAAATTGCAATAAACAATTTCCTTAGTGCCGGTGGGGTTAGAATTGTGAAATTACTCCCTTACTGTGAAATTTACATCGAGCGCTTACCCCCTGATCAACCACGGCTCACGGTAAAAATTACGCTGCTAAATATTTGTAAATTTAAAAAAAACCTTCAAAATTGTAAATAGCGCCTGTCATCTTTATTTTACTAGCAACTTAGCAACTAATTACCATGGTGGACTGTGTGCTCGTTTGTCACCCTTATCCTATAAAAAAAAGTTACTATTATAATTATGGTTATTAAACTTAAAGGCAGGTATAATAATAGTTTATATAATTACACGCAGAAAACCGTGGACATTTTATGGTATGTACAATATTTATTTGTTTAAGTATACAAGATAAAAAGTTTGATAGTTAGGCTTTTTATTATTTTAATTATTATTTTGCTGAATACCTTTTTGTGTGCACTGCAGCCAAATACTTAGCCACGGTGCTACCGAGTCATCAAGTCGTGAAAACAAATTATGACACTCAACACATCTGAACATATTCAAACCTTTTTAAGGGTTCCATACCCAAGGGGTAATTAACGGGACCCTATTACTAAGCCTCCGTTGTTCGTCCGCCTATCTGTCAGCAGGCGGTATCTCATGATCCGTAATAGGTAGACAGTTGATATTTTCTGTTTAAGTTTTTTTTTCACAGAATGTATATTTCTGTTGCCGCTATAAGAACAAATAATAAAAATTAAAATAAATTAAAAATTAAAGAGATTCTCCTACTAGTAACGTGTTTTTACCAACATAGTATGTATTCAATCTTGTACGGTGGTACGGATGGTACGTACCCTTCATGCGCGAGTCCGACTCGCACTTGGCCGGTTTTTATTTTAAAGATCAACGATTTAATTGTTTTTTTTTAAACAGGAGCAAGAAATGGAAAAACAAAAGCTGTTGTTCCATCAAGCGCGTCTCGCTAATAGAGGTGTAGCCGAGATGGTGCTCCTGCACATATCCGCTTCAAAGGGAATGCCGAGTGATATGGTCATGAAAACCTTACAACTGGGAATATCGATACTGCGTGGAGGCAACATCGATATTCAGATGGTTTGTCTTTGCTTATTTATTTCTTATTTAAAATGGAAATCACTTTATAATTTAAAAAAAACTATAGTTGTTTACATACGCTTATTGCCTGTGTTCCAATTTTCACCTATAAATTTTAATTCCATTTTTAAAAATCTAAATATAAAATTTGCTTACTTCACAAAATGTTATTTAACAATAGGTAAATTCGCTATCTATCTCTCTGTTCGCTCAAATTTCTCTTAGATTTAAACTTAACCCTTTTAACTAATAAATAAGTTTTTATGAAGAGCCTTAGAAATCTTGTCAAACTAAAATCTTTAAATGTAATAATTAATGATAATATTTTATTACCTGAATAATTATATAATGATTTCTTATATTTACGCGAACACTACACATTGAATAAAACTATTTTTACGGATTTTATCGCGTTTAATTAACTTATTTTATATTCCCGACGTTTCGGTTGCTTTCCAGCAACCGTGGTCAGTCCCCCGTGACCACGGTTGCTGGAAAGCAACCGACACGTATACCTAAACATGTTGTCTATTTCATTCATATTGAACCTATATACATATATTAAGGATTTTATTAGCAAGAAATAACAGCCAAATTTAGTAAAAATATGTCTCTAAGCATTTTTTTAAATTTTCTGTATTAGGGCATGCTTAATCATCTGAAGGACAAGAAAGACGTCGGATTCTTTACATCGATAGCTGGCCTGATGAACTCCTGCTCTGTTTTGGATTTGGACGCTTTTGAAAGGAATACAAAAGCTGAAGGTAATTATGTAAAAAAAAACCCTGTACGATCCGTGAGGATACTTAGTTAAATTTATCATCGTCTTTAGATATTGCAATATTATTCTGTTCATGTTGTAATCCTTTTTTGATAATAAATAAAAAAAGCCTTCCAAATAAAATATTTAATTGGGGAAACTTATATGATAATATGAGGCGCGGGTGGCCATCGGGACCGCAACACGTTAAAAGATACCATCGCCGCGGATAGTGTTGCCAGATTTCAAAAATGTGCGCAACTTAAAGCAAACTTTAATAAAAGATATTAGGCATTTTAAAAAACAATAACATTTTATATTCAGAATATGATTTTTTTTGTAATGTCATTGGCGTATCGTTCGAACAGGGTGTTGTTACATTTTGTATTTGCAAACCTATTTTCGTACCCTAAAACTTTTTACATGTCCTCTTATAAACCACCGGGCTATATTTAGTAAGCGAGAAGCTGAAGCTCCGGGATTTACCAAAAGTGGGGCCTCTACAATACAAAATATTAACATAAAGTGCAATACATGATAATATACCGATGTTTATTCTTGCTTAAATTTTATACTAATAAGAGTGTGAACCGAGCATACAGTATGCGCAGGTATTCTCTCAACTTTCCACATTCGTATAACTAGATGCTTGACGTTCGAGGTTTGTTTCGTCTTTCGCAATGCGTACAGCAATGAAGTTGTATAATTTGCCAGTTTTTGTCTTTCCATCCGTTCACAATGTCGGTATCTTCAAGGCAAGAGTGAAGAGACTTGTTGCACCAAGACGTGAAATTCAATCAACGCTTATCACCGGGTGGGATTTTGTAGTTAAGCACTAGCTTGTATTACGTAAGAAAAACACAGTTCACCTTATGGTATGAAAATGCTATGACCCATTGAGCCCACGCCTAGCCTCGATTAAGATTCAAAATGCAGATGCAGACCTCTGAATACCAAAATGGAATGTGTCGTTACCAATAAACAGAAACTTTGGTTATCGTCACTTAACATACAAAACACTGCAGATTTTTATTAACTTATTATAATTTTCGTAAATATTCTTATATACTTTAATTATAACAAAAATGAAAACTTAGGTCTTGGAGTTGGATTGGAAGGTGCGGCTGGTGAAAAGAATATGCACGACGCCGAGTTTACTTGTGCATTATTCCGTTTCATCCAGTTGACTTGTGAAGGGCACAATTTGGGTAAGTAAATTGAAAGAAAACCGTCATAGTACAACATGGCCAATATCTGGTCGATGCAGGACTCTAATCTTAAACGGAACCAACATTCGCAAACATTCACACTGTTGATTTGCGCTTCGGATTATACGGGTGACAAATGAGCACACAGTCCACCTGATGGTAAGTGGACCCTGTAGCGCATAGTCATCTATATTTATCCTCGATTAAGTATCAAAATGCAGATACGTTCCCCTGAGGACTAAGATGGAATGCCTAGTTTCCAGTGAAAAGGGTTTGCCGATTTCTACACTCACCATACGTAAAACAATAGCATTAAGCTGCTATTTTACGCTGGTATTCTGTGAGATTGATTGTAGTCCTATCCTAGTCGAGTCGACCAATTCGTGCTACAACCATAATATAGCTGTGGCGTGGCTGTTATAGCTCTACCAGATATAAGAACGTCGCAATGCCTCGCATCCGTTACTTATAGTAACTCTCTATACAATATTTTATTACTCATGTTTTCTTTCACCGCTGAGCACGTGCTCAATCATTACTTAAAATTACAATTAACAATTTCAATAGTGTCGATGGGAATCGATCCAGTATTGCCCGAGTACTGTGAAAATTTACAGCGGGCTCTCACTACTGCGGCTATATTTAAAAAATATATATGTATAAAAATTATAATTATAAGTAATAATTTTCAGAGTGGCAGAACTACCTACGTACACAAGCTGGTAACACCACAACTGTAAATGTTGTTATTTGCACGGTCGATTATCTCCTACGTCTGCAAGAATCCATTATGGACTTCTACTGGCATTACTCTAGCAAGGTAGGTTGTTTGAAAATAGCAGTTTAAATTCATTCACTGCTTTTAGAAATTGGTCTCTTTAGGTATGCTGTTGAAATTCAAAATGTTTACATCTAACATTTTATAGAACATCTATCGTTTTTCAATTACCAATGGGTATATTTTTTATTTACTTTTTATTTGCACAGACTAATGTATTTGAACTATGAACGTTAAAATTTGAACATTGTACAAAAATGTACCATGCAATCAATTGGAAAGAAAATTTATCGTGTTTTGACTATGTTTCATCGACCCAATTATATTACCTAGAGATCCACGATCCACACAGTAAGCGCTTAGCCCCTGAGTCACCAAGGTTCAAACATACATATAATAGTACCTATATAATATACATAGTACATATAACATACGTATAATAGTACACACTACAGTCACTCATTTATTAAGGCTAAGTTGGTAATTCCATTAATGTCAAAATCATTTGTTTTTATTTTCTTCATAATTATTTTACCGTTAAAATTAAATATCAATTGTTTGTTTTAATAGATGAATTGTTCTCTTTAGGAACTAATCGACCCGGCAGGCAAATCGAACTTCTTCAAGGCGATCGGCGTTGCGTCCCAAGTGTTTAACACGCTCACTGAAGTCATACAAGGACCTTGTACGCAAAACCAACAGGCCTTGGCACATTCCAGGTCTGTTATAATGGCTAATGAATTCTATTAGTTGTTCTTCTGACTGAATTTCGGTTATGACGGCCAGTCTCAACAGAAACTAGTCATCTGCGCAGAATAGAATTATAGTGTCCGACTGTGTGTGCAAGAACAGGTGTACTCTCTATTCCCTTCCCGATAGAGGTCAGACTCAGAACCAACGGCTGTACGCTGTACGGGCATGGGGGTGAAACACCGCCAGCTTCCTGACTCCGGGCTGCCACTGAGAATAGCTTGTTAGAAAAACCATTAACTATTAACCAGGGATTCGAACCCAAGACCACATGATCAGCAGTCGCGCTTACAACCGCTACAACCAATGAGACAGTCAATTATATCTATTAACTAGCTGACCCGGCGAATTTCGTACCGCCTAACAGTCGATCGTAAACAAACAGAGCAGATCGTTTTTTGTTTTTGAGTAATGTTACCATCGTATAAATATTGACAAATATTGACATTAATATTTATACGATACTAACGTCACTCAATTGCTTAAGCTTTATGCTATGCTATTAAAGTTCAAATTGACTTTTAAATATTATTACGAATCTTTTGTGTGGAAATATAGAAAAGTGTTGTTTTTAGACTTTTTCTGGCAATTTATAAATGTTTCTCTCCGTACGAACCATCTTCGTACTTCAAGGAATATTATTAAAAAAAAATTATCTCAAATCAGTTCAGCTGCTCTCGAGATTTGCGCTTAGCAACACATTCAGTGATTCATTTTTATATTATAGATATTACTATATTATGTATCCTAATATAGTAATATTAATAGATACTTGTGCTCATTCACAAACTAACGCGTCTATAAATTATGATACTGTATCCAATGTGGTTACGTGTAGCGCACAGTACCATAATTTTTTTGAATAATATGTAGCGTGAATGTGTACTGCGAAATTTAAAAAGTTGTGGGATTAAATCTGTCATTCGACTGCTGTCTGCAACAACTCTTAGCGAAAACATGTAAGCTTAATTATGTAGTATTTAACGGCAGTATTGGAGTATTAGGACATGTATTAAATGTGAAAGTGTTGAAAACATTACTTAATAAATTTAAAAAATATTAATTATAGAAAATTACTTTTATATAATTACTTCAAACTTCCTCGTATAAATATTTTTTATATAAAAAGTAATTAACGTAACATTTAAAGTTTTCATTATATTTATATTGTAATGATAAATAAAATTATGCATTAATTAACTATGTGCATAAATTACATTATACATATACATTACATATACATTAATTAAAAAACCGGAACAAACTTGTGTCTGAAGTCGAGTCTTTGCTGAGCAAAGTCTCGGATGGGGGGCGACTAAATCTAGTCCAGTTTAATCCTCAGAAGACACAAGTATGCGCGTTTACCGCTAAAAAGAACCCCTTTGTCGTATCTCCTCAGTTTCAAGGCACTCCCCTTCTTACCTCAGCCAGTATCGGTATCCTCGGAGTCGACATATCGAGTGACGTGCAGTTTCGTGGTCACTTGGAAGGGAAGGCCAAATTGGCCTCTAAAAAGCTTGGCGTGCTCAGCAGAGCAGGACAGTATTTCATGCCGGCACACCGCCTGCAACTTTACAAGGCGCAAGTTCGGCCTCACATGGAATATTGTTCCCATCTCTGGGCAGGGGCTGCCCAGTGCCAGCTCCTTCCACTTGACCGCATCCAACGCAGAGCGGCTCGAATCGTCGACGACCGAGCCCTTTCCGATCGGCTCGATTCATTGGCACTGCGAAGAGATGTTGCATCCCTTTGCATTTTCTTTCGCATCTACCATGGGGAGTGCTCTGAGGAATTGTTCGGATTAATCCCAGCCGCCAAATTTCACGAACGCACATCGCGGCAGAACTCCCGATACCATCCACACCATCTGGATGATTGGCGGTCCACCACTGTGCGATTTAGAAGATGTTTTCTTCCTCGCACGACCTCCTTGTGGAATCGATTACCATCAGCGATTTTTCCGGACCGATACGACTTAGGGACCTTCAAGAAAAGAGCGTACTCCTTTTTGAAAGGCCGGCAACGCATCTGCGATTCCCCTGGTGTTGCAGTTGTTCATGGGCGGCGGTAGTCACTTACCATCAGGTGAGCCGCATGCTCGTTTGCCCCCTCTCTTATAAAAAAAAAATTACGAATGAAAGCTAAGGAAACAAAAATACAGGGCTCGGATAACGGTATATTTTTCGAAACGGTTTCGCCTTAAATACCTAAAAACTTATTTGTTTCGTTTATGTTCGAACGGAATCATAATAAAACGCGTTTATGAAGAGAACGAAATTTGAAATCGTCCTTGTTCAATAAAACGTTTTTTGACCATTTTAAACTGTTCTTTCCCATTTTTGGCACTGCAATACGAAACAAAAACAATACACATATAAATTACAATTCATTTTTAATGAAATGAAAAGAAATAGAGCATGTAGCACTATTTCTTTACATCTTACATTGATGACTGATTCTTTCCGTAAAACTTTTTTTATGTATTTTTTTTACATTCTCACATTTCGTTCCCATTTCGTTCTTGTTCCGAACAAAATATTATACAAGGAACCGTTTCAAAAGTTTTAAAAACGTTATTTTTAATAACGTTTCCGAGCCCTGCAAAAATATCTATAACTATAACTAAAAATGCTTTTAATTCTATCACTGGAAATGACCTGATTAGTTTTTGAATTAAACTTGTCAAGAAAAGAGCCTACTCCTTTTTAAAAGGCCGGCAACGCATCTGCAATTCCCCTGGTGTTGCGGTTGTTCATGGGCGGCGGTAGTCACTTACCATCAGGTGAGCCGCATGCTCGTTTGCCCCCTCTCCTATAAAAAAAAAAAGTCCAGATCTGTATGTTGTAGAATAGATCGTTAGATATTTTATAATACTTAGAATAATTGTACAAAATACTTAATTATTTTCATTTATAACACAGATTGTGGGACGCTGTCGGTGGTTTCCTGTTCCTTTTCTCACACATGCAGGACAAGCTGTCGAAACATTCCTCTCAAGTGGACTTACTCAAGGAATTGCTCAATCTGCAAAAAGATATGATCACTATGATGTTATCTATGCTTGAAGGAAATGTTGTCAACGGTAAGATATCAGTTTAATATTAATTTTATACTAAAGTTATCCCTTTATGCCGTGGTAGCTAGCAATTCTTGATCCCCACCGGCACGAATGTAATTGTTAATTGATATTTTAAGTGCTGATTTACCACGTGCACGGCGGTGAAGGAAAACATCGTGAGGAAACCTGCATGTTTGAGAAATAAAAAAAAAATATTTCGAAGACATGTGAAGTTCGCCAACACGCATTGGGGCAGCGCGGCGGACATTTCCTTGCCCTGAAACCCGCTCAGAAATGAGAGGAGGCCTGTGCCCAGTAGTGGGACGTATATAGGTTTTACTTTAACTTTTATTCCTCTATAGGTTGAACAAGCAACTAAACCCAAACGACAAGACTAAAAAACAATGTGGTCATTATTAATTTTAGGCACAATCGGTAAGCAGATGGTGGACACACTAGTGGAGTCCGCATCGAACGTTGAACTCATTCTGAAGTACTTCGACATGTTCTTGAAGCTGAAAGATCTTACATCCAGCGCTAGCTTCCAGGAGATAGACGCTAATAACGACGGCTGGGTCTTGCCAAAAGACTTTAAGGAGAAGATGGAACAGCAGAAAAGTTATACACCGTAAGTGTATTTTTTTTACTCCCCTAATTAGTTTTTTCTTTTAAAGGTTACGTTCACTTTTTACTTCTAAGGCACAGTAACTACGAAGATTTAGAGAATTGAAATTGATTTAAATTGATTTTTATTTAGTTAAATTTTCTCAAAGAAAAAAATCATAAAATAGTTATGTGTTTTTTCTATTTAGAGAAGAGATTGAGTTCCTGCTAGCGTGCTGCGAGACCAACCACGATGGAAAATTGGACTACGTTGGTTTCTGCGACCGTTTCCACGAACCCGCCAAGGAAATCGGCTTCAACCTTGCTGTATTGTTGACCAACCTTTCAGAGCATATGCCAAATGAACCAAGGTAAGTTCATTTCAATTAAATATGCCTCAAAAAGTCAGCAGTAAGTTTATTTTAACGTTTCTCTTATTCGTAATAGTTATCGTATCTTAAGTTGTTTTAGGATTGTTTGGAATTTGTTTTAACGTCATTGTCTCTGTACATACAACGGCAGGATTTGTACAATACGTGGGCCACTTAGAAAGTATTGCTAAACTAAAAATGTTAAAGATTTTATTATTTCGTATTTTTACAAACATTTTTTTGTGAAAAGATTATAGATATTTTTTTCAAACTCGCCGCCAGCATCTATGTAAAATTTCATGTGTTTGAACTAGTGTTGCCCAAAATCGGTCTCGGTCTTGCAGTCTTGGTCTTGTTCTTGCATTTTTGCAAGACCAAGACCAAGAACAAGACCGCCTATTTTTAGCAAGACCAAGACCAAGACTGACCGTGCAAGATTTGCGCAAGAACAAGACTATGCTTGCGAGACTCTTGCGTCTTGCATTTAGGACTGAGTGTCGTTTGAGGGAGTATAGGAGTTCGGGTATATGCTTAGGGACTCTATGAGACGCAAAAAAATATAATAAAAAAATGGAAAATTGAACTTATGCGTATTACGAACAATACCATGAACATACGTAGCGAATGAAAATATCGATTAAAAGAAAAAAAGAGTGCATCCCTAGTTTTGACCATCAGCACTTTGATAGTGCGTGGCGTCTTGTTGTCGGCGTCATGAAAGGTCGGATACTGACCTGTCAAAGAAATTGTGCAGCTATTCGAAAGTACAAGGTCTAGGTGCCGGCGGCTACTATTGATATCGTATACAATCGTCGCCGCCGCGCCGCCGCGCCGCGCGCACTACATTTGCCACTGTTTGAATGCCGCCAAAGAGTACATGTTCCAAAGAATAAAATAAGTTTACGGGCTCAGAGTGGACACGAATACGTTATGCTCATCTCGCAAGGAATATTCTAATTAGATAATGGTAAAGATATGTAGATACCATAAAAATTTATGCTAGTAAGTAATTATTAGAACATTAACTATATGGGTTTATAATAATTACTTACTATTATTAAGTGGCGAAGCTTGCGAAGTCACTTATTGATTTCACGATGTTTGTCCGTCTGTCCGTCTGTCCCACGATTATCTCGAGAACGGTTGCGAATTTTCAAATTCTGTTTTCAGCAATCGATTACTGATCACCTAGGCATCTGAACCTCCTATTTTGAAACTGATTGCTCAACGGCAACCGTTAGAAACCGCTACAATTTCAAATTCTCAACAGACTGACACAGGGCATGTAGCATATCAATCGACAGGTCTTTAGAAAGATAAATGATTGTTGAACTTTTTTAAATCGATTAATTGCTATTTTTAAATAAAAAAAAGGGTTTTAGTGGCTTATGGTGTGGATTTATCATGTCCCTGTGGCTTGTAAACACGATAACTTTTGAAAATATCAATTGTTTAACTCAATCTATTTTTTAATCTCTTCATCTATCATGTGGGAAGCCACTGAATGTAAATAGCAGTGTAATTTTGTTTTGTTTAGCTATAATTAATTTTTTTCGGCTCCAAAATGGCGAAATTTTCGTTGATTTGGTAGCCTCGTATATAAATAATTTCTGTAAATGGGGAGCTACAGCACTTTTACACAGACTTCGAAAGCAAACAGTCATCCGATCCGTTTGTCTCAGTGCGATTACGTAAACTTTAAACTTGAAATCTGAAATTTTAAATTTTAAACTTTAAATTTTAAACTTTCATCTTTAAACTTAAAATTAAAAATTCATTTTTTTTTAAAGTAAAGGTTACGTTCTGACGTCCGTTTCGTATTAGTAAAAATCATTTAGTTAACCCGGTATTCGAAACTGTTAATTCAGTGGAGAATTTCGTTAATTCATCTCGTCGCGTTAATCAAAAAATAGACTCGGGTTTTTAATAATTTAAATTCCTTTTTGCGTGCTAGGCGATTATAGACCGAATCTCACTCCACCTAGAGTAGGTTTAGGCCGGCTGCCGTCGTGTCAGGCGACCGTTAGGCTAGCCCTTCGGGGCCTCGCGCTTACATTCCTTCACAAGGTCGTACGCCTTTTAAAACAGTTTTAATTTCATTTAATTCTTAAAAAATTCTTAAAAAATCTTTAAGCGATTTTAAGCGGGAAGTGATTAAAGGTGAAAATAGTCATTTCTACGCGGTTTTCTCGGGTAAGTTTATACACAATCACCTTAGGGAGAATACAAACGGCGAGCACTTAGTAAAACTAAGTGACCGCCTAAATTTCGATATAATAGCCCCTCAGGAGGACACTAGCTATTCAACAAACCAATATCGTAGTTTGTCCAAAATCGACTTAGCACTCTTCAGGAACGTAACCTTAACGTTACGCTCCATAGAAGTGGTGCATGAGTTGACATCGGATCACCGCCCGGTCATAATGTCGTTAGGACAGTCCAGCAGCGAGGATCCTCTAACCAAAACTGTTACGGACTGGCATAGGTTCGAGGCTAACCTCGAAACTATGAACTTAGAATACTTAGACCAAGTGCCAGATGTAATTGACACCAAAGAGGTGGCCTTAGAAGCCATCTCTCACATCACCTCTCATATGAACGATTTGAAAAATTCAAGAAAATCAAAAACATGTGAATAAGCTGATTGCTTCGCCACTTTGCTATGCTGTTAGCTTGCTAGGTTTATTATTATTATTACCTAATAGATAAAGATGTTCAATAAGTTCACTGCAACTCTCGACTTTTGGAAGTGTGTGTTTTTAAAACACAAAGTGCTCGAATATGTCGTCACCCATTTGATAAATATTGTAGACACTTTTAAAACACTTGAAATGTGTAAAAATGGATCTAGATCTCGTCTTCAAGGCTTAGTTATTAACGAGTTGGAGGAGTACCTAAGTAAACCCAGAGCCGCCAGCTCGGAAGACATTTTAGAGTGGTGGAGGACGCATGAGACAAAATATCCGATTTTATCGAAGCTGGCCCTTTATTTTCTTTCAATACCTGCAACTTCAGTACCTGAGAGATTTAGAGAGATTATTTTCTAAAGCGTCATTAGTAATTAGAAAACATAGTAATAGGTTAAGTGATGAGTCAGCCAGATGGTTACTTTGTATTAATGCTTGGTCAAAAGAATTAATATAAAGTAACAGTAATGTCAAAGCTATTGCGTACTGTGAAGTAATTTAATTTGTATCGTATTTTATTTTTTACTAGCTGTTCCTCGCGACTTCGCCCGCGTGTTATTTGGGGTTTTAATTTTTTTGCCCGGAACCCTATTTCTTTTTCTTTTTCTAAAATAAAAGTAGGAAATCCTGTCAAAATCGGTCCAGCCGTTTCGGAGATTAGCCGCAACAAACAGACAGACAAAAACTTTAAAATTGTATTTATGTTATTAGTACCGTATATACTTTCATATGCATTTAGTAAAAAGCTGTAATTTTGACATTACAAACAGACACTTCAATTTTATTTATTTGTATAGATTTAAATAAATGGTATATTGTTTAACTCTTTTATTCCATTTCATATATGGTGAGGGTTCATCAATTTCTTTCTAGACAGATAATATTCTTTAAAATACAGTAAAGTTATTGCTATTAATTCCTTTTTATACATTTAAGCATGTTTTAGCACATGTAAGCTTATGAAATGTAAACGTTTATTAAGAAACAGACTGACGCCCGTGGCTGTGGGACACGGTAGATAGCTCAGTTGGTTAGAGCATCGGCACGGATCGCTTAGGTCGTGGGTTCAAACCCCACCCGGTGTCAGTCGATTTTTCGAATTTCTCATTAAATTTTTAGACATTTATTAATTTGGTTGGTCTTTACTATGGCTATGTTAATTCAAGCTCAATATGTACCTACTTTGTTAAGTTGTTCTAAGATCTAAAGTAACGTTTAATAAATAGTAATAGGCTAATAGGTAATTGCGAGACTTGCGAGACTCTTGCTGCAAGACCAAGACCAAGACCAAGACTGGGAGCGCAATACCAAGACCAAGACCAAGACCAGGTGTATTGGCGCAAGGCCAAGACCAAGACTTGCTAAGTCTCGTCTTGTTCTTGCATTTGGGCAACACTAGTTTGAACCAATTTTGGAAACAATTTCCAGTCCGCCTCAGACACCCATTCTTCGACTTAAACGAACGCTGGTAGCGCATAGTCCGGCGATGAGGACTAAACATATGGAAAAATTGTTACACCAGCGATACACGCTGCCCTATCCATAAAGGCCTTCATCCATAAATGCTATTTTGAAGCCTATTCAACAATTAGCCTGGTTTAGGACGACATTTCAAATCGTAATAAAAATTATCTCGCGAAAGTGTTCCTGACGCAGATCTATTTTTCAATGTAACATTTTAATGTATTAATTACGCAAAATAATTTTGACAGAAATTTGAAATTGGAATATTCATAATTTTACTTATTAATAACCGTATTTTGAAAATTAATTAAAACTAGCCAGTGAGTTATAAAAGAAAACTTTTTACGTGAAAATTTCTGCGTGCCTCTTTTTTTTCTTATCCTGTATTTTTTCTGTTTCTCTTATATCACGGGTCAATTTACATCAATATATTGCACATAAATGAACATACAGAGCTATATGGCCGGCCCATTGCCAGTTCAGCTTACCAATCAGTTGGGCTATGTCGGTCACTCTGGTTCTACTGCGGATATCCTCATTTCTAAGTTTATCACGCAGAGAAACCCCGAGCATAGTTCGAGATTCAAATCCACGACCCACATCCAAACGCTTAAGCGGTATGAGATCAAGCCGCCAACAAAACTACAACCTGGTAATGTAGCTATTAAAAACATACTTTTTCACAGGTTGGCTCGCTTCCTGGAAACGGCAGGCTCCGTTCTAAATTACTTCGAACCATTCCTGGGTCGTATCGAAATAATGGGCGGTTCAAAGCGCATCGAACGGGTATACTTCGAGATCAAGGAGTCCAATATCGAGCAGTGGGAGAAACCACAGATTAAGGTGTGATAAACATTTTTATACAAAATAACTCTACGGTGTAGTAAAGAGAAGTAGAAAGAAAAAGTACTACACCGTTACAGTCAGTACATAACCGGAGAAGGACCACGCTCTCACAGGACACGAGCGAAATAGCAGTATAAAGTTACTATGTTTCGTATGGTGATTGTAGAGAACCAGAGACTCTTTTTACTGGAAACGAGGCATTCTATCTTAGTCCTCAGGAGTGACAAACCATCTGCATTTTGATTCTTCATCGAGTATAGATGTAGATGTCTTTTTTTTATTTATTTATTCTTTATTGCATTCCTTAATCTAAAAGAATACAAAGAGCGGACTTAATGCCTTGTGGCATTCTCTACCAGTCAACTTCTTTCTCATTCTTTAAAAAATGGGAGAAACCCATGTCTTGCTGTATACTTTTACGGGCTGATGATGTAGAAGAAAGCACTAAATCTTTTCTTCCTTCGTCTTTTTAGGAATCGAAACGCGCGTTCTTCTACAGCATAGTTACGGAAGGTGGTGACAAAGAGAAGTTGGAAGCGTTCGTGAACTTCTGCGAGGACGCCATCTTTGAAATGACGCACGCTTCCGGCCTAATGGCCGCTTCGGAAGAAACTGCCGGAGGACCGAAGAACAGGGAGGCCAGTTATATGTATATGGGCGACGACGATGATGAGAGGTAATTTATTTAAATATAATTGTATATTTTTTCTTTCTTTCTTTTCTTTCTAATCACCGTATGGTTGCCGCGTGAGGGAATCCATAATCCGAAGTCGTATCGCAAGAGACGATTTAGTGAAAGACCCAAAAGATCTTGTAACATTTCATAGATAGCGTGTTTACAATAATCTCTAACAGACAGAATTTTGGCCACGGCGGAAAGTCTCAACGGAGAATAGCAATCTGCGAAAGACTGGATTATAGTGTACGAGTGTAAGCTTAAGCACAGCTGCACTCTCTATTCCCACACTCTCATAGTCCGACGGTAAACCGACACGACCGGAGAGAGATCAGGCGCTGGACCAACGGCTTCAAGTGCTGTCCGAGGCACGATGGTAAAATACCGCCAAGTGCTTATGCCATATATTTATGCCACATATAAAAGCACCAGACCAGCGAAATATTGAAGATTTATTACTCCGCTCTGGAATCTGCTTGCCTAATGTTGTTGATTACTAAACCATCCTTATTATTGGAAACCCCTATCCAGAAGGAGACTGTCAAAAATTCAAAATAATTTCAAATATTGAAGATGTTGCTAAATTAAGAGTCTTCAACATCACCATCATCGTTACAGCTCTTCAAAATTCCACTGTTGAACGGGAGGGATATTTGCAATGGTTGCCACGCTTGGATAGCAGGTTGGCAACCGCAGGTTTTTTACTGTTTTCAGTTGTATCAGAAATATGCTTCTGCTGGAGTTATATGGGGTAATGGCTGTTATTTCAATGCTCGTGGTGCAGTGGCTTAGCAATGGAGTTGTAGCGCTAAGGGCCGCGGGTTCGAATCCCGCACGGAACAAGTATTTGTATGGCCTACAAATAATCGTTCCAGGTCTGGATGTTTGTCCTTGTGCAATTTATGTTTGTGAACTGCTCCGATAAAGAAGAAAATCCTAGTGTGGAGGTTACGTTTTTTTTTTTTAAGAAGAAGAAGAAAATAGAAAGAATGCACTACACGTAGGTTAACTGAAGTTCGTAATTAAAGCAGATTTCTTCTCAACTTTTTATGCACCGCAAAAAATGTGGTAATCCTGCATTTTAAATCCCAATTGCCAATTTCAGTAATGGATTGGATTCGAACTTGGGTTGCTAATGTAATAATAATATATGACTACCGCATTGGTCTAGTGGTCGTAGTAACTACGAACTGGTCATGTGTTCCTGGGCTGAAATCCGTGGTTGCAACAAAAACAGACGATAATATTAAAAACTTTCTTTGAGTCTTTTGAAAACTTTTTTATTGCAGAGCTGGCAAAGATCCTTTCCGACGCGGATATCAATCAGTGAAAGATGGCATCTCGGCTGCTTTTTCATCTTTATCACCATCCAACATAAAGGCGAAGATCGCTGACCTCCAACAAATGCCACCAGCGGAATTAGCAGTTGGATTCTTCAAAATGTTCTTCTATCTATTTTACTATTTCGGTTACGGTGTTCTGGTTGTCATCAGGTGAGTATCATTCCTATGTAAAGAGATTAAGGTTCGTTATCGATTGTCATCTTGATCTCGTGTTTTATTGATTTCACGCAACGTTACATTGGTGCACAGTCATTGGTAAATTTTTCACATTAACATTTTTAAGTATTTACGTGTCACCTTTATTTAAATCTCACTCTGTTGTCGATTTCAAAATAACGACCTTGCTTAATTTGACGTATTAAATCAAATATTTCCTTTTAAGGATGTCTGTTTGCTTATTTTTTTTTATAGATTTTCTTTGTTGTACATTTTCGGAAAAAATATTATATAGTTTTTTATAGTAAACTTATAACTTTTTCTTAAGAAAGAGATCAGAAGAAAAATAGTATATTAATTAAAGTAATCATTTGTCCTATACTTACATACTTTTTTTTTTGTATAGCTTTTTAGTAGTAACTTTATATTAACTTTTCTTTTCTAAATTATTTTTAACTCTTTATAAGAACAATTTATTTTAAATAAATATGAGATACCTTAAAAACTCTGATTTTTAGATTTACGACTTTGAATTTAGATGCACTTTTTCGCTGTGTCACGTGATAATCTGATAAAAGCACTTGTGCATTTATATTATTAAATTAATGGATATTGCAAGTTATTTGTGATGTTTTTTTTTAGTTTAATTTGTTTGCTAATAATAAATAATTTAGATGTTTAATATTATATTATATTTTAATTTCACTTATTGTAATAATAGTTGTAAAAATGATGTGGAAAGACGTTTTGCACATTTTATTTTTTATCTGTGATTTCGTTGTTTTCTTTAATAGGTACATATTCGGCGTGCTGCTTGGATTGATGCGAGGTCCCCAAACCGATGAAGTACCGCCCGAGCCGACGGAGGAGGAAAAAATTGGTCAGTTAAGGCACAGATTACTGACTCAGCAACAAAGTAAGGCACAACACTATATCACGCGACGTGTTACGCTTCGCATCCGCGTACTGTCGCTGGCTTGATTCGAAATTACGGACGGCTTATTTAACCGAGCATTGATGAAGATATTTTGAACAATATTGTGCTGTCTTGTATAACATAATTACTTTCAATTATTTCAAATTGATACAGAAGCAAGAACGATCAACAATTAGTAACAAAATGTGAACATTAAGGAATATTCATCTCTAAACAATTGGCTGAAATGAGAATTTTATTTTAAAAAAATAAAAATCGATACTAATTTTCGTTAAAAATGAATAACATAATAATTGATTATCTTTGACGACAGGCTTAACAACATAACATTCATTATATTATGTTTTTTTTTTTACATTTTCCGAAAATGGAAGTCATGTTTTCGTTTAATAATAATGTTAACAAAATTTGTTTCGTAACATTGGTAACAAAAAAGCTGCTTCTGGAATATAATAGGGGTCAACAACGTTCTATGTTGCAGTGCTTACACTAAACAATTAAATAAATTATTACACAATTACACTTTTATAATCTTGATGTCTTAAAATAATTATTACCTGGTTTCAATATTTTGTAAATATTTTCGCAAGTCTAATATATTCTAATATTACATAATTATTCATGCAAGTACATATTCTTCTTCTGGATAAAGAACAAAATTTTTACTTTTTTTTTAAATAACTGCGAAAAACCAGCTTATTATATATCTATCCCCGATTAACAATCCAAATGCGTTGTCACTTCAGAAGTCTAAGATGACATGCCTTATTACCAGTAAATAGGGTTTCCGGTTCTCTACACTCACCATTTGAAATAAAGGAACGTTAAACTTCTTTTTTTTACGTGGTACCTACAATCACGGATGACAATGCATCTGCATTTTAATTCGTAATCGAGGATAGATGTAGATGTCTATAGGCTACAGCGCCCACTTACCATCAGGTGGACTGTGTGCTCGTTTGTCAGTCTTATCTTATAAAAAAAAGTTTCTTTCGAAAACAAAAATATATTTGTAAATATTATAGATGATAGGTAATGTTGAACAATTTATAAAATCGATATAATTATGATAAACCTAATATTTCTTAACTGATTTTATACAGGTCCCTCAAGACACCTACCAGCTCTGCCATCGAATGACGACACTGGGCAGATGCAAGTGTCTGCGTTTGGTCTGGATATAACTAAAGAAGATAACGGGCAGTGAGTTTTTCTTTTTACGATACCTATGTATCCTATGTTAAGAATATCCACTACCCCATATCTTCCCGTGGGTGTCGTAAAAGGCGACAAAGGGAAACAGGCAGGAGATGGGCAGCAGCATCTTCCTGATAATAGCCAAAATAACAATAAAAAAACTGCGGTTGCCAACCCGCTCGCCAAGCGTGGCAACTATGGCAATATACCCCCCATGAGCAATGACAATAATAAACGGCCCCCAGTCCCCGGCGGCCCCGCTATTCCTGGCTACGGTGGCGACCATGGTAACGGCGGGGCAGGGGGTGCTAAGAATCTCCGGTGGAGGTTCGGTTGCCACCTACGACGACTCGACCTGGCAACATACAACGCACGCACTCTGAGGACTGACGAGAAGATTGTGGAGCTGGAAGAAGAGATAGACAAGTTACGCTGGCATATTATAGGATTATCCGAAGTCCGAAGAGAGGGGGAGGACACGGTAATCCTCGAATCCGGCAACTTGCTCTATTACCGGGAGGGCGACCATCTGTCCCAAGGAGGTGTCGGATTTATCGTCCACAAGTCTCTCGTTAACAACGTTGTAAAGATTGAGAGTGTGTCGACGAGGGTTGCGTACCTTATACTCAGAATCACCAAACGGTATTCGCTGAAGGTCATACAGGTTTACGCACCAACCTCGGCACACCCCGATCAGGAGGTGGAGGAAATGTATGAGGATATTTCTAGAGCCATGCATTCCTCCAAAACCCAATATACGGTGTTAATGGGAGACTTCAATGCAAAACTAGGCACAAGAGAGAACGGTGAGCTGAAAGTAGGGAAATTTGGAATAGGGCAACGGAACCCAAGGGGCCAGCAGCTAGCCGACTTCATGGAGAAAGAGGGACTCTTTATGATGAACTCTTTCTTCCAGAAGCGGCCCCACAGGAAGTGGACCTGGTCGAGCCCTGACGGTTCGACAAAAAATGAGATTGACTTCATTATGACGACCAGACGACAACTGTTCAGTGATGTCTCAGTGATCGCGAGGGTGAAAACCGGCAGCGATCACCGAATGGTTAGAGGCACACTGAACCTAAACGTTAAGTTGGAGAGGTCTCGTCTAATGAAGTCAACGCTCCGTCCCCCTCGTGCTCTTTTCCAAAGTCCCGAAACCTTTCAGCTCGAGTTACAAAACCGTTTTCAGTGCCTAGAAGACTGCAATGAAGTGGACGATTTGAATGACAAGCTCGTGGAAACTGTCCATGCGGTCGGAGCTAAGTTCTGCAAGACCCGCCGCAGAAGAACACAAAAACTCTCCGATCACACTCTTAATCTCATGGCTGTTAGACGGGAGATGAAGCTACATTCTTCAACAGATTTAACAGCATACAGGCAACTGAACAGACAGATCTCCAAATGCATGCGGCGGGACTTACGCAAATTCAATACAGCTCGTATTGAAGAAGCGATCGAGCGGAACCGAGGCTCCAAAGTCTTTGCCAGAGATCTGTCTGCCAGAAAGCGCCAACTGTCAAAGCTGAAGACAGAATGTGGCAGCATCGTTTCCGGGGCACCTGAGATTTTGAGTGAGATTGAGAGGTTCTATGGGCAGCTGTACACGTCATCGTTGGAGCCGCACGCAAGTGTGAGTAACGATCCAAGAGCGAGTCTTATCCGACATTATTCCGATGATATCCCGGACGTCAGTCTGAGCGAGATTAGAATGGCTCTCCAGCACCTTAAAAACGGCAAGGCCCCAGGCGAGGATGGAATTACAGCGGAGCTTCTGAAAGCGGGTGGAAGACCGGTACTTGAAGTCCTTCAGAAGCTCTTTAATTCCGTCCTCCATGGTGGCATTACACCGGAGGCGTGGAGCAGAAGTGCGGTGGTCTTGTTCTTCAAGAAAGGCGACAACGCTCTCTTGAAGAACTACAGACCGATTTCCCTTCTGAGCCGCGTCTACGTGCTGTTTTCGAGAGTCATTACGAATCGTCTCGCGCGCAGACTTGACGACTTCCAGCCTCCCGAACAAGCCGGTTTCCGAAAAGGCTTTAGCACCATAGACCACATACATACCCTTCGGCAAATTGTGCAGAAGTCCGAGGAGTACAATTTGCCACTATGTCTGGCGTATGTGGACTATGAGAAAGCCTTTGATTCCGTCGAAATTTGGGCGGTGCTGCAGTCCCTTCAGCGATGCCAAGTTGACTGTCGGTATATCGAAGTGTTGAAGTGCTTGTACAGTAGGGCTACGATGGCTATCCGAGTACAGAACCAGAGTACGAAACCTATCCAATTGCAGAGAGGTGTAAGACAGGGTGACGTCATATCCCCGAAACTCTTTACCGCTGCATTGGAAGATGTTTTCAAGCTTCTGGACTGGAAAGGATACGGTATCAACATCAATGGCGAGTACATCACTCACCTTCGATTTGCCGACGATATAGTCCTTATGGCAGAATCGCTGGAGGACCTAAGCACTATGCTCAATGACCTCAATAGTGTTTCCCAACGGATAGGTCTTAAGATGAACATGGACAAAACAAAGATCATGTTTAATGTCCATGTCACACCTATGCCGGTAGTTGTTGGGAACACTAAGCTCGAAGTTGTTGACGAGTATGTTTACCTGGGACAAATAGTCCGACTAGGTAAGTCCAACTTCGACCGAGAGGTCAATCGACGGATTCAACTCGGTTGGGCAGCGTTCGGGAAATTACGGCACATCTTCTCGTCAGGTATACCTCAAAACTTGAAAACGAGACTGTACACCCAGTGCGTGTTGCCAGTGATGACATACGGAACTGAGACGTGGTCCTTCACTGCTGGCCGGATGAGGAAGCTCAAGGTCGCTCAGCGAGCTATGGAGAGGGCTATGCTCGGAGTTTCTCTGCGTGATAAACTCAGAAATGAGGATATCCGCAGTAGAACTAGAGTGACCGACATAGCCCAACGGATTAGTAAGCTGAAGTGGCAATGGGCCGGCCATATAGCTCGAAGAACCGACAACCGATGGGGAAGAAAGGTTCTCGAGTGGCAGCCTCGTACCGGCAGGCGAAGTGTAGGGCGTCCCCCCACTAGATGGAGTGACGACCTGGTAAGATATGCAGGAAGTCGATGGATGCAGGTGGCTCAGGACCGTGCTTTGTGGCATTCTTTGGGGGAGGCCTATGTTCAGCAGTGGACTTGTGAAGGGCTGTAATGATGAAATGATGATGATGTATCCAGAAACTTTTATTTATTTATTTATTTATCAACAAGTTACAAATAACATCTTATAATAAAGCAAAAACTTAAATCTTACCATCACTCAATAACGTTACATATTTAATTAAAGAGGTAATGCAAATCCAAATTTAAATGAGGTAAACAAAAATACATTGCGAGTTATGATAACATTGTTATAGAAAAGTCAATGTTCTACCCTCCGTACTAGTTTGCACTGTATTACTTTATTGCATTCTATGTAAATATACTTCATCAGTCATGGTTACCTACCGTTTGAGCTTGACACATGAAACCCAGTGGCGAATGACCACGTTTCATGTGGCAACTTAAGACGCGATTGACAGCTTCTTTTTTCAGTCTTTGGAATATTTTTTTTTAAAAAACGTTACCCCCACAATAGGATTTTCTCCTGTAACGTGAAGGCAGTTTACAAACACAAATTGCACAAGGACAAACATCCAAACCCGGAACAAGTATTTGTAGGTCATACAAATACTTGTTCCGTGCGGGATTCGAACCCGCGGCCCCTAGCGCAGCAACTCTTTGCTAAGCCACGCACCACGGAGCTTCCAACAGATGACGATATAACTCATCTCGTACCAAATACGCGACGGGCAGCAGTGTCAAGGGTGCGAGATCTCTGCCACTGCGATCATACATTCGCCCAAACGTGATTATTATGGCAAGCATCTGTAGGCAAAGCACAAGTTTGATGTTAAGACTACATACAGAATTAAATAAAACTAGCTGTTCCCCGCGACTTCACCCGGCTATAATTTAAGTTTTTTTTGCGCAGATCCCTAATTCTTTTCCTTAATTAAATGTAGCCTAAGTTACTCCTTATAACATCAGCTGTCTGCCCGTGAATGTCCCATCAAAATTGGTCCAGCCGTTTCGGAGATTAGCCGGGACAAACAGACAGACAAAAAATGTTGAAATTGGGTTTTTTTAGTGAAAAGCTGTTATTTTGACATTACAAACAGACGCTCCTATTTTATTTATTTGTATAGGTTTATATAGATAAATAATATAGAAAATAGAAATTTTAATTTTATGCCACACAGTATACGTTTACATACAACATCAGTGCTATGTTCTTTAATTATCTGCTGAGCATAAACCTCTACTACCATGTGCTACACTTAACAGAAGATCTAACTAAAACTAAAAACATCTCGCGTCTAGTAACCGACTTGAGTATTAATAATATCTAACCAGTGGCGAAGCTAGGGCTCCAAGTTAGGGCAAGCCCAAGATATGTTTTTGTTATATTTAGCAGTTTTATAAAAAAAAAATTATGAATTTCCAACTCAATATTGCGAGTTTCACTCGCTCAAGTAAACACACAGAGTAAACATTGGAATGTGAAGTTGTGAAGTGAACTTTGCAAACGCACGCCCTCACGCTCCACAACTTCACACTGAAAGCCTGGCTTCTGATCTCCATACTGATTCCTATATAAACAATCGTAGTTATATTTCATTATAGAACATTTTGCCACAGGTTAGAAAGGGAGCGATCGTCTTCCGAGAGCCCGGTAAAAAGCCCACGTGTGCGAGAGAGACGACTAATCCTTCAACTGCGTGTTCCCTTTGAGACAGAGAGAACACGAATCAGTGTATTACGAATTGAAAGCAATCTGCCTAGTGATGACGTTACATAATAAGGCTACGACCTGTGTAGAACAGAGAAGCGCTTTGAAACAGTTTACGAGTTATTTTATAAGTGGATATTATTGATAGGGCAAGCCGGGCTTCTCGGCTTCTGTAGAAGCTTCGTTACCTTATCTAACATACCTATATTAGCGGTGAGGCGTATTTATCGTAACAAAAAAAAACAACAGTGTGTTAAAAATATCAGATTGGAAATGTTATGTCTAAGCCGAAATAACTGTAAACTCTTCTACCGAACCTGGGTTCGATTCCCGCCTAGTGTATTGTGAAATTTATGGGAAGCGATTTCGAATTACGATTATCATGATATTTTTTGCTTAAGACTGCTAAAGGCACATTATTCTTTTAGACATATTTAAGGATAAATTTGTCACTTACAGAATACAAGTAAAACCACACGAATCCCCGTCAACCTCGACACCTTCATCTGGCGAAGAAGCGGAAGTATCTCCTGATGAAAGCCCCGAACACACCGAAGAGCAACAGCCTCCATCGCTCATCGATCTTCTTGGGTAATGAAAATCAGGTTCATCCTCTAACAGCAGGGCCTTAACGAATAAAAAAAAATTATTTCTCAAAAAGATTTTTTTTATAAATTAGTGGTGAAATAGGTTTAGAGAATCATTTAATATCGAGTATATAGTTTCGCTCTAACTTTTGTACTTTACAATAATTGATATCTTAAAATTAAATAACACAGATGTTTATGTAATATATAAAACTGAATGCTTATTTACTAATCTATATCTATATTTGGTATTGTGACATTATTTTTTTTAATTATTTTCACAGTATTTTTTTATTATAGCATCTTTTTAACCGTCTTAGATTTTAGCAACATACAAGAAAATGTTGTTTATTTTCTAAAGGTAATTTCTGTCGCTCTTTTACCCTTACCATACGACTACCTTATTATATACGAGAATAACTTATATATGACACAGTAAAAGTTGAACAATGGAGCCTCGACTATATAAAAAATATTTAATTTTTTTATTGTAATATATTCGATAATAAACTTTTGAAACTGCTCCTGTATCTCTTACGAAGGAACAGACATGACCGAAATACAAAATCGTACTTTACAATAGGATCACACTTTTTTATATAAAAATTCATCAGAATACTATTATTATGTATATAATAGATCATAGTGTATTCTAAATGAATTGTTTATTAATATCATCCTATAACACTCGCTCGTATAACCTATTAATAAAGGTCAATTTGTTTAATTATTAAATTTTAAAAGTAATTGGTGTTCAATTATTTATTGTCATAAAAAATACTAACTACATTAGAAAGATAAATTAATTCAGTAGACAAATATTTAAAAAAAATGTAGTTTCCGTATGGTATCATATAAAATGTGTAACATATATGTTACACATTTTATATGGTACAAGTTACGCCCGAAGACGTAGTACCTTAGTTTACTTAGGTTTTGGGAGGAAACCGAATATTTTTTTTATTTATAAATAATGTAAATCTTCACTTTGAATCAACTTTGATTGTATTATATGTGAGATTTCATATTTTTGACTAAATTAAAAGAGAACATTTTTTTTTTATTATCATTCGGTTTTTTCCCAACCCACTAGGTGAACCTGGGCTTACTACTTCTTGGGACATACCCATAACTATGTAATATTGATAACGGTTTACAGTGGCGAACAAGCAAAGAAACAGGCACAAGAGCGTATGGAGGCACAAGCTGCGCAACAAGCTGCCATGTCGGCCATTGAAGCTGAAAGCAAAAAAGTAAGCGCTTTTCATAACTTTAATTACTTTATAAATATTTTTCTTAGACATTTCATCAAGCGCTTTTTTAATCTCTAGAAAGAAAAAATCAAGAATTTTAAAAGGGCATTCAATTATATTGGAATATTTTGAAATTGATTAATGAAGTCACTCGATATATAGACTCACTTAAAGAAAATAACTTTATAAAATATTATCATATTAAATAACATTACTTAGTTTTATATGTGTACATATTACTTCATTTATCAACCTCTTAATGAAATCGATTATGATTTCTAAAATGGAAAACATCTCGAGGTTCATCACCAGTATTCAGAACCAAACTGAGCTTTATTTAATTTAATTGACGCTTGGATAATTTTTCATAGCTCATTAATTATTCATCGTCATTGAAATTTATCATCATTTGTCGTCTACGCTAATGCAGCAAGGAAAGAAGAAAAAATACTATCTCGCAAAAAAGGTAATACTTTATTTCATATAATCGTTAATTCAACATTTTAGACTTTTACCGTATAGCGGTGGTGTAAGAATATCCATTACTCCATATCATCCCATGAGTGTCGTAAAAAGGAAACAAACCAGGAGATGAGGACATAGGCCTTCCCCAAGGAATGCCACAAAGCACGGTCCCGAGCCACCTGCATCCAAAGACTTCCTACATGTCTTACCAGGTCATCACTCCATCTAGCGGTGGGACACCCTACACTTAACCTGCCGCTACGAGGCTGCCACTCGAGAATCTTTCTCTTCATCTTCATATTAATAACCTAAAAGAATTAAAAAACTGCGTTTGCCAAACTGCCTGCCGAGCGTGGTATCTATGACAAATACCCTTCGTATGAGGCAACCTATGGAGTAAGCCTATGTTTAGCAGTGAATTTTTGATAATCTGTAACTGTAACGGTTTTAGTACTTTAAAACAATATCTCTAATTAGCCGTGATGTGAAGGCCCATTTCATTCCATGAGTGTGTAAGAGGCGACTATGGGAGACACCAGAAGTAGATCATGGCTTTCTATAGATGACTGTACAACCAGTCTTTGTCAGATAAAGTACCCAGCGGCAACTTCCCACTAAGCAAAACGTAGCCGGCCATATAACTTGACGAACAGCCGATGCCAAGACTAGAACTACAGAGTAGCAGTTTCGTTCGGTACGAGCTAAGTCTATGGCTGTCCCACGCTAGAAGAAAGGAAGACCTGGGACAACATGCAGAAATTCGATGGATGCAGGTGGCACATGATCGTGCTTTGTAGCATTCTTTGAGAGAGGACTATGTTAAGCAGTGAACTCTTGAAATGATGTAATGAATGAATGAATAAAATAACCATGAGAAAATTAATTTACTGAAAAAAAACTTTTATCTGAGTACTCTTATGTTATTTACGTTATATTTGAAAGCTTTGATTTACTTTGAATAGGATCCAGTTACATAACTGAATCCAAACTTTCAAATGCTTGTCACATCTTGAAAGGCAACTATGTAATATCGACGTGCTGACACTTTAAACAATCGCTAGTGAACAGGCAGATATACACAACATATATACATATACAACACAAAACACTACAAAATGTATAGAAAGATAAGATAAGGCTACAGTAACGAAATTCGGTCAGATTGAAATTATCAAATACTAATATTAATTAAATTTCTAGGCAGTGCAAGGGCCATCTCCATCGGCTCTGTCACAGGTTGACCTGTCCCAGTACACACGCCGCGCGGTCTCTTTCCTCGCTCGCAACTTTTACAACTTGAAGTACGTCGCTCTGGTGCTTGCCTTCTGTATCAACTTCGTGCTATTGTTCTATAAGGTAAGCTTAAAATATAAAATCTAGTACAATAATTGCAATCTAGTCATGATATAGAGTTAGCCCATTCATTCTGAAACAATTATATTGTTACATGCGTGGTAAGTAAAACTGCCTAATAGGATGAGAAATGTATTTATTACTTTACACACAGTAGGTTCACAATAACATCGTCCAAAATCGCTAAACTTCTTCTCAGATATCCTAAATACTCGCAGGAGTCGTAGGTCGTTATCTTTATAATGGCTTTCTAGAGTTGAATCCACTATCGCGTTCCCGAAATAATTATTTAATTCGATCTCTGACCCATGCTTTTATACCCAAAAAGATAAGAGTAGAAAATTCTAGATGAAACCGGTTCATTACAAACATTCCTCATTTTCGATGCGAAAATTAATGATGAGAATAATCACTGTAAACAAAATAATGGAAATAAAATATGCTTTATGACTTTCTACATAAGATTGACCCTTGTTTGTACTATTAGTACGAAGCGTCAATGAAGAGAAAAAAGTATTAGTTTGAGCATTCTTACGCTCATATGACAGGAGAGATTGATCCTTATTGTCTAGTATGCAGGAGTGTTATCAAGCCTGGGCTGCGGCTTCGGTGACTCGGGATGTAAACACCAGCACACTCAAAAAGAAGTATAACTTTGCCTCCAGGTCCTTCAAAAGAGTTATTGCCAAGGCAAAGTCAGAGCACATAGGCAGAATTGGCGAGAAACTAGTTCGCCTTCCTTCGGGAACCCGTGCATTCTGGTCTCTCGCCAAGGCTGTCCAAGGGAATTTCTGTAAGCCATCACTACCATCTCTGCACAGGGAGGACGACTCACTGGCCCACGACGCAAAAGAGAAGGCCGACCTTTTAGGGTCCCTTTTTGCGTCCAACTCGACTGTTGATGACGGGGGGAACACACCGTCGACCATCCCGCGGTGTGAGTGCTCCATGCCGGATGTGCGATTCTCACAGCGCTCGGTTCGCAGAGCACTCCTCTCCCTTGACATCCACAAGTCGAGTGGGCCTGACGGAATCCCCCCAATTGTGCTGAGGACGTGTGCTCCGGAGTTGGCACCGGTTCTAACGCGTCTTTTCCGGTACTCCTACTCCCTAGGCGTAGTCCCGAAATCATGGAAGACAGCTTTTGTCCACCCGATCCCTAAAAAAGGCGACCGCTCAGATCCGTCCAACTACAGGCCTATCGCCATCACCCCCTTGTTCTCCAAAATAATGGAATCCGTTGTAAACTGCCACCTCATGCGGTACCTTGAGGATCACCAGCTGATTAGTGACCGCCAGTACGGTTTTCGTCGGGGTCGATCAGCTGGTGATCTTCTGGTCTACTTAACTCATAGATGGGCGTTGGCAGTAGAGTCCAAGTGGGAGGCATTGGCCGTTAGTTTGGACATTGCGAAGGCCTTCGATCGGGTTTGGCACAAAGCGCTTCTTTCGAAGCTCCCTTCCTATGGGCTTCCCGAGAAATTATGCAATTGGATCACCAGCTTTCTTGCAGATCGGAGCATCAAGGTCGTTGTAGACGGTGCATGCTCCGACTACAAGCCTATTAACGCTGGTGTTCCACAAGGCTGCGTGCTATCACCAACGCTGTTTCTTCTGCATATCAATGATATGTTGCAAGCTGGTAGCATTCATTGCTATGCAGATGACAGCACTGGTGATGCTCTATACACCGGCCGTGCCAATATTTGTCGGGAAAACGTCACCGAGTACCAGAACAAACTTGTGTCTGAAGTCGAGTCTTTGCTGGACAAAGTCTCGGATTGGGAGCGACTAAATCTAGTCCAGTTTAATCCTCAGAAGACACAAGTTTGCGCGTTTACCGCTAAAAAGAACCCCTTTGTCGTATCTCCTCAGTTTCAAGGTACTCCCCTTGTTGCCTCAGCCAGTATCGGAATCCTCGGCGTCGACATATCGAGTAGCGTGCAGTTTCGTGGTCACTTGGAAGAGAAGGCCAAATTGGCCTCTAAAAAGCTTGGCGTGCTCAGCAGAGCGGGACAGTATTTCATGCCGGCTCAACGCCTGCAACTTTACAAGGCGCAGGTTCGGCCTCACGTGGAATACTGTTCCCATCTCTGGGCTGGGGCTCCCCAGTGCCAACTTCTTCCACTTGACCGCATCCAGCGCAGAGCGGCTCGAATCGTCGACGACCGAGTCCTTTCCGATCGGCTCGACTCATTGGCACTGCGAAGAGATGTTGCATCTCTTAGCATTTTCTTTCGCATTTACCATGGGGAGTGCTCTGAGGAATTGTTCGGATTAATCCCAGCCGCCAAATTTCACGAACGCACATCGCGGCAGAACTCCCGATACCATCCACACCATCTGGATGATTGGCGGTCCACCACTGTGCGATTTAGAAGATGTTTTCTTCCTCGCACAACTTCCTTGTGGAATAATTTACCACCAGCGATTTTTCCGGACCGATACGACTTAGGGACCTTCAAGAAAAGAGCCTACTCCTTTTTAAAAGGCCGGCAACGCATCTGCAATTCCCCTGGTGTTGCGGTTGTTCATGGGCGGCGGTAGTCACTTACCATCAGGTGAGCCGCATGCTCGTTTGCCCCCTCCTATAAAAAAAAAAAAAGAAAAAAAAATAGTAACAAAGACTGATTTACCATACATCGTCGTAATTTCTATTAAAAATACATGATTTCGAGAAGATATTGTAATAATATAGTTGCGGTGTGAACATTACTACCTACTCTGATACCTATCCAAGCCAAAACAACAGCAGCTTAGCTAAGCTCTTTTATGACACTCTTTGGTCAGACCATTTCCCACTTATAATTAGTTGTAATTTAAATTTTATAAATCCTAAGATCTTTGCGAGCGTAACGAATGTTAACAAAGACGTAGTATGGGGTATAAAGAGTGCGGAGCAAATCACAGTGTACGCTAAAGAGTGTCATAATAGGCTAAAATTAGTAGACTTTCCTTCTGAGTGTGCGAACTGTGCTGACCGATTTTGTAGTGACCGTGGCCACAGGCATGTTCTGGATAAGCTTTACTCTGACATTGTTGCCGCTCTCCAAGGCGCGGCGACTTTGGCGAGTCGGGGAGGCGCGAGGAGGGCTGGGGGTGGCCCGCGCATAGCTGGGTGGAACAAACACGTCAGTGAGGCTCACAGAGAGGCCAGATCTAAATTCAATGACTGGGTATTGTGTGGTAGACCCAGGTCAGGTTTTCTTTACAAAGAAATGTGTGATAGCAGAAGAGTGTTCAAGTCCCGATTAAAATGGTGCCAAAATCATCAAGACCAAATAAAGATGGACGCTCTTGCTGTGAAACATAGCAAAGGAGATTTTCGCGGCTTCTGGAAGTCCACCAGTAAAATAAATGTACGACCTGGCCTTCCTGTGTGCGTCGATGGCATGAACAATCCCAAGGACATCGCAAATCTTTTCAAGAGCCATTTTTCTGTAAAATCTCTGTTGGATCCGGTAGTGGAAGTGCTCAGCACTGACCTGGACACACAAACAGTGGGGACTAGTTTCCTGGCAAAAAACGTAACAAAAGCTATAGGAGATATGTCAGGAGGCAAGTCCCCGGGACATGACGGACTTAGTGTTGAGCACTTGCAACATGCTGGACCTCACCTAGCTAGGGTCTTGGCTTTGTTCTACTCTCTGTGTGTGAGCCATTCCTACCTGCCCGCAGATTTCATGAAAACCGTGGTGGTACCCATAGTGAAGAACAAGACGGGTGACTTGACTGACAAGTGTAACTATCGGCCCATTTCTCTTGCCACCGTAATTGCAAAGGTGTTTGACGGTTTGCTCAACACACAGTTGAATAAACATGTAACGCTCCACGATAACCAGTTTGGATTTCGTCCTCGCTTGTCCACTAAAAGCGCCATATTGTGTCTAAAGCAAACCGTCAAATACTACACTGATCGCAGGACGCCTGTGTACGCGTGCTTCCTCGACCTATCCAAGGCCTTTGACCTGGTGACATATAACCTGCTGTGGGACAGGCTGCAAAGCATAGGCTTGCCTCAAGAACTTATCAGCATGTTCCGGTACTGGTACGCAAACCAGGCCAATAGTGTCAGGTGGGCGGGGGTAATGTCGGATCCGTATCGGCTTGAGTGTGGAGTCAGGCAAGGTGGCTTAACATCACCAACCCTATTCAATCTATACATCAACGGGCTGATCGTAGCGCTTAGCAGTCAGCATGTCGGCTGCCACATTGACGGTGTTTGTGTCAATAATCTGAGTTACGCAGACGACATGGTGCTGCTGAGTGCATCGGTCTGCGGCCTGAGGAAGCTGATACGGAAATGCGAGGAATATGCATGTGGTCACGGATTATTGTATAATGTCAGAAAGAGTCAATACATGATCTTTGAGGCCGCTGGTGCGAAATGTCCTGATAATATACCTCAAATAAAATTGAATGGTGTACCCCTGGAAAGGGTTAAACAGTTTCAGTATCTGGGGCATTTACTCACCTTCGACCTAAGGGATCACGCTGATATGGACCGGGAACGGAGGGCGCTGTCGGTCAGAGCTAACATGATCGCCCGTAGGTTTGCGCGGTGTTCAAAGGAGGTCAAGGTTACACTCTTCCGAGCGTTCTGCACATCGCTCTACTCGTGCAGCTTATGGGCTAATTACAGTAGGAAGAGTTACAGCGTCCTCCGCGTCCAATACAATAATGCGTTTAGGGCGGTGATGGGGTTGCCTCGGTTTTGTAGCGCCTCTGGTATGTTTGCGGATGCGCGCACCGATTGCTTCAATGCCACCATGCGCAAGCGGGCCGCGTCCCTGGTGCGCAGAGTGCGGGCCAGCTCCAACACTGTCTTAGCGATGATCTCAGGAAGGTTAGACTGTTATATTATCCGGCATTGTTGCGAAAGGCATGTCGCAGACCAGCTGCCTCTGAGAAAGTATTGATTAATCTCGTCTCCGGTCTAATAAAAGTGTGTTCTTATTTTTTTTTTTGTTTGTTAATTAGGTATTAATTTTATTTTATTTGCTTAAATTATTCTATATACTGACACTAATGCGTATTGAAATTGACTGGATGTATTATTTTAAAATTGTTATCTTGTTGACATTGATTTATGTATTGTATTGCTTTAATTGTGTAGATTAATTTTAATTTAATTTATTGCAGCACTGTTGCCTCAGAGAAAGTTTTAATTATTGATCTCGTCTCCAGACTGATAAATGTGTGTAATTCTGTTATTTATTTATTAATTTTAATTTTATGTTATTTTATTTCATTATTTTATTTATATACTGACATTACTGCCTATTTACATTGACTGGATTTATTATTTTAAAATTGTTATTTTGTATTGAAATTGATTTAATTATTGCTAAAATTTAGGAGACTGATTTTAAATTTATTGATTTTACTGGATATGGGTGTAATTTGCCTGAATAAAGATGATTATTATTATTATTATTATTATTATAAGCACTTCTAATGAAAGAATTCGCTATAAAAATGAAGCCCTACTACGACGAAGCAGCACCGTTGATAGCTTGCGATAAGTGGTCGAAATCGGTCGAAGGACCATCGTCATACTACATTTTATATTCTCTACAGGTTTCTACTTTGGACGCTGAAGGCGGCGAGGGTTCTGGTATGGGCAGCATTATCGCCGGTTCTGGTTCTGGCTCTGGATCTGGCAGTGGTGACGGTATGTACCCATTTCGATTTATTGTTATTTAACCTCTCGAGTTTTATATTTAATATTTTATCTCATAATTGCAAATCGAATTGCTATGTTTAATACGACTAAGAGGAAAGAAAACACTAGTAAAATAGTTGCAAATAATTCACAATATCTTACTCTGCTGATGGTTACTTCTGAATAAAGGTACTCTGATAACGTCGTCATTGTAACGATTGTTATATAATGACCAATAAATATTTCTGAAGTCTATCGTAACCTACTGTAGACTGTCGTAGCCTACCGTAGACTGTCGTAGCGTACCGTAGACGGTCGTAGCGGAACCACAGACTTTCGTAGCTTATTGTAGACTCTTGTAACTTACCGTAGATTATCGTAGCTTTACGTAGACTGTCATATTTAAGCCACGATAATCTACGGTACGTCAATTATTATAAAGAAACCGATCCAATAAGGATAAAAACACTTTCTTCTTGTATTAAATCCGTAATATTTATACAGAAATTTTTATCATGATTCTACTTTTTGGTCGTATATACTTTATAATTTTAATACATACATTTATAAATAAAAGTGAAAAATATGAAATGTTAAGTCCGCTCTTTGTGATCTTATTGTGTTTTGCAACAAAGAATAAATCTTTATATATAAAAATTACGTGTCTACTAAACTACTGAATTGATTTCAATGAAATTTTTCAAACTGTGTGCAGTTGGTCCAACTTGAGAGATAGGATATATTTTTTTATTGAGAATTTAAGATTTTTTTATAGAATGGGTCTTCGGAAAGGGCAGAACAACGTCTGCCTGGTCAGCTAGTAAATTAATAAAATACGCGGCCTAAGAGACGAGATAAGCATGTCACGATGACCTTTACTAGGTTGCATTACGACTGCGATGCGTTTTTAGAACGTCTTTACATTATAAGAGAAAAATGCTCAGTTCAATCGATACTTATAAAAGACTTAAAAAATGGTCGCTTTAAATATAGCTATTTTATTTCTTCTTATTTATTATGCAACACAATTTCTCCTAGGTTTTTTACAAGATGTACTAAATGGCATATATTATCCTTTCACAGTAATATCAAAGCTTAATTATATCCGATGATAATCCGATTCCTTTTTTAAAAGTTCAATTATTCTTTAACTATTAAATTAAATGAATTAGACTTAAAACTCTAAAGTATCACGTATGCTTCCATTTCTGTGCTTTGTTTGTTTTTGTTACAATTTCTTTAATGATATTTTTAGGTTTTTGGAGACAGTTTTTGTCGTTTAACCGCATAATCGTAAATAAAATTAACAGTTCGTTACAAATGTGATTTGAATTTAAACTCTGAACACCCTCTCTAACGAACATTTTATTTAAAAACTCATTGAAAAAGTGAATATACCCAAAGTTTGATACAATAAAAATTCTTTATCGCATTTCGCTGGGCTTTTTATAATTATATATTTAGTTACAACCTATATACGTCCCATAGCTGGGTACAAGCGCCCTCGCATTTCTGAGTGTGTGCGCGTATTAGTTGACTTCACAACATATCCTTGAAATATTATATTCCTTATGTATGCAAGTTTTCTATGTTTTCCATCACCTTTGAGCAAATCAGCAATTAAAAAGGCATTTGACAATTTTATTGTCGCCGACGGAGATCGAACTTTCCGTCGAGCGCAGGCCCTGCTAACATAGCTCCTCTTTATATGCTATGTGGTAGGGTTCATATTCTGCCAAGGAGTCCATCTGATGAGATATCACTCTTTTACCTGCACTGCTGTGTCTGAAGGATACTTAATACTGGTATAAATACAGGCTACGAGTCATTAGTTACTTACTGCACTACTTTGTTCTTATTAAATAGTAAAAAGAATAATTTCTAGTTACCTATGTATTGTTTATAGGTAGTGGCGAGGCAGGCGATGACGACGACAGTTTAGAAGTGGTTCATATAGACGAGGACTTCTTTTATATGGAGCATTTACTGAAAGTCGCGGCAGTTCTACACTCTGTCGTCTCGCTCGCTATACTGATTGGTTATTATCATCTGAAGGTAATTTATATCAATTTATCTATTAAAAATGCGGTTATATCAATAACAAAAAAACTATATTAGATATTTAAATTGCAGTATGATGATGACAGTAGGAAATTCATCGCCCCTTTCGTCCCGTTGGTTTTCTAAGCGGCGACTTTGTGAAGTGTTAACAAATACTCTCAAAACTATTTAAGTAAATTAACAAAACCTCTTAGTAATGACTTTACGTTATTAAATATTCATGGGACGCTACGCTAGAACTAAATACAATATATCAAAAAAATAATGAGGTATGAAAACCAACAGCAACACAATCACGATGCGACATAGGGCAGCCTCGTTGCAAAACCAGCTTCTTTAATTGAAAGAATTACCATGATGTACAGAATAAATACAACAATTAAGACGCGTGATATGACAATTGCCCGCGCAGCACTTCATACTGCTTGCTTGCTTCATACAGCTTTACTCTTTGTGCACTTTTATAAGAAAAACACTTTTGTTCAAAGTGCTTGCTACATATCGCACCCTTAGAATTATAGAGACTCAACAAGGAAACGCAAATTTTTGGTAAGCGCGGCATAAAGATTCACAAGTCTATCAATCTTGTAGAAAACAAAAGATATTCGACTGAATTTTGAAAATATTATGAAATTGTTATTTTTATATCAAACTTTAGTTATTTACCTAGATCATTTTAAATAAATTAATGAAATTAAATAAATAAAACTATAATATTTAAAACATTTTTAAATCATGGTGCATTTTAGGTTTTTATTTTAATGAAATTGGATTTTTAAAAAAGACCTTTTATGTTTTAGGTCTCTATATTTCTGAGTTTTGACTGTAAGATGCGTTACATTCACAAATAAAACACTATAATAGTTAATTTATTTAAGGTAATTTTATATTCGATACATAAAAAACAACATAAGGAATAAAATGTTTTATTAAAAATTAAACTTACAAAGAGTCTTAGCTTAAAAATCTACTTTTATTATTATTATCAATCATCACAACCATGGTAAATAATTTATCTATAAACTTTGCATAACAAAACTTAAATCTTTGATATAAATTGCCTAATAATTAGGTATAGCTTATCACAATCATTAAGGAACTTGTTTGGAACTTAATACTTAAAACTTTCACAATAACTAAAAATTACAGTATAGAGTTATAAAAATCTGCGTAATAACTAGGAATTAGGTTTTTATTAATGAGATCGCGCAAGTCTTTTTTCTTACGTTCACTTAACTCTAGTCTTTGTGAAAATCCTTTAGTCACAGTTATTTCTTCTGGACTCATCAATTTCTTACGTTTGTTCCTTATGTTAACCTTTTTGAACTCACTTTGACTGTACGAAGTTTTATAAGAGAAGATAAATGGTTCGGCTTTATTATACTGCAAAACTTTTACGTCGTTCAAAATAACATTGTTTTTATCATCATCTTCATTGAAATTATATCCCCATAGTTCTTGAAGTGCCTTTAAATTAGTGAAAAACTCGTATGTTAACTCTTTAACGGTAAAAGGTTTCCCATTCTTACGAGCATTTTTAATCAGAGTTACATATTGATATGGTGCATAAATTGGTCCACCTTTTTTGTTTTTTTTTTTTAACTTCTTTCTCAATCAAGCTATGAACATTTTCTCCTTCGTTTTGTGTATGTCCATTGATGAGGTATTTGTGAGTGATGGTTTCTATGTTTTCAAAATGAGTAACTGCATAAGAATATAACGTTATTATAAACTTATTTTTATTCTGTCCACAACAATTATCCGAATAAAAAGTGACATGAAGATTTTTATTCGGATTTTGTTCATTTAAGTTGTTCAGATAGTCTAGAATACACGATCCTATTTCATTAGCTCCCCTGTTTCCTTGCACTTCATCCCAAACGTAGCTGTACACGTCACTGTAAGCACCTATGTCATTGTCATTGTTTTCTTCATTTATTTTACGTTTTGTAGGTATTTCTGATTTCTTAGCCATTAATTCTACTATAGTGAAATTTAGACAATTGAGTTTTGATTTGTGAAAAAATGAAGAAATGTCCCAATAGACATAAGAGGGTTTACCTTCTTGTTTTTGAATTTTATCAAAATCTTTCCAGATGTCAGTTAAGGTTCTATCCCCAATGATGTATTCTCTGGTAGTTGCTGCTCTCAAATAATGAGACTCTATTCTTGGAATTTAGTTTATGTGTTGTTTAATATTCTCAATGAGTGCTGTATCTATCTACAGCCTGTCTTGACACGTGCTTACCTCTTATATCGGTATTTAAGAATCCTTGTGGGTCAGTCTTCTTTTTTACTGTTCTGATCTGACGATCGCATATTCCCAGAGTATTAATGAAGAAAGTCTTACATACCCGAATTCGGGTGTTATTTATTGTGAAATAAAATTCATTATTCGGTAGTCTAGGTTTAGCAGAATTACTATATTTGTACTTTGGCTTAATTTCCATCATGCAATTTCGTATGAAAGATCTTTGTAGTTCTATGTTGCCTAACGACTTTGCTTCCAGTTTGATGGATTTCGTACGCGTTTTCTTGATTTTCTAGTTGTCTCGGAAGTTTTAGTCAATTCGAGGGCAGTGTTGGCTGAAGACGAGGAACTGCTGCTGGATAAACGAGTAGTTCTTCTAGACCGAGAGCTATCTAGAGCATAGGTTGGGTCTGTGTCACTTAAGTCTACATCACTTTCATTTGAATGAATGGGTGACTGATGGTAATTCTTTGTATTTTTGCGTGTAACTTGACCCGTAAGTTGGATGTGGAAGGCCCATCTATGGGTAAATGGGTATTTGATGTATTTTTGTCAAAATTGGTGTGAGCATCAGAAGACGACGACGTTGATGATGAAGATCTACTTGAAGAAGAAGTAGTACTGTCGGATGATGTTGACGAATCACGATATGACTTTTTTGACGGTGGGTATTCTTTTTCATTAGTAGGTACATGTGACTGTTCAGAATTGTTCAACTCTGGTTCTAAAACTATAGTAAATTCCTGGATTTGCGTTTTCGTTTGTAGCTGGAAATAATATTATTTCATTTAAATAGAAGAAGAAATAAACAACATAATATTTAAATTGTCAATTGAAAACCCACCTTGTTGGTGTCAACTACACAAAGCACCTTTGGGTCAAAGTATGGAATGGATCGGTTTGGAGAGTTTTCTATTATGGAAGGGCTATCCGTTAACGATTTATTATTTGTTTCGGGGATGACCTGAAAGTAAATTTTTTAACAAATAAAAATCGGATTAAATTATGTTAGTATAAAAGTCAAAGTACACACAACATCTACCTTGAGGAAACTGTTTGGTAACTACCTAATACTAGCAGTTGTTCTTTACGATTTTACCCACGTAAGTCCAAACTTTTTCTATACCGCGAATAGTTTAAAGTTCTGATGTTAATACAATAAAATAATATCTGTTGACACTATTAATGTGTGTATTTGCCTCTGCAACAATTTGGTCCATCTGGCTGAATGATAATTTATCTGGATACTTCTCACAAGATGAATTAAATGGCAGAATATTATTTTCTTTGTTTGTGTCAGCCTGAAAATATAATATTTTAATTTTTGATATCCATCAATTCAACACCAATCTGTTTCAAATATATTACCAAGGTACATACCATACGAACACAGTTATCTTGGTAATTTTGTGATGTTTCCGTATTATTATTAGCATGTGCCTAAAAATAAGGGTATTAAGAAGGTTATTGCATAAAATAATTACTGTTTTGGTAAAAACAAGAATAATAATACGAACAAAAGTATGTTTACCTGGTTTTTACTGTTGAAATTGACTTTTTCTAAAATATAATCTACTCTTCTCTTCATGTTTTGACTTGTAGGTGAACTAAAATTTAAAAAAAAATATGAACTACAATTGTCACATTCAATAGAAGAAACAAAACAATTTCATTACCAGATAGACATTTCGATCAATATGACTTTTAAAAACTATAACTATTATTACAAGAAAGCCGTAATCACAAATAAGTTTTTATAATGCACAGTATTTTATAATTATAACGACCAAAGGATGATTGAGTCTTTAATTGTAATATATTTTCAGTTAAAGATGGACTTAAACAATAATAAGTCTTGTACACAATTAACATTTTTGCTATAACATGGACTTATTACAAAATGGGTCTTTACTTTATCAAAAAAAAAACGTGTACATACCTTATTTTTCAGTAATGTAAAGACTGAATCCGGATTAGGTCTCCACAAAAACAAACACTTAGCGACTTTCACTTATGACGCGTGGCACATTACTGATTGCGTCACTCTAAACCCGAGAGGGCGCGGGGAACAGGGGCCGAGCCATAAAGACCTAAATTGTGTTTGTCCTTTTCTACTCATAAATCGGTCACTGTTTTAATTAAAGTCGATGCAGATGATCATTTTAGGTCGTTCTGTGGCGGAAAGTCAAAATATCAAAATTTCGTATTGGGTCTGTATAATTCTAAGGGTGCGATATAGTTGAATATTTTTTGGGAACCCAGTCTTCTCTATTTATCATTTTTAACGAGTGGGGAAGTTCGTAACAGAAGCCAAATACATTTATCGTTTTCCGACAGATGGCGCTATTACCATTTTATGTGGTAGAGCCATGCTGCAGCTATATTAATAGTATAGTTGTAGCACGAATGGGTCGGCTCTACCGGGGAAGAACCACACTCTCACAAAATACCGTCGTAGCAGCTTAGCACTGCTTTGTTTCGTATGGTGAGTGTAGAGAACCGGAGACCCTTTTTACTGGAAACGAGGCATTCCATCTTAGTCCTCACGGCTGTCATCGCATCTGCAATTTAATTCGCAAACGAAGATAGATGTAGATGTCTATGGGCTACAGCAACCACTTACCATCAGGTGGACTGTGTGCTCGTATGTCACCCTTAATTCTATTTAAAAAAATTATGTTAACGCCAGGCGTAAAATACCTATGCCTGCAACGGGCGGCAGCATCAAAGGTTTCATTACGATCGTCAATCCGCCTGTCAAGTGCGACAATTAAGGGAATGACTTTTACGAACTGACGTATAAGAAGTCTAAATCTAAAAATCATAGCATTCACTTTTTATCAGGTGAACTTTGTACTTGTTTGCTATTGCATTTCTATAAAAACGGGATTCTAATTATATTTTGCATTTTGGTTACACTTAGGTACCACTGGCCATTTTCAAGCGTGAAAAGGAGATAGCTCGCAAGCTGGAATTCGACGGACTCTACATCGCTGAGCAGCCCGAAGACGACGATCTGAAGAGTCACTGGGACAAACTTGTTATATCTGCCAAGTTAGTTACTATTAGTTCAGAAGAAAACTAAACATATTTAGTATACTATTATTCTTACTTGTTTATCATTTAATTACAACTAGATCTAGATTAGTTTATTTAAGTCATTAGTCTATGTAATCCACTGCTAAACATAGTGCCTTTCTCAAGGAGTGCTACAAAGCACGGTCCGGGGTTACCTGCATCCGTCAACTTCCTTCATTTCTTACCAGATTGTCACTCCATCTAGTGGGTGTCACCCTAAACTTCGTTTACGAAGCCACGAGGCTGCTATTCGACAACCTTTCCTCCCCGTCAATTGTCGCTTCTTTGAGCTTCTAGTATATAACCGGCCAATCACCAGATCAGCTTACTGATATTTTATCACAATTCGACATCAGTAGGGATTTTGGTCAAACCTTAGCGTGATTTAAACTTAGGTTTTGTATTGAAGCAAATTTGTCGTTGTAGCACGTTGTAGTAGCGCTGCCATCGTGTAGCACATAGCTACAACTTTGGAATAAACTGAAGGTTGAATGAAACTAGTTTTACGAATTTCATCGTGTTTTATTTGTAGCACGTTGACAGCGCTGCCATCGTGTAGCACATAGCTACAACTTTGGAATAAACTGAAGGTTGAATGAAACTAGTTTTACGAATTTCATCGTGTTTTATTTGTAGCACGTTGACAGCGCTGCCATCGTGTAGCACATAGCTACAACTTCGGAATAAATTGAAGATAGAATGAAACTTGTTTTATGAATTTCATCGTGTTTTGTTTGTAGCACATTGACAGCGCTGCCATCGTGTAGCACATAGCTACAACTTTGGAATAAACTGAAAGTTGAATGAAACTAGTTTTACGAATTTCATCGTGTTTTATTTGTAGCACGTTGACAGCGCTGCCATCGTGTAGCACATAGCTACAACTTCGAAATAAACTGAATTTTGAATGAAACTAGTTTTATGGATTTCATAGTGCTTAACTTATTTTATATTACCGTCATTTGAGTACTTTACAGCACCCATGTTCACGGGGGACGGATTTCGAGTATTTAAAAAAAATATACATATCATATTGCCTTTACAGATCGTTCCCAGTGAACTACTGGGACAAGTTCGTTAAGAAGAAGGTGCGTGCCAAATACTCGGAGACATACGACTTCGACTCCATCTCGAACATGCTCGGTATGGAGAAGACGTCCTTCTCGGCGCAAGAAGACGAAGGCAGCAAGGGTTTCTTACATTAGTAAGTACTAGAATTTATAATTTTAGCAATTTTATATAACAACGGTGCGACTTTCAATTTACACTCGAGGTAAACTCTTATCGTAAGTGGCCAATGCAACCCATTGATAACTGCAACCAACTTTAAACAGTGAAGGCTAAAGATGCGTTGTCATTCGTTTAATTATACTGGCTCTCCTACAGAAATTACTAATAGGGTGGTATTTTTTTATTTAGTAAGGAATCATCCCAATGAATAAAATAAATGTGTAGGACAAATAAATAAATTTGTTTGAGTATATTTTCTAAACCTCTCGATATTCGTTTCAGGGAACAAACATAACTTTCTCATTTTTCTATATATATTTTTTATAGGATAAGGGTGACAGACGAGCACACAGTTCACCTGATGGTAAGTGGGTACTGTGGCCCATATACATCTACATCTATCCTCGATTATGAATAAAAATGCAAATGCGTTTTCACCCATGAGGACTAAGACAGAATGCCTCTCTTCCAGTCAAAAGGGTCTCTGATTCTCTACACTCACCACACGAAACACAGCAGCGTTAAGCTGCTATTTTACGCTGGTATTCTGTGAGAGCGTGGTCCTTCCTCGGTCGAGCCGACCCATTCGTGCTACAACTATACCAGTAATATAGGTGCAGCATCACTCTACCACGTAAAAATTGTTATGTATGTAAGGTAATCCTGTCCACAGTGGATCAAACTTAAATTTTGAATGATTAATTTATGCAAGGGCTTAATATGCTGTGTAAACCCTGAATTCTTATTATTAAACCAATATGAACATGTTTTCCAGTATCATCAACATCGATTGGCGCTACCAAATCTGGAAAGCTGGCGTGACGATCACGGACAACTCTTTCCTGTATTCTCTATGGTACTTCAGCTTCTCCGTGATGGGCAACTTTAATAACTTCTTCTTCGCGGCGCATTTACTTGATGTTGCTGTCGGATTCAAAACGCTGAGAACCATCTTGCAGTCCGTAACGCACAACGGTAAACAGGTAAATTGTATTCAATCGTGTCACTTCTATTGTTAGTAGTAATTACTTTGTATTATGTACTTTGTATGTGTTGGTAGTTATTTGTTTGATGATGACAATTATAAAGTAATCACTTGGTTAACGACGCTCACGTTGCGTCTCGAACACCTGAAATTTAACGTTAAAGTTAAAATTAAAGTTACAGCCTATATAAAAAATGTATAACAGTATTTTTGGATATAAAGAAAGCTTTTGATACAGTTTCCGTACCCATAATGCTAAAAAGACTAGAAAACATTGGTTTAAGGGATAGAACTCTCTCTCTCTCTTTGGTAGCTACCTTAGAAACAGAAAACAGTCGGTAAAAATTGGAACAACTGTAAGTAAAACTGTAACTGTCAACTATGGAGTCCCCCAAGGAAGTGTGATGGGCCCAACTCTGTTTTTGATATACATTAATGAACTGTGTAATATGAAACTTTATAATGGGCAGATTTTTTCCTATGCAGATGACACAGCTATCGTATTTACAGGAGATACATGGGACTCTGTAAGGAAAACAGCAGAATTAGGTCTTGCTAGGATGGTGAATTGGCTCAATCAGAATCTACTCACTTTGAATATATCCAAAACTAAATATATTTGCTTTACCATGTACAACAGCACTCAACCTACACCTGATTTTCAAATTAAAATTCACGAATGCTCTGTCGTCCAAAGCTCTAGTTGTAACTGCTCTCAAATAAATAAAGTCTCAAATATAAAGTATCTAGGAGTAATGGTTGACCAAAGACTGTCTTGGTATTCACACCTAGAATTAATGGCAACTCGGCTCAGGAAACTTATTTGGATATTTAAGTCACTACGACATGTCTCCACGAAGTCCTTACTTAATAAAATATACATAGCTCTGGTTCAGTCAACGGTAGGCTACTGTATTCCTATATGGGGTGGTGCAGCAAGAACCAGGTTCCTTGAGCTTGAAAGAGCTCAACGGTGCTTAATTAAAGTTATGTTCTTAAAGCCCTATAGATTCCCTACAACTGAACTCTATGAATTGAGTAATTTACTTTCGGTAAGAAAACTTTACATTTTAGCAACCGTTTTAAAACTTCATAGTTCCCTAAAATATCAACCGTCACCAACGACTAGACGTAGAAAATATACAGTACCCTACGAAGATTCATTTAAGACTACGTTTGCATCAAGACAGTATACAAGACTTTCAATTTACTTATATAATAAAATAAACCAAAAAATCAATATTTATCCTATGAATTACCATGACTGTAAAAAAACCGTAGCAGACTGGTTAAGAAAACTTACTTATGAAGAAACTGAATCCCTTCTAGAAAACAGTGCCTTATAAATTTTCACACTTACAGACTTCTCACAGTCATCCATACACACACACACACACACACACACACACACACACACACACACACACACACACACACACACACACACACACACACACACACACACACACACACACACACACACACACACACCACACACACACACACACACACACACACACACACACACACACACACACACAATCACACACACACACACACATACACACACACAATCACACACACACAATCACACACACACAATCACACACACACAATCACACACACACAATCACACAAATATTATTAATTGTACCTTACTGCATGTTTTAAATTGTGTAGATTTTTTTTTTATTATTTTAATTATAATTTAAAGTAATAATATTATTGTACTACGGAAGAGCGGGTCCCTCTACTACAGGTATCTATTTACCTAAAAGAGAGTACCCAACAATATTGTAACAACTTACTACTTCTTTTAAAGCAATAAATTATTTATTATTATTATTATATACGTCCCACTGCTGGGCACAGGTCTCCCCTCATTTCTGAGAGGCCAGACTTACTACGTGCTCGGTGGTGAAAGGAAAATATCGTTAGGAAACGTGTATATCTGAGAAATAAGAAAAAAAATTGAAGACATGTGAAGTTCGCCAACACGCATCGGGGCAGCTTGGAGGACATTTCCTTGCCCTAAAATCCTCTCAGAAACCTGAAATATAAATAATATTAATTAATAAAACATAATATATTATGTAAAATATAACATATAACATTGTTACTTACCTTATATACTTGTTGTCTTTCTATAATAAATAAGTACGTGTGCATACGAGGACGGTGGCACTTACCGCGATTTTTATAGTAGGGTGAAAGTATATTTGCAACATCGGTGTTGCACCGCTGACTACATGATCCTGCGCTTGGAGTCAGTTGCACTAGAACATCATACGAGGTGACACCTATGTCTCCCTCCCTGCGGATGTACACGCGCTCACCAATTTTTTTTTGGTATATTTTTCTCCTAGACAACACTTCATCATCATCATTATTATTATCATTACAGCACATCTCAAGTCCACTGAGTTGTTTCATGTTACTCCTATTGTTGTTAGTAGAGCCGTGGTAGCTCAAGGGTTAAATTTTCGTTGTATTTTCAAGTACGCGAGCAACCCAGGTTCGATCCCCACCGGAGCCAATGAAATTGTTAATTGCAATTGTGAGTGCACTTACGAAGTTATATGTCTGTCTGTCTAAATATGTCTTGATGATTTTCACTAAATTTATACGATTGGAATGTAGATTATATTATATAGTATAAAATATTATATTAATTTAATTATATACAATATTAAAAACTAGAATAATACAAAAAAAAATCTAAAACTAGAAACTTAATTATCATATAGTCCTAATCCCCGCGGTATCGTGCCAAGAACGCTGGCTGCGTTTCCCCGCTGAATGGCTAAACTTAGCCTTTGAGCGAGAAATATAATAATATATTATATAGTCAATCATTTCGAAATTTCAGGGCCCCTGAGTATAGCCGGAAATTTTGAGCTTGTGCCCCATGTGTACTCTTAGGATAAAAACGGAATAGAGCCTAATAATTATTATAAAACCGTACTTTCTAGTATTTAAGTAACAACAATTTTTACTTTAATAAAAAAATGTGTGACTTTGAGGCAAGTGTAAACTTAATCATATCATCTTTCTAGTTGGTGTTGACAGTGATGCTGCTCACAATCATAGTGTACATTTACACTGTCATTGCGTTCAACTTCTTCCGCAAGTTCTACGTGCAGGAGGAGGACGACGAGGTCAACAGGAACTGTCACGATATGCTGACCGTGAGTATTATTATATATGTTAAAAGTAAATATAACACACAACAAAAACATACAGTCGAATTGAGTACCTCCTCCCTTTTGAAGCCGTTAGAAAACTGTTCCTAACAGGGCTTCATAACGTTACCAAATCCCATCACCATCATAACAGCTCATCACAAGTCCACTAATGAAAGTGGGCGTTCCCGAAGGAAAGCCACAAAGCACGGTCATGAACCACCTGTATACAACAACTTACTGCATCTCTTACCAGGTCATCACCCAATCTAGTTGCAGACCGCCCTCCTCTTTGCTTATCGGTAGCAATCTGCCACCGGAGAACCTTGATCCACTAATGGATGATAAGGGTCTAGCCCTTATCATCCATAAGGGGTAGTAGATTTCTCTTACGCCATCATTACATGGCTAACTAATTTAAATATAACTTCTTATATTTACACGAACACTACACATTGAATAAAACTATTTTTTACGGATTTTATCATGTTTAATTTACTATTGTTACGAGCTTGGGGTTCGAGACAATTAAAAACTGCCGAGTAAATTACCAAAATCGACACTTTAATTACAGAGCACTAATTACAACTTAAATCACACTAATAATAAAACACAATTTTACTACTGATCACTTTAGTTCGCAGTTGTACCGCTTCGAAGTATTCGCTTATATCGCCAATTCAATACTGCCTCGGTCGTAGTCTATACCGGCCTTATATAAGGCCTCAAATAGTTTCCAGAACATTCTACTGTAGAAACATCTAAAATGTTCGAGCAGATATCGGTCCCGAAATTTCTAGAAGGATCTTAGGAACTAGGAAGTTCTGCTACTCAATACTAGAGAGCGCTAGTGGTAACTAGTGTTGCCATGTACAAGACATTAATATTGGCACGCAACACTATTTTAATTCCCGCCGTTTCGGGTGCTTTACAGTAACCCATGGTCACGGGGGGGACCATGGGTTGCTGTAAAGCACCCGAAACGTCGGGAATTAAAATGGTAAATTAATCGCGATAAAATCCGTAAAAAAATAGTTTTATTCAATATAACTTGAATTTTTTTCCAGTGCTTCGTTTTCAACTTATACAAAGGCGTGAGAGCCGGTGGCGGTATCGGTGATGAGCTGGAACCGCCCGACGGTGATGACTCGGAGGTGTACCGCATCATCTTCGATATTTCCTTCTTCTTCTTCATCATTGTTATCCTGCTTGCTATCCTGCAGGGTAAGTATTCTATTTTGCATAATCAACCACGAATATGTTGTTTGGGTGTACGTAGGAACTATAATGAACATAATATATAAGGAAAGTAAAAGTTAAAGTTTGAGACGGACAGATGAGCGAGAGCATACGTATGCCGATTGTATAAGACGTGAGACAAAGATGTGTGGGATATTTTTAATATTTTTACAAGGCTTATTACCATTACGATTTCTTCAAAATTTTTTGTCAACGTATGAAATACTTGGTGGCTTCCGATTGAGCAATATGGTACAGTGTCTAAAATAATAACTTGCATTTCAATAGATTTCCCTTTTAATTTAATTTAAAGGAAATTCATTCCTTTATGCCTTGTTCTTTTAAACCTCCGACGAAAACAGAGGGGTGTTATATGTTTGTATATGTGTATATGTGTGTCTGTGTGTGTTTGTGACATCATAGCTCCTGAAAGGATGAATCGATTTTGATTTAGTTTGTTTTCGTTTGAAAGGTGCCTTAATCGACTGTTCTTAGTCATGTGTTAAGAAATATCTCTGCAGCCGTTTGAAAAACATCCGCTCTTTTTGTTTTGGGGGTTTATTAATTTTTCAGTTTAAGTTATTATAGTGAGTAAATCCGTTATAATTTTGTCCTCAAGAAGCCAAATAAAGTAGTTTTTTTTTTAAAGTAATTGTGTTTCCGCTAATTTTGAAAACCATATCCCACATATGATATGGTTGCATACTATGTAACGCTGGTATTCTGTGAGAGCGTGGTCCTTCTTCGGTCGAGCTTACCCACGAGTGCTTCAATCATTACATAGCTGCAGCAGGGCTCTAACACGTATAAAACCAATGTCAGGGACATCTGGTGTTATTAAATAAACGTCAGCCCGCCTGCTAAGCGTGACAACTATGACTAATTTGTAACCTCTAATTTGTAATCTATGCGAGACTTCACCAGTAGACTTTTAATAGGCTGTAATGAAAAACTAATTAATGAATTAATTTTTCAACGTATAAAATAATTCGCAGGAGTTATTTTATACGTGATAGTGCCATGCTACAGCTATATTAGTAGCATAGTTGTAGCACGAATGGGTCGGTGGGAAGGACCACGCTCTCACAGAATACCAGCGTAAAATAGCAGCTTAATGCTGCTGTGTATCGTTTGGTGAGTGTAGAGAACCGGAGACTTTTACTGGAAACGAGGCATTCCATCTTGGTCCTCATGGGTGACAACGCATCTACATTTTGATTCGCAAACGAGGATAGATGTAGATATCTATGGGCCGCAGCAACCACTTACCATCAGATGGACTATGTGCTCGTCTCGTATCGTATCGTCACCCTTATCCTATAAAAAATTGTAAGATTTTTTTACAGAAGTAGTGGTGAAAATCAAGCGCACAGCTCAGAAAAATGTAGATGTCTATGTGCGCTGTGACCCATAAACATCTACATTTATCCTCGATTAAGAACCGAAATCCAAATGCTTTGTCATCCCTGAGGACATTAAGATGGAATCTTTACAAGTAAAAACCGAAAAGAAAAGGCAATTGATATTTCTATCGGAATTTAACATCGCTTCTACATATCAGCATTAATTGATTAGTTTTTCATCATACCACCAGGTCTTATCATCGACGCGTTCGGTGAACTCCGTGACCAACTGGAGTCGGTGAAGGAAGACATGGAGTCCAACTGCTTCATATGCGGCATCAATAAAGACTACTTTGATAAGGTATGCCTTTTACATCATTATCGACCTTATCGAGACTTCTTTTAATTTTACGGTGTCACAAATGACCGGTTAATAGAATGAGGAATTTTTATTTATTTATTGTACCTATAATATTATCTACATATTACTTCCCTCGTGGTAGCGGCATAAGTTAACCCGTCGCTACGTTATCCCACAATTGCCAAAAAGACTTAATGGCTTATAATAAAAGGCGGTATAACCATGTCTTTACGCCAAGCGCAAAATACCAACCGTGATCCGCGACGGGCGGCGGTATCAAAGGTACGAAACGTTTAATACTGCAATTGTCAATCCGTGAAAAATCCGCCATCGTGACGATTGAGGCGAATCCTCGCTATAAAAGGGGAGACCCATGACCAATATTTAACTTTCACGGATTGATGATGATGATCGTCGGTGCTTCAAGTCTGGGAAGTCTGCAGTGTGTGAACATGTTCAAGATCGTCCCCATTACATTAGATTTCATAGACAACAAATGCTCGCAAAAGAACACCGATTCCTACCAAGGATGATTCGCGAGGCTATTGAAATTAAAAAAACATTCTAATTTCAATAGAGAAGATGAATGGGTGCTGCCATCTGCCATCAAAATTAAATCCAAACTAAGCTCATTCTGCGTAGATCGGACAAAAATTAATATTCAAAAACTGAAGGTAGCCGGGCTAACTATGACATCGCGACGTCAAACACCTCAGCAGTCCCCCCGTGACCATGGGTGCTGGAAAGCACCCGAAACGTCGGGAATTAAAAAGTTAAATTAAACGCGATAAATCCGTAAAAATTAGTTTCATTTAATGTGTAGTCTTCACGTAAATATATGAAGACTTATTGGTCGTCAATTTTCCACTGGTTTGTAAAATACCTCCTACCTTGTCCCCAACAACGAATACCTCTGCTTAGTCCTGAGCAATGATATTTTTTATAAGTACGTTATATACACACAAAACCACTGAAAAAAATGTTGCGAACTCCGCCTGCCCAGCACACAAACATTTTAATGGTTTACTTACAATTCACTACATTCTCACTCGCTCGTCTTGTTGTATCTTATGCCGCCGTTAAAAACAGAATATATTTATCGCAGGTTCCGCACGGGTTCGACACGCATGTGCAAAGAGAACATAATTTAGCCAACTACATGTTCTTCCTCATGCATCTCATCAACAAACCCGACACCGAGTATACGGGTAAGGAAATATTTTATACCTGTTCTATTTACTGTATGGTAGTACACTAAAGAAACAAGATGCAAGGATAATCAATATATCTATGAGTAGGGATTAGTAAGAATATTAAGTAGAATACAATTTTTTAGTTTTTTTTTTTTTTAAGTTGGTGTTTCTCTACATGATATAGTTCGTAATGGGAATATCCACAAAAAATCAGAGTGACCGAAATAGCCATACATAACATAAGTGGCAATGGACCGGTCATATAGCACGAAGAACCGACAACGACCTACAACGAAGAAAGGTCCTCGAGTGGCAGCCTCGTATCGTACACTTTGCCTAGTGAAGGCCGATCCCCCACAAGATGGAGTGACAACCTGGTAAGACATGCAGGAAGTCGATGGATGCAGGTGGCTCAAGACCGCGCTTTGTGGCATTATTTGGTGGAGGCCTATGTTGTATGACTTGTGAAAGGCTGTAATGATGATGAATAATGATTAAATGGGTTCATTTTTTTAATGTTATTATACATATTAGTCAATAATAGCTCACTGTCGGGTAATTTCCTTAATAATAATTTAATTGGTAAGGTTTATTGTTCTTTTGTTCTAAATCTCACCATTTTGTTCCAGGTCAAGAAACGTATGTGTGGAACATGTACACACAAAGATGTTGGGATTTCTTCCCGGTGGGAGACTGCTTCAGGAAACAATACGAAGATGTGATGGGAGAGTAGAGTTTAAAATGACATTTCTGTACAAAGTTATTTATGAAAAACTGTATAAAGCGAGTCAATTTTTACTACGCAGCAATCTTTTCAAATTTATAAAGGGTACATATTTTGTTGTATTTGGTCTAAAATATAATACTTAGTGTTGATTTTTCAATCATTAATTTATTCATAGAATAAAATACAATAAACAGTTGTATTAAAGAAACTAATTCAATTGTTTCACTTTTATATTGTCGGGTTGAATTTTTTTGATAACTTTTATCTGACTGATTTAAAAATCAGCTCTTAAAAAAATATCTTTTGACTATAAAATGATCCAACGTTTGAAATTGAATATGAATTACATCATTTCCAGCGTAAAAACGCAGTCTCAGTTTCAAAAAAACTACCTATTGGATTTGCGAAAAACAAACATCTAATAAATTAGGTAGCTATAAATTCCATACAATAGACACAAATAATGGGTAAAATTTTAGAACTCTTTTTTTAAATCTATTTTAATTATGCGTAGTATCTGCTTTCTCGAAAAAGCAAAGATAAAAAACGCGGAGTAGTTGTTTATACGTTCTAATCTATATTCAAAATATTCTCTTCCCTCATAAAAACGTTTCGACGCAGAGTATGTTTATAATATAGCGTAAATATTATTAAACATGGTACATATGTGTTCGAATAAAATTACTTTAAATAATTTTCAAAGTTCAAATTTGTCATTTAAATAAAGAAAAACATAAATTACTACTTATCAACTTGTTGCAATATGTTTAAGGTGGCCTTTCCAGTAAACTTTCTACCTTTTTTTCGATAGTTTATGTAAGATAAGTGTTAATTGAATAAATCTATTTAATTAAATGATTAAGTGTTTAATTTGTCACTTTTTGTACCCGAAGACGATTTCGATCAATTTTGACCGGGTACCCATAGGTGATAGAAATGGGTGTCCCACGACTTTCTACTACCAGGGCGGCGCTACTTAGGAATGCCACCAATTTCTCACTAAATAATCTTGATAAAGATATTGATATTTTATATATTTCTTCAATTTAGTTTTACTGCAATTAATCCTTACTGTTTTTCCTGAAGTGGAAGAGTCGTCACCTGTCAAATCTGTTGTTGCAGATTGCTGTAATATTTTAGAATTATTACATTGTACAAGCTCATTTGTATCCGAAATATACCAGTACGAGACTCCAAAGATTCAATAATTCCTTCATGGGATAATGTCAAAAACTTGTCAATTTCAATTACTCGACTCCAAAGAGCCAGTAATTTCTTCGTAGGACAATATAAATATTGTATAATAAAAGTTCATCATTACAGCCCTTCACAAGTCCACTGCTGAACATAGGCCTCCCCCAAAGAATGCCACAAAGCACGGTCCTGAGCCACCTGCATCCATCGACTTCCTGCATATCTTACCAGGTCGTCACTCCATCTAGTGGAGGGACGCCCTACACTTCGCCTGCCGGTACGAGGCTGCCACTCGAGAACCTTTCTTCCCCATCGGTTGTCGGTTCTTCGAGCTATATGGTCGGCCCATTGCCACTTCAGCTTACTAATCCGTTGGGCTATGTCGGTCACTCTGGTTCTACTGCGGATATCCTCATTTCTGAGTTTATCACGCAGAGAAACTCCGAGCATAGCCCTCTCCATAGCTCGCTGAGCGACCTTGAGCTTCCTCATCCGGCCAGCAGTGAAGGACCACGTCTCAGTTCCGTATGTCATCACTGGCAACACGCACTGGGTGTACAGTCTCGTTTTCAAGTTTTGAGGTATACCTGACGAGAAGATGTGCCGTAGTTTCCCGAACGCTGCCCAACCGAGTTGAATCCGTCGATTGACCTCTCGGTCGAAGTTGGACTTACCTAGTCGGACTATTTGTCCCAGGTAAACATACTCGTCAACAACTTCGAGCTTAGTGTTCCCAACAACTACCGGCATAGGTGTGACATGGACATTAAACATGATCTTTGTTTTGTCCATGTTCATCTTAAGACCTATCCGTTGGGAAACACTATTGAGGTCATTGAGCATAGTGCTTAGGTCCTCCAGCGATTCGAAAAAGCGAAAGCGAAAGGTTTTAGTATATAAAGGATTATACTAACACATATTTCCCTGAGAATGGGGTGATTGTTTTCTTATATAGAATATGGGTAACAGAGCACACAGTCCACCTGATGGTAAGTGATTTCCATTAATTATAAATTCTACCCCCGCGGCCACATACTCCTCGAGTGGCATGGAAAGTAGCGAGGAAAGGAGGCAGTGACGTAGTGTGGCCACAATACTCGTCATGCCGCACGTCATGCTCCTCGTCATGCCCATCGCTCCTGGCACTATGAGTGCGAGTGGCTGGCCACATACTCGCGCAAACGCAGCGCGAATCGAGCGCTCGTTACGGAAGCGTCGTTCTATCGGTCGACGAGTAGATGTGGTGATGGATCCATCTTCGTTGGCGAGAACCACGTACGTCGTCTTATTTCTTTTTTATGACATTGATATAATTAGCTATACTATACGGAGTGACGAAAAAGTTATCACATAAAATGAAAAGACGTATGCTACATAAATTTCTTTAAACATACACAACTAAAAAAATATATAACAATTAATACATTAGCCGCGGTAGCATTTTTTTCGTTTCAATATTAAATAACATCATGTAAATGCATACAGATATCACCTGATGAATTCTAGAAGGTCAAAGACCCATGCCATTTCAAGGCGAATATAGGTAGTTTAAAGGTTATCAAACCTAACTACTCAAATAAAGAAAAAATCAAACAAAAACTGCACTTACGGCTAACAATTTAAGGCATAATTTTATGCGCGAAATTAAAAACAAAGGGAACGCACGCTGCAGGCGTATGAAAACAAAGTCAAGCGAAAAATTTACTTAAAATAATGAAGTTAAGGCATAATTCTCTACGCGCAAAGTGACAAGAAATGGGATCGGGTGTTAATATAAATTATTATTATTCTGGCGCGTGCGACGTTTTGTAAGTCACTTCAGGTCAGTAACCTATATATCAAGGCTGATTTATTTCTTGTCAATATTTTACCCTATTTATTTTGTTTGAAAAATGCATTTTTTATTTTCTTTTATTATTGTTTATTTTATTATTTTAACAGACATATATCAACTTGTATTAACTGCTGTGCTATTTAACGTGATAACCTCGGCGCCACCCAGTATATGCATATAGCGCGCATGCTACCACAGTTGCATTAACCATTGTGTTGTAAACGCGAGCGGCCTAGTGCGGAGCGTCGCGATTAATTGCGCGAGTAGAGCAGTGTGCGGCTAGAGAGGGCAACATCGCGCCAGCGCGAGAAGCAGAACGGGGAGCAGCGCGAAGAGCATAGTGTGGCTGAGCCATAGCATCAACTATGATTATTACCAAATTAATAAATCCTATATAGGCGAAAGCGGGGCGGATCGCTAGTCGCTAGTAATAAATAAAATACAAAAAATGTTGTAAAAATATTTATTTACACAACCTTAAGATTCAGTGAGGCCGAGGATTAAACAATTTTTAATAAATTTATTGGAATGTACCCTGAATGAACTATACAATACTGGCCATATTTCTAATTTTTATTTTTAAATCGCCACTAAAATGAACAAGTATTAGGTATTATAGACACTTCAGATTTTAGGTTTTAAGTGTAGTTTTTAAGCTTGAAATGGCTTCTGTTTAGTATTACTATGGTCAAAAATGTTACACGAAGTAATTTAGCTTAAAACTAAAGACTTATGATTTTTTTTAAGAAAAAATGAAATAATGTTTACGGATACGAAAAAATCAGTATAACCCTGGAATCAGGGATACAGGGGGTTATAGTGCTAATTATTTATGATTTTGACATACTTCATGTTACGCGAAATACTGCATTTTTTAATCGTCAATTTTTTTTTTCTATTTTTCAAACTTGTTTTAATACAGCAAAGTAACAGATACTTTTTTTTGCTTAAAAATATGTCAGAAGAAAGTTTTATTACAACATCAAACCACCCCCCATCCGATGGTAATAAAAATACCTTTGATTCTACCGAGTTCGTCTAAGAACTAAACAAAAACCAATAATAAGATTTTTAATGTTTGCTCGTACTACTATTGAGTCTTAATCAGATCTTTTTAGAACTCATTAATTAATAACGACTTAGATTTATGACATACTTCACTATAAGAAATAGGATTTTTTTATTTGTCGGAAATAGAGATAAGAAATACAACAGTAATTGTTATATACATGTTGTAATGTACTCGTATGTTCGAAAATAAATCAAAATATGTTTACAAAAATAATAGTTTTAAACATAAATTAAACTCATCCTATCATAGCATAATTTTCTTTATCACTTTCATCGGGATCCAATTCCGAATCTGACTATATGTTGGTCATATCCAAAAACTTCAATTTGGGTTTCCTGACTCGCTATTTAACCTAAGTCTAAAATTTCACTGAATAGTGACTGTTTTTTTTTTTTTGACATCCATATTAGGTCTTCTTGCGCTAATAAAAAGATCGAAAGTTAGGATAGGCATATTAAGGATATCCTCGTTAGAAGATTTTTTACTCTTTTTTCCGGGAATAATGTTCCCGAAACCTCCTAAAATGTTTGTTCCGTGCTTATAAAGCTCTTCTGATAGGCTCCCAATTGGCACAATTCATTGTGTTCGATGATATCTGCTCCATGAATCGGCAACTTATTGAACGGTCGATGACATGTAGTACCAACCATATAATTAAACATACCTTTGGGCTGTCTTATATGCAAAATCTTTGAATTTTACATATAAGACATGTTATGGCTTGCAGTAATACTAAACAGAAGTCCTTTCAAGCTTAAAAAACGACACTTGACACTTAAAAGCTCTAAGTCCAGATCAAGTCAAGATTTTCGATCCAGTTAACTGATAGAGAATACAAAGTTTTGACAGAATTATAATAAGAGTAGAGCCTATTCTGCCAAAGTCGTCAGTCATGGGGGTGACAACAATCGTCTAGTTTTGGCTTTGTAGAGCGTTCTCACTGTTATTGTGTCATTTACATCCACTTTACGTACGTATGCATCACACGCAGTTTTGTTTCTGACATAGTCCATAGACTGCTAATATATTACATTGGTTAGTCTTTATACGAATTTCTTGGGAAATTCTACCGGTGCCTGTAGCACAGCCGGTCCCAAACCCGGATAAAAGAGGAGCGTCGGTTAGAAGCGACAAATACTACCTGTTTGCGCCTGTTATAAATAAAATTTAACAATATAGTATTGTCTGTGGAATTGAATTGTGAACGTATTGGCAAAGGACATTGCATCCACTTTCCGGGTTAACTTACGACTCAGTATATGATGCGCCCGCAATAGATGATCTAGCATGAGGCTAGCACCTCTCAGCTAGCCCTAAATATTGATTTTTGTTAACCCGTCAAGCGCCTGGGCATTTTTATTTTTTACACGCCAAACGTGCAGGCCTGTACGGAAGGTCGGCCGATACTGGCAGGCGCTAATGTAAGCAATTATATCTTTTTAATTTTGTATGCCAGCTCTATATATTAAATTTAAACGTATCGAATCGTTATCAATTAAGCTATTTAATTGTATATGAATCAGTGCAATTCTACTTTTTTACATATTATTATCAATCTCATTTCAAAATTGTGTGACAAAATTGTGCGAACGACGCATAAACGCTCGCCGCCCGATGAGAACCGAGAGAAACCAGCAGTGGGCGCTTATATTCATTCAAAGATTCTGGATAGCAATGTATGGGAAAATTAGCAAAATTAATGAAGTACTTTTCTATCGGCATATGTACGTTATAGAGCGAATTTAATTTTTATTCACTCTCCCTCCCCCTCCCGCGTGACCGTCACTCACTAGCACCCCAGAAAATGTCACGTAGCGCGGTTTTTGCCACTTTTAAAGAAAACGATACACAGGAGAAATAAATCATACCTCTTTTTAAAGATCATATTCCATTATTTACATTAGTCATACATATCATGGCGATAAAGTGGAAAATTTTGGAGAAAACTGAACTTGGAGCAGAAAAATCGATAAATGACAAAAATGTTCATATTTCGTAGTGGATTGAGCGGAAATTATAAGTTATATCGCTTTTGTATGTATAAGGTTGATTACAAATTTATCAAGGATCATTTCATACCTACACACTTTTCATGAATCGTGTACGGTTTTCTACAAAACTGAAAAAACCGCGCTTCTAGACATTTCCTAGGACGCGGGGGGTGACGCTCCCCAGAGAAGGGGAGGGAGAGTGGATAAAATGTAACTTTGACTGAGATGGAATGCCTCGTTTCCAGTAAAAAGGGTCTCCGATTCTCTACACTCATCATACGAAACACAGCAGCATCAAGTTTTTTTTTTTCTTTTATAGTATAGGGTGACAAACGAGCACACAGTCCACCTGATGGTAAGTGGTTGCTGCGGCCCATAGACATCTACATCTATCCTCTATTATATATCAAAATGTAGATGCGTTGTCACCCGTGAGGACTAAGATGGAATGCCTCAGTTCCAGTAAAAAGGGCCTCCGGCCACCTGCACTCACCAAGCGAAACGCAGAGGTAAACCTCTACTTCACGCTGGTTTTCTGTGAGGTCGTGGTACCACCCCGGTTCGAGCCGGCCCATCCGTGCGACAGCAAAAGCTGCCGCGTGGCTCTACCACTAAAAAATGATGCTATTTTGCTGCTATTTTGATGCTGCTGTGTTTCGTATGATGAGTGTAGAGAACCGGAGACCCTTTTTACTGGAAAAGAGGCATTCCATCTTAGTTCTCACGGGTAACAACGCATCTGCATTTTAATTCGCAAGCGAAGATAGATGTAGATGTCTATGGGCCGCAGCAACCACTTACCAACAGGTGGACTGTGTGCTCGTTTGTCACCCTTATTCTATAAAAAAAAAAAAACTTAGAGACAACGCTCTACAAAAACGATTATAGCTGATAATCAATTTCTTAAGCTCAATGTGTAATATTTATGGCTCAGTATTATAGTTATAATTTTATGGCGTGAGTTCAGAAACCAACCTACCATAACTGTAAAAGGTTTATAACCTTTTTAATATGACCAATAACGTTTATATACAATTTGTGCATTATATAAAACAGTTTTCTTATTGCAACATTTTATTTACACTTACAACAATGTCAAAGATGTTAAAAACTATTTTGCTTAATAAATTTTTATTAATTTTTAGTTGTTTTGGGATTAGTGGTGATTTTGATAGTGTCATCACCTCATTTTATTTTATTATGTGGCTCTTAGCTAATTAACTTTTAACATCTTTATTATAATGGATTTCCGCAAAGTAACGTTTGATTCTCTTAATTAACTTAGGCGATATTTATTTACAACAAAACATTTTATATGATTATAATAAGTACATAGTTTATTAATTTCTCTTTAATCTGTAAATAGCTTATAGAGAAATGTGAGCGTCATAAAAACAAATGATTGAAGAGAGATTAGCAAAGACGGGTACAAAAAGAAAATATTGAACGCGCCAATACATATCTATCTTCTGTTTCTTCTTTTCCTATCTTTCTCTCTCTCTCTCTCTCTCTTTCTCTCTGTCCCTCTCTTTCTTTCTCTATCTCTTTCTCTCTGTGCTTAGAACTCTCCGTTTCATTTTTATGACGCCGACATATCCAAATAAAATAAAATTTTATAAAGTCTTACTTCCAGATTTTCTTTTAATTTTCTTCATTTTATGCTAGGTGGTAGCACTCCTTTTCTGCTTAGTAGGCTGTCTATTAGACTCTTTTTTTCTATTTCTACCGTAAAATAGCAGTGCCTGCACTGCTGTGTTTCGGTTTGAAGAGTATATAAAGCCAGCAGAATAACAGGCTGTAAGGCATACAATAGTTTGAAACTGGATATTTTGGTTTGCTGTTAATTAGTCTGTGGACTGTAGTGGCTATTTATCATCAGGTAAGGCTGTAAGTTCGTTTGACGCTTCAGTTTTACAAAAAAAAAGTAATATTCTAATTACGAAAGATATACTAAACAAAGGATGTGAGACATTGTGGGATAGGTTTTATATGGGTACCAATAATATTAGAGCCAAGTATTTATTTTTACAAATCAAAACAGACTACTACCTTGAGCTTAGTATATAAAAATTTATATTACTATGTAACAAAGGCCACATACTCTTATTTATAGCTTCACAGACATTATTCTCCCGCCAAAACGCATCACATATACAAAATGTCTCTCTTGTCTATACTTTTCATAAATTAACTGTAGCTTATAGAAGTAATTCAGTCATTGTCAACCGCAAATCTGAATCCTAGCTAACAGAAGGTTGTTTATGGGCTAGGTACAGAGTGAAAATACTAGTTAGTGCGCTGACTAAGAAAATAACGTCGAACCATCTGTGGTAAAAGTTAAATTGTAGATCCCCTAGGACTTGTGTTATTATGATGCGGTACTCCGGTGGCATGTTCATCCGCATCAACAGGACGGACGAACAGAAATACATGCCCATTATCTGAGCTAGTATAAGCACTATGATATTCGACGATTTCGATGACGAGATTTTGTAGAAGAACTGAAATTAAAAAGTGAATATTATTCATCAGTGTAGTTTAAACCATGTAGTGTCGATGTAAGAATATCTACTGTCCCATATCATACCTTGGGTGTAGAGGCGACAGTGGGAAGCTTTACTTGGAGATGGGCAGCAGCATCTTCTTGATCACAGCCGAATAAAAAAAACTGCGGTTGCCAATCCGATTGCGAAAGCGTGACTGACAACTTATGGCAATTATCCTCCCATATAAGACAACCTATGGGGAAGGCTTATGTTCAGTAGTGGACTTTAGATAGGCTGTAATCTATATATATACAAATAAATAAAATTGAAGTGTCTGTTGGTAATGTCAATATAACAGCTTTTTACTAAATGCAAATGAAAGTATATACGATACTTATAACAAAAGCAAAACTTTTCAAAATTTTGTCTGTCTGTCGGTCTGTCTGTCTGTTTGTTCCGGCTAATCTCCAAAATGGATGGGCCGATTTTGACGGAACTTTCACCGACAGATACCTGATTTTATAAGGAGTAACTTAGGCTAATTTTATTTTAGAAAAAGAATTAGGGTTCCGCGCAAAATAATGAAAACCCTAAATTACACGCTGACGAAGTCGCGGGGAACAGCTAGTAATTTAGTAGGAATGTGACCACTATGCCACAGGATGAAGAAAAAAAAGTTAAAGTTACAACCTATATACGTCCCACTGCTGGGCACAGGTCTACTCTCCCTTCTAAGTAGGTTTTAGTTAGTTAGTTAGTTAGTTTAGACCTCTCTGGGGTCGTGTAGAATTACCGTCCCATAAAACTACGAAAGTAAGGAAATATAGAGTGCACATGTGCTTGCGCATACACTTGGACACTGTAATTCTGTTTTGCGCAAATGTTGAATACACCTTATTCTCATATGTTGGCAAACCTAATTAGGGCATCCACGACTTTTTCTGCCACCAGGGCGGCGCTACTAGAAAGTGAGTTATAACATTTGACAGATTTCATAGCGGGGAAGTGAATTTGTTCGGAAAATGTAAAAGTTGTTCCTTCTTTCTGTAGTATTAGCTATATTTTATATTAACAACATTAAACATAAATAAACCAAACCAGAGATTTTCATAAAAGTAGGAAAATTTAAAAAAAAAAGTTAAAAATGTGCAAAAAAATAAAGAGCAAACCACTGACGCACTGTTTTTGTATTAATATAATACTCTAGAAACTGATAAACTTTTATTAAAAAAAACAACTTCTCAATTAAACTACATTGTGTAACAAAAAACTTTACCTCAGTGTCAACTAGCGACATCTGGTGAGCAGAAAATTATTAGCCATCATTAGTAGTGTAAAAGGCATTAGTAGCACAATTTAAAATAGTAACTAGTGTAGTAAGTAACCTGCAGTGGACCCTACATATCTTAAATGATAATAATAGTAACTCCTAAAATGTTGGCTTGATTTCTAGAAATACATACCTTAGTAAGTGTGAGCAACAACCCTCTAATACTAGTAAGCACTATACACCCAACCAGCATGAAGGAGACGTGTTGAGACCAGAACGCGACGTCGATGCTGAGACCGAGCCAGTGGACCACGATCTCGAGACCGCGAGTCACGGGGTCTTTCTTGCCCACGCGGTCGAAAACTATGTTTATGGTTGACTGTAAAATAAATTTAAAAAAACATTAAACAATAAATAAGTATTATCGGATTTTGTTTAATTTTTTTCGGTATGTCCATGATGTGTATTATATAGCTTCTAAAATTTTTGACATAATAAAAAATTTGGTAGCATGTTGTTCATTTGATATGTCACTAGTACGAGAAGATAACAAAATATAATAAATTTGTATTTTATGTACTTCTCGCATATATATATATATAGTACAGGTAGTACTATGCTTATATTCGGCAACAATAAAAAACAGTTATATTCAAATATGCTACATACAAAATATAGAAACAGCTTCTCAAGTACTCTTTAGAAGCTATGAAATAACAGGTATAAAAATAGAATGTATACAAAGTCATTGTTCGCATATAGGTAAGTAAGCTCCGTCTAATATTCTCCCTGTTGAATGGCCGTAGTATAGAACGCTCCCCCTTATTGTTTAGTGTAACTAGAGATTTTCCACTTTGGCCTTAGGAGGCCCGACCTACGTCTGTTCGTTGAAACTCTCCTGAATGGGCCCCAGAGGATTTGACCTTTATGGGAGCAGCCGCAGGCCGTAACAGTCATATTATGCAATTTTAAATAGAATTGTTATGGATATGTCGCAGGTTGGTCAAAAACCTAGGCTTTTGATCAAGAACCGAAAGAAGACAAAATTAATATCTTATCATTTTGTTTTTCTATCAAAAACCTGAACTCGTTTATGTTTATGATAACATTTAAGCTTAGGTTTAGTTAGGTTAGTACAGGTTATCTAATTCTTTTATTTATTTAAAAGAAATAGTTACCGACATTGATTTTTTATCATAAAACTAAATCAATTTAGGATTTTGATTAAAAAAACTGGATTTTCTCAGGTTTATAATAACACAAAGAAGTAATTTTGCCTTTTTTCGGTAGTCATGGGATACGCATCCAAATTACCTGTCCGGTAGTTGTGGTATAGTATACGGGTATGCGACCCCGGCTTCCCTAGCTATTACTGTCCTATCCCTTGCCCTCCTGGGCGGTAATATCCTACATTTCCTATTTCCCACTCTAACTTACCAATCTTCCTTTTCACACCACCTATCCTTCCTGTTCCCTATTCCTACCCTCTCCGCCAATCCAATGTCTGCCGCGCGGATGGATGCATGGCTAGGGGCAAGCCTAGTCGTTAGCGTGCCACACTACCCTGGGACCGGGCGACCCCAGAATTAGGCCAACCTTACCCTTACATGCGGGGCTCTGCTGGGGGGGACAAACTTTTCCCTCGCTATTCGTGGGAACGCAATGGATAATCATAAAAAACCAAAATGGCGGCAATGTGGTTCGCCACCAATAGCGTCTTGTTTGTCGCGGGGGCAAAAAGCGGCCCAAGGAGAAACGCTTCGCTACGTTGAATGTAAGAGGAGGAATGGACGGTAAGGTAGATGAAGTATGTCAGATGATGGATGAACGATGCACAGATATTCTGTGCGTGAACGAAACCAAGAGGAAAGGATGTGACTACCACGGTTCATGGGCCCCTACACGACATACTTGTCGGGAGTCCCCCAAACCAGTCGAGGCTGTCAGGGAGTTGGTGTGATTCGTTCATCTCGATTAGTTGAATGTGTGATGGAGCATGAAAGTGTAAGCCCCTGACTCCTCTGGATTAGGTTAAAAGTCGGACTCACTTGCTTGTTTATCATTGCGGTCTATGCACCGACGGATCTGCGCGGAGGTGGGTCTTTAAAAGCCCAACAAGAGAGAGAGAGAGGAATATTGGGATAGCATTAGAGAGGTCTTAAATAAATGCGGAGAAAATGAACGGATCGTAATGTTAGGGGACTTTAATGGGTGGGTTGGAGTAAAGCGTGATGGGTATGAAGGAGTTCTGGGTACGTTTGGGGACAAGAGAGTGGATGACAATGGGGGAAGCCTGCTTGAAGTATGCTTAGAATAACGGAATCTTTGCGTGGTCAACACAATGTTTGAGCACAAAAAGATCCATTTGTTTACAAGAGATGAGGGTGAGTCTAGAAGTATGATTGATTTTGTAATTGCAGATGAAAGACTGAGGAAGGAAGTGCTAGACACTCGGGCATACCGTGGTGTAGGCCTCGACACAGACTACTTCCTGGTCATAGCCCGAATGCGTGGCCTCTTTAAACGGTGGCGACAGCGAGGGGCCGAGCCTACGAGTGTTTTATACAGAGTAAAAATAGAAAATCTACAAGAAAAAGAAAAGAAAGAAGAGAATGTAGAGAAACTGCAAGAAAGTTTTAAAGGCATAGAAGAGATAGGTGTGATTAAAGATTTGTAGGAGACATTTAAGAAAGGGGTCGTGAATGTTGCTATTGAGGTATGGGGGTAGCTAAAAGAAGAAAAGGAAGAAAGAACTATAATGTGTGGATGGATAAAGATATACAAAGGGTTGTGCAAGAAAAGAAGAAAGCGTGGCAAGAACGAAGTATAAAAGATATTTAGATATACAGATCATACAAAGCGAAACAAGTATGTAAGGATCGTAGCAAGTGGAAAGAAGTGGTCTCTGCCTACCCCTACGGGAAAGAGGCTTGATTATATGTATGTATGTTGATCAAAAGCCTAGGTTTTGGATCACAAACCAGGTTTCGTCATAAAACAGCGACATAATACTATATACCAATTTGGAGGGGATAAGTTTTCAAATAATTACATAAAGTTTATGTAGCTTTAAAAATATTACAATTTTAAAAGGATGTATAATTTTATAAAATTTGTTTGGTGTATGGAATATCGACAACAATGTATGTTGTATGCACTTTAAGTTAGGAATGAATGATTGAATTAATTAATCACAATCTACTCAGATTCATATCAAAACTCGTGTAATTGACTTGGTCGGACCTGTTGTTTTAAAATAACATTCGAAACTACACATATTTATTTCGGTTTTGCTTATAGTCATGTATATTTTTAATTTTAAATATTGGTTATTGTCCAAAGAAAATTTTAGCCAAGAAAATATACATACAATGAAGATCTTCCATATGCAGTACAACGAGAAGAAGTAACCAAGGAAATTGAAATATTTCCCTTGGAATGTCTTAGACCACTCTATCTTCTCTCGCATAGTCCGAGCGTCATGCGCTTCGAGAAAAAGCTGTCGACTCAACTCCTCTAGACCAGCGATCTCTTGTCGTAGTTGATTTATATCTAAAACAATATAGTTTTTTTAAAACATCAGCATGTGAGATACAACGCATGTGGGAGTTTGGCGCCCAACTTAAATTCAAAAGTACGTGAGACAAACAGTTTGAGCAACACTGAAATTGTTAAATTTAAGGTTTTTTAACCTACTAAAGTGGCGGTGAAGGTAAACATCGTAGGAAAATCTGCATGCCCGAAAAATTTAAAGGGACCTAAGATACTTGCCTAGTTTTGGAATATAGATGTCTATGGACCACAGCATCCACTTACCATCAAGTGGACTGTGTGTTCGTTTGTCACCCATATTCTATAAAACATATAATAGACAAACTCAAAATAAATAATTGTACATTGCCAGTGTAAATAGGAAAATTAAATGGTTTATTATAGTAAAGTTGCAGCCTATTTATGTCCCACTGCTGGGCACAGGCTTCTTCTCATTTCTGAGAGGGTTTTAGGGCAAGGAATTGTCCACCGCGCTGCCCTAATGCGTGTTGGCGAACTTCACATGTCTTCGAAATATTTTTTTTCTTATTTCTCAGACATACAGGTTTCCTCACGATGTTTTCCTTCACCGCCAAGCACGTGGTAAATTAGCACTTAAAATTGCAATTAACAATTTCATTGGTGCCGGCGGGGATCGAACCCGGGTTGCTTGAGTACTATGAAGCTTACAGCGCCACCACGACCATCTGAGCTACCACGGTTTATTATAGACTACAGGCAAAATTACATACCTTCTTCCCCCTGCCCGTATCCCAAGTTATTTAGGATCAGCAATAAAAAGGTAAATTGGGTGACCAATATTCAGTAATTAAACCCTCTCAGAAATGAGAGGCCTGTGCCCAGCAGTAGGACATATATATGCTATAACTTTAACATAACTTTATTTTTTACGTGGTAGAGCCATGCTGCAGCTATATTAGTAGTTTAGTTGTAGCACGAATGGGTCGGCTCGACCCGGGAAGGGCCACGCTCTCACAGAAAACTAGCGTAAAATAGAAGCTTAACGCTGCTGTGTTTCGTATAATGAGTGTAGAGAACCGGAGACCCTTTTTACTGAACAAGAGGCATTCCATCTTAGTCCTCACGGGTGACAACGCATCTGCATTTTGAGCCTTTATTGAGGATTAGTAGTTAGTGGACGTCTATGGGTCACAGTAACCACTTACCATCAGGTGGACTGTGTGCTCGTTTGTCACCCTATCCTATAAAAAAAATTGAAAAGTAATTTATACTCTTACACCCGCTGTATGTACATATTTGAAATTTACTAGTTAACTTCCCAGCCTGCCAATGTGTATTCACCAGGCGGGCGTACATTAAGGCCGGCCACATACAGAATTCCGTTTCGAGATTCCGTTTCGATATTCCGATTCGGAATCCCGAACGCAGCAAGTCCATATAAAATCTATGACCCGCCACACACGTACGGTAGTTTTCCGTTCGATAATTTGCGGGCAAAACGGAATTCCGTTTGTGTGTGGCCGACCGTTCGGAATTCCGAAACGGAATCTCGAAACGGGATTCCATATGTATGTGGCGGGCCTAAAAAGGATTCAATTCTCTTCCAATTCGAGATACTATTAATTACACTTTCATCTATTCAGTGCGCTACGGTGGCAAGTAGATTACATCGCTAAGCTGATGCGCGTGCACATACATTCCTTCCTACATGTTACTGTTTTGACGTCACGTGCCTGGCTGGTCACTCTCGCCCTCTTACCTTTTTATACAAAATTGATAAAAGTGAACCACATACTACAGTATAATCTTTATGAAATGTTGTATATTCACTATTGGGATTAATATTTACTCTCTCAAAAGATAGTTTAATCACACACGCCTGCCATGCTAGGGTAGGCTAGACAAATATGGCAAATAATCCCCCCCCCCCCCATAAGGCAATCGATGAAGAAGGTCTATGTTCAACAATGGGCAATTTAATAGGCCGTAATGAATTAACAATTGATACAAGAGTAATTCCTAGTGATTGGCTGATACAATACCCACGAGAAAAGCTTACACTTCGAGAAAAATAAATAAATATACATATTTTACATACTCTCCGTTCCATGACTTAGTGGATTAGCAATACTGCCAACACTGGAGAGAATATTCGTCCAAAATCCTCGATTTTTCACGCCGGATTGATCCAACAAATTATATTGCGTTCTTCCGCTCATGCTGTTGGCCTCTGCTAATGCTATCCTTTTCTTTTTCACCAATATCATGTCCATAGTCTGCAGCAGTTTCTTCTCTATTGAGAGTACATCAGCTTGTGTAACTGGTCTAAAAATATTATAAATGTTCAAAAATATATTCATCCATTCATTAATTACTGCCTATTAAAGTCCACTGCTGAACATAACCTCCCCATAGATCAGGGGCGGATCTACTTAAAGGCTTTTTGGGCTGCAGCCCAGGGCCCCGTGAATACAGAGGGGCCCCAACCGAACTGAAACCAATAGACGATATTGTCAATAATAAAAATTATCTAGAATTTAAAAAAATCCGATCATAAGGTTGGCAACACTACGATCAATCAACCCGTGTGCGCATCTATCAAACGGAACGGGGAATTCCCTGTCGCTTGTTTTCGATCGCTGTATTCCGTGTATTGTCTATTACTGGGGTCTTCCCTCCGCTTATCGCCCGACGCAATTTTGTTATTTTTCCGCACTTCTGCTATCGTCGACTAAGTATATTAACGAATTGACTTTGTTATTGTTAGAAGTGTGTTTACTGTTTAGTGCGTGTGTTTAGTTTACTAAGTGATAGATAACTTAAAAGTTATAAGGACCGGACTTTTCTTTTAATTTACTAAAATTGAAAGTGTTCAGCATAACTAGACTTCCTGCTTTTAATAGGCAGTAGGTAAGTAAAAAGAATTATAAAACATGACTTTTTTATTTTTATTTCAGTTTCAAAACTAAATGAATCGAACTCGTTCGATATTACGAACGAACGAACGGTTTCGTGGCAGTTTTAGATACATGGCCACTAAATGTTGGAACAATATACCACCACCTATACGGGAAACTAAATCTGTAAACGGTTTTAAAGCTAAATTAAAAATACACCTTTTAGCATCTCAAAAGTCATTATTTCACGTATAGTGGCAGGTTATTTCATAGATACATAGATACATCATATATATGGATATATGTGTATGTTTAATTTTAATATAATTTACAATACTTTTATGTATATACTTGGAAATATTTACTTTCAGTGAATGGTAAATTCATTATTTTTCGTTTATGTTGTTACCGATATAGTCGCGGGCGCAATACGGAATCAATATTTATCAGGGCTCCGCTGAAAATCAGCGCTGCTGCAGTATCTGTGGTAGCATATGCTGAGACGGAATCCTTTTGGCATCACATCACTCACTCTTGTTGCGATTTATTTTATTTTTATTTATGTTTTTCAACTACTTTGTATGTTTTTATGTCTCATTATTTCTAAATGTATATTTTGTGTGTGTATTGATGCTAATAAACATATGTCTATGTCTATGTCTATGTCTATATTTAATGATAATTTGGGAATTGCTACACTCATTACAAAGTAGGTATTAAAATTAAAAGTTCTATCCAGTTCTTTGTTTATTTTCAGAAAAATATCTTATTTTACAGTATGTCTGCTAGAAAATATAAAAGTGGAGCTGAAAAAAGAAAATTACAGTTTTGTCGAGAAAAAGAAATAAATAAATACGCAAAACTTGAAACTTTTCTTTAAATCAGAACATATAAACGCGAATGAAATAGCTATAAATCCATTAAAAAACGTAAAGGAAGGTATTTTATGCGAAGAGAGTATAACCGAAGGAAGCAAAAAACCGCAAAACCAGAAAAAAAATACCAACGATGAAAATATACAATATCTTGACTTCGAGCAACCCTCTGGTTCCTCTGAAAACGAAATTGGTGTTCAGCAAAAGAAAGGTAATACCGATACCGAGGTGGAAAGAAATTTAGAAAATATTAAGTTTGAGTTTGAGAAATATGTTGACGTGGGCTTGTGGCCAGATTTGCTAAATAATGATTTTATTAATTTCGTCCTCTCACATGAAATGACTGACTTTCAAAATAAAGATCCGAAGAATATATATTCAGCTTCTATGAAGAAATATAAAGAACAAAACAGATCTTTTTCAAATAGGTATTTCACTAGAAAAATGAAAAATGGCCAATTACTGGAAAGATCTTGGTTATGTTATTCAAAAAGGGTTGGTACTGTTTTTTGTTTGACTTGCAAACTTTTTTCTAAAACTCCTTCTCAATACACAACCGGATTTTCTGATTGGAAACACATAAGATTTTGTTTAGAAAATCACGAAAATTCTAATGAACATAAAAACTCAATGTTAGTGTGGTTGACACGAAAAGAAAATAAGTCTGTTTTAGACAAGCAGCTTCAGGAGCAATTAAATAAAGAAACAGAATATTATCACAATGTCCTAAAACGGGTTATTGCAGTGCTAAAGTTTTTGTGTATAAGAGGCTTAGCACTTAGAGGTTCCGAGGAAGTATTTGGTTCTCCACATAATGGTAATTTTATGGGTGCTCTAGAGCTATTGGCAGAATTCGACCCATTCATACGTGAACATATTGAACAACGAGAGCTGCGACCAAACCCTGTAATATCATATTTATCAAAAACAGTATATGAGGAAATAATTGAGATTATGGGTAAACAGATAATTAAACAAATTATAACTGAAATAAACAACGACGACACAAAGTATTATTCAATTATGATGGATTCAACCCCAGATCTGTCTCACGATGACCAACTTGCTATTGTATTACGATACTGTTTTCGGGGAAAAGTGTATGAAAGATGTGTGTCTTTCATTAAAATTTGTAGTCATACTGGCTTATATTTATTTAATATTCTAGAAGCCTTTTTGGAAACAAATGGACTACTACTGGATAATTGCAGGGGACAGTCATATGACAACGCTGCTAATATGGCCGGAATCTACAATGGTGTACAAGCACTACTAAAAGAAAAAAATAAATCCGCGGATTACGTGCCATGTGCTGCGCATTCCCTTAACCTAGTTGGTCAAGAATCCGTGAAGGTTGCAACCGAAATTGTAAATTTTTTTGGAATAGTGCAAAAAATATACGTTTTCTTCTCTGCTTCGACCCATAGGTGGGAACTATTAAATCGTGAAACAAAAGTAAAATTTACATTAAAAAGTTTAAGCCAGACCAGATGGTCTTGTCACTTTGATGCTGTCAGAGCTTTGAAAAGCAATTATGATGGCATTATGAAAATTCTCAATAGTTTCGGCGAAAATAACGATGAAAAGGTTGATTTCCGAAAAGAGGCACGAAATTTATTTAATAAACTGGCGAAACTAGAAACTGCAATTTTAATTATTTTTTGGGAAGAAATTTTGGAGAGATGTAGTTAATAAAAAAGTACAGAGCCCTGGTTTAGACATTGGTGAAGGCAATAAGTTAATTGTGTCATTAAAAGAGTTCGTGAAAAACATAAGGCAACAATCAGATCAGAAGCTAAAGGAATACGAAAAGAAAGCTAAAAAATTAAGTACTAGTGTGGAAACAGACTACAGTGACATAAATAAGAGACGCATTACTTCAAAATTTTCAGATAAATCTACAGATAAAGTCTCAGTAAACGGCGCAGAAAAATTTAAAAGAGACACGCTTAACGTTGCGTTGGATAAGATGATTATGGATTTAAATTATAGAAGCCAAGCCTATGAGACCTACAGCAAAAAATTTAAATTTTTAATGGATTTGCAAGATAGAAATCAAGAACACATAGATCTGGAAAGTGTACGTAATATTATTGATTATTATCCAAATGACATAGACGAACATTTAGTGAATGAGTGCATTCAGTTAAAATCTTACTTACTGCAGTCTAAGACAGAGTCTTACACCTCTTGCAGTGAAATTTTTTGGCTAATTTATGAAAAGAAACTTGTTGATGTTTTCCCAAACTGCTATACCATCTTAAAGATTTTTTTAACGATGCCGATCACTAGCTGTGAAGCGGAGCGTTCTTTCTCCAGGATGTCGTATATAGAAAACAAATACAGGACAACAATGTCGAACTATCGACTAAATCATTTATCAGTTCTTTCAATAAATTGCGATTTAACAAAGGACCTACAGTGCGATGACCAAATAAAAGAATTTGCAGCACAAAAATGCAGAAAGGTTGCTTTATAATTTATATAACATAACCATCTATAACCTGTCAATTTATTTTGCAATAAATAATGTTTTAATAAATAAATAAAATATTTTGTTTTCCTATTTTCTTCCTGTACTTAACATATATTACATTACATATACCTACATCACTTCAGAAAACAGTTTCTTGTCAAAATGGCAATTAGTTGAGTAATTAGGTAGGGCCCCTAAGCAGTATTAGCCCAGGGCCCCACAAATTCAAGATCCGCCCCTGCCATAGATTGCTACATAAGGACAGTCATATTAAAACTATTAAATTGTTTAACAGGTGTTCAGATCACTGAACGACTATTGAGATGAAGGAGGTAAGAAAGCCGATCTGCTGGTGGCTAACCGCGACTCGCTTCAAGTTAGCTAACGACCTGGACAGCGAAACTACGAGCGCGCGCTCTATTACTATAGTTTTAATTTGTACATGTACCGTTTTCTTTTTTTTATAGCCTCTTGTCCAGTAAAATGGGTCTCCGATTCTCTAGACTCACCATACGAAACACAGCAGTGTAAGCTGCTATTTTACGCTGGCATTCTGTGAGAGCGTGGTCTTTCCCCGGTCGAGCCGACCCATTCGTGCTACAACTATACTACTAATAAGCTATATTAGTAGTATAGTTGTAGAGCAGCATGGCTCTACCACGTAAAAAAAAATATTTCACAATGATACCAGTTATATGAAATCATAGTATTTATTTAATCCTGCAACATTAAAAACAACGCATACTGATCCGGCTCGAAGGACCACCATATTTTTTTTTCGTTTCGAAGACTGATTTTTATGCTCCATTCACTTCAAAGGTTGTTCAAGGATCTGAACGATAGCTCAACCCCAACTGACAACGATTTTTTTTTAAATAACTGGCGAGTTATTTGTTAAATTTATAGTTCAATTATTTAGTTTTGTCGTATGGAGGCAGCGTAGAGGGTTCATGGCCCTATTTCTTTCCGTGCGTATCGTACTCGTAAGAGTATAGAAGAATATATATTTAGAATTTTCGATAGTAGAAACTATCGTAAGATACTACTATCGAAAATTCTAGGAAGATCTCATGACTTCTGATACAGTTGTACAACCATCATGTTTATACCCAGACGAAATACCAAGATCGGCAATATGGAGCAGTTTCAAAAGTACGATGCGCCTGGCACTACAATCACCATTTCACCTTAAGCGTGGCGATTACCCATATTCGGCAGTGGACTATTAAGGTTCGGGGAAGGGAACTAATTACAGACTATAAGACTACCTTTTGTTTTCTCTCTCCTCATTGCTTTCATTATAGTTAACTATATTTATAGCATATTCTATTGTAAAAGACCACTAAATGATAATTCACTTAATATGGACAGTTGCAAGATTTTACATACCCTACATGTATAGAAGTACATAAGTTATTATTATTATTATATGTAAATATTTTTGTATCAAAAGCACACTTAAATATACTTCATAAAACATTCCATTTGAAATTTCAAGAAAACGCATGAAAATCCTTAAAATTTCAAATTACGAGGGTGGATTGAAAAGTACTCGGCCTAACACAGATCCATTCAATTCTAAAAATCAAATCTACCCACATTATTTAGTTCAGTTCAGCCTAGTTCATTGTGTGAAGTTCGAAACGTGTGCGATAATTAGTTGTGATTTTATAAATTTATTAATAAAGTAATCGGACATAATTTCCGCGAATGGGGCAAATCAAGCAGCGTGCTGTCATTAAGTACCTCCATAAGAAGGGGCTATCATCAAAAGCCATCCATGATGACATGGTCAGTACATTAGGCGATTGTGCTCTGTCATATTCATCCGTCAAAAAATGGATAGCAGAATTTAAGCGTGGTAGAGAGAGTGTGAAAGATGAACCCCGCTCTGGAAGGCCTTCGACGTCAACTACTGACGAAAATATTAAAAAAGTACTTGATTTAATAATGGGAGACCGCAGATTAAAAATTAGAGAGATAGCCGAGATTATAGGCATCTCTTATGAACGAACTCAAAACATCATTGTCAACGAGTTGGGTTTCCACAAGGTGTCTGCGAGGTGGGTTCCGCGACTGCTTTCAGTTGAACAAAAAAGGACGCGATTGACTATTTCACGCGACTGTTTGGAGTTATTTGAAGCCGATGCAGATGATTTTTTGAATCGTTTTGTTACTATGGACGAAACATGGGTTCATTACTGTACACCGGAAACAAAACAACAATCAAAACAGTGGAGAAGACTTGGTTCACCACCCCCTAAAAAGGCTAAGTCGATTTTGTCGGCAAATAAGGTGATGGCTTCAGTACTCTGGGACTCGAAAGGTGTGATTATGATTGATTATCTTGAAAGGGGTCAGAATATAAGCTCTGATTACTACTGCACCTTACTACGTCGTTTACGAGAGGAAATAAAAGAAAAACGTCGAGGAATGCTCAGAAGAAAAGTCCTGTTTCATCAAGATAACGCCCGTGTTCACACGTCAGTACAGTCAATGGCTGAAATTCACAACTGTGGCTTTGAACTGTTACCGCATCCGCCGTATTCACCTGATCTGGCACCATCAGACTTCTTTCTGTTCCCTAACCTAAAAAAGCACTTGGGAGGTCAAAGATTTTCGACAAACGACGAGGTCAAAGCAGCTGTAGACGCATATTTTGACTCTAAGTAAGAATCATTTTTTTTCAACGCTCTAAATGCTTGGAAGGGGAGGTAGCAAAAGTGTATTGAACTTGATGGTGATTATGTAGAAAAATAAAAATATAACTGATTTAGTATTTGTTTATTTTCTTGGTTAGGCCGAGTACTTTTCAATCCACCCTCGTACCTTTTAGAATACCAGCAGACCTATTCGCATAGTCCTGCCTATGCGCTAAATTCAATGGTATCAATATGATACTCACTTTGTAGTACATCGCGTCGTATGCTAAATAGCCTTTCTATAAGAGTTACCAAGGTTCATAAAACACATGATGAAATGCACTACAAAGTAACTATGATTTTGATATCATTGAAGTTAGCAAATAGACCTGCAGGCCTATCGGGTTTCAGGGACCATCACTGTAGTCACTTTATTTTTGAGTAAAGTAGGGAATTCAGCTACAATTTATGATTCATAAGTATTTTACCTTAAAAAAATGGCCATTGATGTGTAAGGATAGTTGACAGCACCAAAACCAGACAACAAGGCCATTACGGTTACACCTATGACACCGATACGAGAAACTCCTTGCTCTATTGAAAATATGCCCTAAAATAAAATAATTTAAAGTAAAAATCTGCCTATTGTTCCATCTTTATAATGTATTCTGCTATACATTGCTTGTGTTTATTTATACATCACAACAATTTTTACTAAGACCTAACTCACTGTATTCACAAAAAAATAAATGAATTTGAAATGGTTTACTATAAAGAATACGCATATTGATTGAATGATTAATAGATAACATGTCAATATTAAAAAAATTGTCAAGTAACAAAGGCATAATAAGATTCTGTGATATATAATAATATGTTGTGAAACATATTATTATACATCACAGAATGATGATGAGAATGATGATGAGGAGAAATTCAATAAAAACCTTATGGACTGTGAGATAGTATGCAACCATTTCAATAAATATCAATAACACAGTTAAATAAAATTAATTTAATAAAATTAAAGATAAAGATCAATAACTAATTAAAATTGTATATGTACCTGTTTTGGACTTAAAATTGGAAAGGGGTCTCCAATTTTCCAGAAGAAATACAGATATATAAACCAAACAAACATTGTTAGTGGACGTATTATATTCCGTGACACTAAAAAAGATATTAAAGTATTATAATTGTATATGCAAATTACACAAATACAAAACAAATATGATATATAATTTTTTATAGAATAGAATAGAATATTTTTTATTCAATATACATTACATGTGTAATTCTTATTGAAAGTCATTTTTTACTTTACCACTGGTTCGAAAAAAACCCTCTGTCCTGGGAAGAACCAGCAAGAAACCCAGCGGGACTTTTTTTTAAAATAAATTTTACAATATAAATTATTTTAGAAACTGCTTGGAAGCGACCACCTCATTCCCAGGGGAAAACATTTAAACTTGGTAATAGAGAGAACCTGTACACTTTCCGGGACCTTGTTGTAATAGCGTATACATTGCCCCAAGAATGAATTACTGACTCTGTGGAGTCGAGAAACTGGCATCACTAGCTTGTGTTTGTTCCTAGTGTTTACAGAATGTATATCACTTTTTTTACTAAAACTATCTTTGTTTTTGTGAACATACATTAAATTTTCGTAAATATACTGACTGAGAGGACAAGGTTTATAATAAATTATATATCATAATTTTATTCATTCTTTAAGTTTCCCTACCCTACTTTCACAATAGGGTATATGGAGGCGATTTACACGCATTAATTACACTTGGACAAACATACAGACCTAGAGCAATTATTTGTGGGCCAAACAAACACTTGCTCAGTGCAGGATTCAAACTCATGGGCGGAGACTAAACCATATACCACTGCTGTGCTTTGAATACTATACACAATTCACAAACAAAAACACACAATAATCTTAATTTCTTTAGCAAATGATTCTTTGAGTTAAGCAAGCACACTATTCATCTGATGCAGTGTTGCCAATGCCAAATTTTCAAATTGCCATGTTTAAATGGAATGTAGACTTTTTGTTTGCTGTAACATGTAATGCAAAATTAATGTGATAAAAACATATTTAAAACGTAAAACTTCGACTAAGTTATGCAACACATACACATAGTTATGTAGATTTTGTAGAAATATTTACCCATGGCTATAGAACATGGCAATATCCATAGCAAGAGTGGCGTAGCTACCATAGGACTAGGCGGGGCAGTGCCTTGGGACTCCCCCAAGTACAAGGGACCCTTCGGTCTCCATGAACGACGTTTGAAAAAAATATAATATTAAAGTTGAATAAAGAATTTTTGACTTTTGACTTTTTGGTCGCTTACCAAAAAACCTTGAATGGCTGGATCGGTATTAACAAAAATTTCTCCCACCTCCAGAATATAAACAAATCATTGTTACAATAAAATAGTCTACTTCACTTATAACCTATAATAATAACTGTAATCTAGTAAGTTGATTTGCTTTATTATGCCCTGCAGTGGGCGATAAGGCACTGATGACGAAGTAGTTTTGCACCTTTAAACTATTGACTTTAGTTTAAAAGGTCCCCAATTTCATTTTTGCCCTAAGGCCCTTGGTCACATAGCTACGCCACTGCATAGCAATGGCAGCACTGATCTGATAATAAATAAATACTGTGACCCATAGACATTTACATAATATATTCATATATCATTCCTAAGGACTAAGAGGAAATATTACTAGTGAAAAGGTTCTCAATAAATTCAAATAAACAGCAGGCCTATTCACTAACTTTGTTGAGATCAAATATATAGTCACTATGTAGTACACATTACATCAAATGTTTTATGAGTCAGGGTAGCTCTCATAAATAAACTATAATATAGCATGTGACATAATGTACTACAAAGTGACTTCTTTTGATGTCAACAAAGTTAACAAATCGGTCTGGTGGACAAATTACATTTTGCAGAATTACAGTGTTGTGTTAGTGTTAGATTACATTGAAATAAAGATATATGTATGGTATATGAAATTGTCTTTTAAAGGTTTACAAATTATCTTTTAACTCACCAAATCTTATGTTGCTGATGCAAAAGTACGCAATGTAAAATGGTATTAGTGCTATTACCATAAACAGCAATGAGTAAAGTCCTAAGTTCCAATGGAAATATCTAGAGCTGTAAATTAAAATAAACTTCAACAGTGGTAGAGCCACGCAGCATATCAATGATATGTTGCAAACCAGTAACATTCATTGCAATGCAGACGACAACACTGGTGATGCTTTATACACCGGCCGTGCCAATATTTTTTGGGAAAACGTCGCCGAGTAACGGAACAAACTCGTGTCTGAAGTCGAGACTTTGTTGAACAAAGTCTCAGACTGGGGCGACTAAATCTAGTCCAGTTCAATCCCCAGATGACACAAGTTTGCGCGTTTACCGCTAAAAAGAATCGCTTTGTCGTATCTCCTCAGTTTCAAGGCACTCCCCTTGTTGCCTCAGCCAGTATCGGTATCCTCGGTGTCGACATATCGAGTGACGTGCAGTTTCATGGAGTGGAATCGATTACCACCAGTGATTTTTCCGGACCGATACGACTTAGGGACCTTCAAGAAAAGAGCCTACTCCTTTTTAAAAGGCCGGCAACGCATCTGCGATTCCGTTGCGAGTTGTTCATGGGCGGCGGTAGTCACTTACCATCAGGTGAGCCGCATGCTCGTTTGCCCCCTGTCCTATAAAAAAAAAATACCATACTTCTTTTACAAAAATAGAAGACGAAATATTCTTATAATATTAATATTATTTAAATGGTAAGAGAATGCCGTGGACCATAGACACCTACATCTATCCTCAATTAAGAAGCAAAATTCAGATGTGTTGTAACTAGGGTTACCAACTCTTGAATGGACTAACCCGGGATGAAAGAAAATATCAATTATATATATTCATTTTTAAATGCGTGTCAAAGACAGACACCGCCAAATCGACAACTTCGACAGATAGACTAACAGATTTACACAGGCCGTGGCACACGGTGTTGTGTCACACAACATGTGTGTGACCGCAAAGCGAGTTAGTAGCCACATGTGTGAGCAATGGATGTGTATAATTTTTAGGAAAACCAAAGAAATTATTGCACCCCGGAAGGTCGGGAGATTAAACATTGTTACCGGCTTCTCCCGGGCAATCCGGGATGCTTGGGAACCCTAGTTGTAACCCCTGAGGACCAAGATGGAATGCCTCATTCTCAGTAAAAAGGGCCTCCAGGCACCTTGCCTTATTAAACACAGCAGCATTAAACTTTCGCACTAGTTCTGTGAGAGTATGGTCCTTCCCCAGTTTGGTCAACCCATTTGTGCTAAAACTATAATATAACCATCTGGTAAAATAGCAACTTAATGCTGCTGTGTTTCATAGGGTGAGTGTAGAGAACTAGAGACTTTTTTTTAATATTAGGCATTCCATCTTAGACCTCACGGGTGACAATGCATCTGCATTTTGATTCTTAGTTGGGGATAAATGTAGATGTCTATGGGCCACAACATCCACTTACCGTCAGGTAGACTGTGTGCTCGTTAGTCACACTTATTCTATATTGGAAAAAAGTTAATTTGACAAAGTTAAAATAGACTTGAAACAACATAAACTTTCATGCCAATCACCCAGAGGCTTAGCCAGAGATTAGGGACTTCCATTAGGTACAATCCTGGCACACCTGTCTCTTCTTCATATATCTATGTATACATGCTCATTAATTAAAAGTACTTTTAAAATGGCCTATTTCCAATATGTCGCCATTTTATTGATAATCTTTCACATGGGTTTCCCTTGCCAACTCTACTAAACAACTTACTTACTTATATGGCATAAATTTGCTTTGACAGTCTTTCCTCATTCATTATTTCTGTTTCCACTGAATCATTCCTTTCTTAACCCTTGTCATCTTCATGCAAGGTTCACTTCCATTATCATAAAATGTCTCACCCTATCGTTCTGAATTAAGGAATATAAGTTTATTTATCTGGCCAATAAGAAGTACATATGTTCGGCATCATACTTCATAATGAGCAAATAAATAAACTAATATTCTTTAAAATTTTGCATTTACCATAATACATATAAATAGACATGCTTACCTAGAATCTAAATATCCTATAATTTCAAATATAATTAGCTCAAACATGGTACAACTAAGCGCAAAGGTAACAGAGAATATAAGCTGAACGAGGGTATGATGAACCTCATAATCACGGAAGAGCTGCTTCACAAAAAATATCCAACCACCCACAAAGAAAATAGTCTGAAAACAAAAAGTCCAAAGTATTTGTTTTTTCATATTTTACTATGGTTATAATTTAATTAGCTTAAAATTATTACTTTGTTAATACGAATTTGATAATATAATTTTGTCTGCAAGACAATTTTTGAGATAACATTACAATTTTTGTAGTTAAAAACATGACTTACAAGTTTTTAAAACTAACTTTGCCCCTTTTACATACCTGTGAAATCAAGATAATTAAAGTATCTTCTAGAAAGGTCATTTCTTATTCAATATTTATTATCTCTTATTTAATATTTTACCTATAAATTTGTTATTAATGTTTAAAACATGGGTTTAAAAATTGAAATTGAATTGAAAGCGGCTGAAATACCTACTGAAAAGTAGTGATGGCACTCGAGCCATGTTTCACTGGAGTCACTCGAGTAGTTTTTATTTTACTCGCACTCGAGTAATATTTATGACAACTCGGATTACGAGTGACCACTCAAGTTGCCTGTACCGACTCGAGTGAGAAATTCAAGTTAAAACAGTTTTAGCCGATGTATTTTCCATTTCGAACTAAATACAAATTTGTTTGAGTGAGTTGTTTGTATTTAGTAATATGTTTATTTAGGTTATGTATGTTTATTTAAGACTGTTTGCTATTAGTACGTGCTCGAAATGAGTAAGATTTCCAAAAAATATCTATAGTGTAGTCGTTTGCAAAAATGTTGAACAAAAAACAGTTATTTGTAAGTTGTGCAAGAAAAGTTACAAAGACTTTGTAAATACTACCAACTTGATTTTTCACCATTTGAAGAATAAACATCCGATTCAGTACAAGAATAATATGCAAAAATAAATAAGGATATTAAGGGTGAGTCAAGTTCATCTCATGCGTGTTCTTTGAAGTAGCAGTTCTTAGAAGCAGTAAACTAATGAAGCAGAGAGTTTTGCTTCCACGTCTGCTGATTCTAATTCTACACCAAAGAAACGGTGTTTTCAGCAATTAGAGCTTGCAAGGCCTAAGGCATCACTTATTAAGAAGAAACAAAAAAATCTTTAGCTCTAAACCAATTGATTTGTCAAGACTTATAACCTTTGTAAGGTTTTATTAGTTTTGGCAGGCGAGTAACTCAAGTGGAAAAAAGTCACTCGAGTTTTATCTTCATTCGAGTGGCACTCGAGTGACTAGGTTATCACTGGCGAGTGACTCGAATGAAAAAATGTCACTCGAGTCGCATCACTATGAAAAGCACTTTACACTTTTTTTATTAAGATTTTGGCATCGATGCTTGTCTTTTAAGGCATGTCATTCGGGATCTTCGTTTTTATAGATTTTCAGTATGAAATGATAATAATCTTTTATAGTACTTTGTTTCACAATATCTGATATTGCGTAGTTTTTGGGAGATTTTAACGGCAATTTGAGCCAGCCGACACTTGGCGATAGTATCTTAAGGCACCTAAGCAGACAGACACCTTATCTTGAGATTCACATCACCATCATAGCAATTGTTTCGCTGTTTCCACTAATAGTTCACATGTGCTTTTATATATCAAAATCCACTTCAAGCTATTATTTAAACAATAATACAGGAGCAGCAATACGCCGCGTATATACAATTTACTCTGTGAAATCTCCCAAGGACTGTACAATGTGACGCATCAACATATTGTGAAGCAGTGTACTATGAAGGATAATTATATATTGTAACTTCAGGCTCAGAAGGACTAGAACCCAGAGCCGTAAAGCCGGTTATAATTAGGGATGGTCGATGTTGTAGAAACATAGATGATTACATCGATGTTGACATCGACAGCTCAACATCGATGTTCGATGTTTATCCTACTCAAAACATCGATGTTGACCATTGTCGATGTTTTTTGCACATGTATTTAATAGGTTTGAATTAGATGAATTATAAAATTGTCATGTTCTTTATTTTTATTTTTTTTTATTTTATTCTGGATAACAACAGCTTATTAATACTTAAACATTTTACTTAAATTATTTAACACGAAAAAGCCAATAATAGTTATCCACAAAGTACATAACCAAACATAACACTGTAAATCTAAAAAACAAATTCGGTAAGCACTAATTCTAAGCATTAACAAATTAATTGAAATATTGATATTACTTTCATGATGTACATACATATACTCATACACATATATACACGTACAAAGACGTAGATAATTAAACTTACTAACACACATATGAATATATATATATATATATATATATATATATATATATATATATATATATATTTACACATATATATATATATACATATACATACACACATATATATATATATATATACATATACATACATACACATACACACATACATACATACATACCAACATATATATATACATAAACATACATATACAACATACATGTATACAATCATTTTAATGATAAAAGAATAACAGTATTAAACGAGGGAACAAATAATAATTTAGGTACTATTTTAATTACAATTTACTGATTACTTTCAGCTGGAGTGAATAGAAACTTGTTAATTTTATTTTTGAATCCACTTTTAGTACTATTAAAAGGATCAATTGAGCTAAATTTTCTGTCGTAAGTTGCTACCAAACGAGTTAGAACACCGTTTTTCCCATAATTGGTCGAGTGAAAGGGGATGTAAAACAAAGAGTTTCTGGTATGTCTGGTACGTTTCATTGGGACGTTAAATTTGATGTAGGCCAATAAATCAGGGCAGTCAATTCCTCCGTGTAATATATCGAATAAAAGTCCCATATCCAGCAGAGTACGTCTTTCTTCAAGCATTAACAGGCCGTAAAATCTGCAATCATCTTGATATGAAGAGCCAGAACGTCTAAATTTATAATTTAAATGGGAAATGAACTTATTTTGAATCTTTTCGATAGTATGTATATGTTTAGCATAAAATGGTGACCATATCTGACAGGCATACTCTAATATAGGTCTAACATATGTGAAATATACTACTTTTAGGCTCTACAAATTAGAGAAAGGTAGACAAGTTCTAGTTACAAATCCCAAATTACGAAAAGCTTTACTACAAATAGCATCAATATGCTCGTTCATTGTCATGCGGAAGTAAAAATATACGCCTAGATCGCGCACCACCGTAGCTCTCTCGATTACAGCACCATTGAAATTGTATTGAAAAACTATGGGATTAGTTTTCCGCGTAAATGAAATACTCTGACACTTACCAACATTTACCGTGATCTTATTAGCGGCATAGTAATAGTATAATGTATTTAAGTCATTTTGAATAAGTTCACAGTTCTTGATAGTGCGTACACGCAGATATATTTTTTTATCATCAGCATAAAGTAAATGTTGAGAATTTTTTATATATTGACATATATCGTAAATATAGGCGTTGTAAAAGAGAGGACCAAGGTGGGAGCCTTGAGGAACGCCAGAGGGAACCGTTACGAAATCTGACCTATAACCGACTAGAACCACAGCCTAAGATGTAATTATGAGATAGTAATTTTGACAAAGCAGTACTTTTCAATCTGTTTCTTTGTTGATAAAGAGTTGAGCCAGCTATTGAAAATAATTTAAAAATAAAATTTTGTACAACTGACTTAAGGATAACTCAAAAACTATTGGTCAGTCTTATATGGGTCTAATTTATATCTGACCATATGTAAAATACCAAATTTCAAATAAAAAAAAGAATCATTGAAATCGGTTCACCTAGATAAAAGTTATGAAGTAACACACATTAAAAAGAACATAAAGTGGAATTGAGTACCTCCTCCTTTTTGAAGTCGGTGGATGACCGCTCAGATGACGCTGATGTAGCGATTATGGTCAAATATATCACCGCAACCTAAACGTGCATTGGATCGTGCTTAAGATCAACCATCGGATTTTTTTTAAAACAACCGATAAAGAAACAGATAACCAACAACGACACCAATAACAAACGAAATCAGTGACAACTGCGACATTACAGTTGACACTTGACAGTTAAATTTGATACCCCATAATGATATATTTTCAAGTTATCGAAGCGTTCAAGCATTCCGAATTATTCAAAATTTTAAATATTTTAGAGGAAATGCAAGATTTAGTTGATACCCAATAATCGATTATGGGTTTAATGACATGTGGCATGTGGCAACATCGATGTTAAAACATCGATGTTTTCATTCTTGACATCGAACATCGATGATCATCGACATCCGTAGTTATAATAATAATATCTATGTTGTGTTGGTTGAAAGTTGGATTTCATAATCAAATCCTTATCACCAAGCAAAACAACCAAAAAAATCTAAACATAAACATATATGAGAGTTAGACGATTAACACGGATTTTGTTATGTCGTCTATTAATAATGCTTTATATCATATACTTACTAGAAAATACGCATTCTGTTGTTTGTGCTTCAAATCAGTAGAACAAAACGCAGTTAATATTCATGAAGAAGTAATATTAAAAATTAAACACTGTGAAAGCTTTATAAAATTATCAGATATATTGGCTTCTTTGCTAGGGGACAAGGTAAAGTATAAATGTAATAATTTCTTTTAAAACTGTAGGAGTGACGAATATAACGTTCTTGCACTTAGACACCTATGTTAAAACAGTAGCCTCAGATGAAGTAAAAAAAACTTTTTACTTCATCTGAGACAGTAGTTATAATACCTTCCAAACAAATTTAAGTTTAAAAGCTATCTACTAAAAATGACTGGGGGCTTATACCATTATGATGCTAAAATACTATTTGTATGAACATTAATCTTCTGCATCAATCTTTTATTTATTCAAAATGTTTTGGTTAGTTGAGTTGCTAATCACCAACATCATTAAGTTGAAAGTGGTGAAAAATAAAAAGGTTTCAAAGTGACACTTTTGTGTAGGACTTAGCTAACACATAAGCCATATTATTATAAGAGTAGTATTGGCATAAGCCAATACTTCCTCAAAAACTTATCTAGCTCCAGTTTTTGAGGCTAACTTACACCTTTCACTTTTTATCCAACATTAAATACATTTGGTACCTATTTACATATCAATCATTCTCTGACTTAAAGATAAAACAGAACAAAAAATTTTTAGAAATGCTCAGATGACATATCAGTGATTCCAGTATAATTATAATATGCCATTGCAGTATTTTTCTTCCGGCTTCCAAAAAGGAGACGGTACTCAATTTGACTGTATGTTCCTTTTTTATGTGTGTTACCTCATAAGTTTTTACTGGGTGAACCAATTTTGATGATTCTTATTTATTTGAAAGTTGGTACTT